AGCCCACCAGCCATACGTGCTGGGTTGCAAGCTGCCATGCTGTCGTGCCCGCAGCCGTGGTGGACAGGCCTGACGCATGCAGGACGCAGGTGGGGCATACAAACCACCCGCCCGCATACGACGTCCGCTCCAGTCCCAAGCACTGCCGGTGAAACGCCTCCCCGCATTCTTCGCATGTTACGACCGGCGCCACACCTCGTCTGGTACAAAGGCGGCAAATCGACTGTCCCCCTGGCGGGATGGTTGGACCTGGGGAGCAGGAGCGGGCGGCACTTGCAGCGTCACAAAGGCGCTCAAGGTGTCCAACATATCACGGACTGGCCGCGATCAGAGACGGTGAAAGGGGTCCAAACCGTTAAGGCAGGCGAAGAACCAGAAGGTCATACGGGCATGGGTCTGCCATCCGCCCCGATGCCCAAGCGCACAGGCGCTGCCCAGCAGCTAGGCGCTGCTCCTGCCGAAACAGGGAGCTGCGGGCCCTGACATGCCGTTGAAACCAAGTCCGCTCCGGCCAATTAGGCACCACCACTGTCGCCCGAGTGAGCTGGGGCTGCAACCGGAACGCCGCCACGATCTCATCCAGCACCTCCCCAACAAGCTCTGAGGGCGGGAAAGCCCAAAGGATCCTCCCTGCCAAGGCAGCTGCCTGTCCGATCACAGAGCGGGCTGGGGAGAAGAAGTCTGTGCATCCTGGCTGCCTGTTGGTGCCCTGATCGTCGCAGCAGCAGTCCATTTGTGGCTGGTAGCGCGGGTCGATGCAGAGCGCTTTGAACACGTGGGGCAGTAGACGCAGCTGTTGCTGACGGGCCGTCTCCAGGTGTCTACTCAGACGGTCGGCTCTGACGTTGTCAACTCCCCGGATATGCTGCGCCCGCACCTCAAACCCGTGGCTGATGGACAGAAGGGCAATCTCCCGGCATATGGCGCGACCATCCTTCACACGCGTTGACCCCCGCGACACGGCCGCCACCGCCTGTGTGTTGTCGCACCGCACCAGCACTTGAATGCCGCGGAGGCGGGGGCCGAACGCGCGCAGCGCGTGGAGAATAGCGCTAAGCTCCAGCCACACAATGTGCAGCTGTCGCTCGTCCGCGGACCAGACGCCCTGAAGTTCCGATTCCTTCCACGCTGCACTGTACCCTGAACCGCTGGCATCCGTATATATGACTGCGCCATCGGGCCCTTGAAACACCCCCTTTACCAAGTCCATGTGGCTGACGGTGGCTTGCTTCACACCGTCCCACACTGACGAGTCTGCGCTCAGCACGTCTGCCCAGAACGACAAGTCGTCCAGTGCCTCCGGGGAAAGCAGGACTGTTGCGCTGCTGCCCTCGTACACGGTATCGAACAGCGCCTGCAGGAAGGAGAACCCCCAGCGGCATGCCCGCGCCACGAAGGCCATCTTGCCCACCGCTGACTGCAAGTCGCGCCTCGTCACCGCCTGACCCCGGGAGCCCGCAGCCAACAAGGCTGCCACTGCCTCGTGATACTTCAAACGCTTGGAGGGGGCGATCCTCATCTCCATGCGAACAGTGTCAAACAACATGCCCAGAAACTCCAGCTGCTGGCGGGGCTCGTCGCGGCCGCAGTCCTTAGACAGCTTCCACTCCAACCCCAGCTCCCTGCCCAGCTGATCCATCACTTCAAAGGCTCCTAGTACGTCACCATGCGACCGCCCCAAAATCATGAAGTCGTCGACGTAGACGAACAGACGCACTTGCAGGCCCCGCTTGTCACACTCATCCTGGAAAATCCTGGCCGCTGCCGTGGTGAGCTCACGAAGAACGGCGGGCTCTGACTGGCTCCAAACGGCAGCACCACCCACCGCTGTAGGCGCCCATGTACCGGGTGACGGAAGGCCATGAACCGACGAGCCGCCGGCGCCAGTTTGACGTGGTGAAAGCCGCTGGCGAGGTCCCGCTTGCCCAAGAAACCGTTCGCCGGAAGCTGTTGTAGAATGTCGGCCAGACCAGGGAGCGGACACGGCAGCCGAACCATGCAGTCGTTGACCCCAGACCGAGTCGGGTCGATAATCGGTCGTATGTCGCCGTCGCCCTTTAAGACCACATGTAGTGGATTAATCACGGCTGCAAAGTCTGTCTCCGAACCATGTAGTGCCGGATCGTACTCCTCTGTCAGGCCCGACGCCAGCAGCTGGTCAAAGTAACGACCCATGGCCTCCAGGTGCGGCGAAATAGACGGGTAATTTTGTAGGTGGTGGGAAAGCGCCGGCTCCGTATGGAACATCCACTCCGTCTCGTTGCGCGTCACGGGTGTATCGACACCGTACTTGAGCCATGCCGCCATCACCAGCTTGTTGCCGTCAGGACCGAACCACTGCCGAGTCTCAGGCGGCTGGGCCGATCCATCGTCCAAAGCCTCTTCCAAGGCCGCCGCGTCCAGATCTATACAGCCAGGGTAAACAAGGCACCAACCGTGTCTCAATTGTGCTCAACAGCACCAATAACCGGGCTCAACAGCACCGGGCATAAGGGAGGGAGGGCGTGGGGCAGAGAGTGCAAAACCGCGGGGCAGGAGAAGGGCCAAAATAGGCAGAGAGACAAGCACGCCAAAGGCAACAAGACGACGATCAACCCAGCAGAACGCACGAACAACGCAGGGAAACAAACCTTCCTAGCCGGCGCTATATACGGCCGCTCTGACCCCTGACGACACGCGACCCACTAGCGAGGACGACTCACCCAACCCAGGTACATGCCTCTACCAACCGGAACCTAGCTCCCGACCACGCTCACCTCTCTCTATGTCGTTGTCCAGCCCTGCGGTAGCGCCCGTCGGCGATGACACTCCAGGAGCTGACTCCCCTTCGGAGTGCACCGCATCCCGCCGAGCCGTGACCGGCGTGACGGCCGGCGGGTCGCCGAGGCGATCACCCTAACGAGGACCGCGTGGAGGCCTGCGTGCGGCATCGGCCTGCACGCGCTCGTGGTGCTGCTGCCACTTGTTCGCGAAACTCATCGGGTCAGACTTCGACAGAGCGATGAGCACGGGGCAGTTCGAGAAGCCATGGCCGCGAGCGCCGCACTCGTGGCACCCAAACCCCCTGCCTGCCACTGCATCCTGCGCAGCCCCTGGCGCCGCCGCACCGACACCGCCGACTGGCCGTTGCGCTGGCGGTCCCGGCAGCTGAAGTGGCGCCATCTGCGGGACTGGCTGTGCTGCGGCTGCGAGTCCCTGATAGCCAAAGGCCGGAAAGGCAGACGTCTGAATCGACGGCACTGGCGCGCAACTGGTCGCCGCTGTCTTGGAGGCCGCCGAAAAGAAGCTGCTGACTGCACCGGCTACCTCATCCGACATCGACGTCAACACCCCCACCAACTCGCGCTGCTCCGGTGGGCCAGCAATGACCTTGGCTGCAGTGGCGTGCTTAAAACCCTTCGCCCGCATATTCGCCATCTCCAACGCTGTTTGCTGCACCCCCGCCACCTGCACCAATTGATTCAGCGCCTCCCGCGTGTACCGCAGCTGGTCTTGCTCGGAAGTCGCGGCTGCTGCTAGGGCGACAGCTGCGGATGCCTGGAACGACGCGTCGTTTGTGAGCTTTCGCACCTTGGTGACGAAATTCGTCTCAGACGTCGCGAGCAAGTATTTGAAAGTATATAAACAGGCTATACATTAAGATAGAGGCACCCACGTTATTCGTACGGTGCAACAGACCAAAATGGTGGAGAGCGAGGAAAGAACAGTTCCAATTGACGCATTTCAGCATAAGGCACCAACCAACCTAGTGTAATCATATATATATCGCGTATGAACCAGTCACGTGCACTGTGGCATGTTGCACACCTGCGAACAAAAAAGCTAAAAGCATACCTGCTGAGCTGTTGGTATACGCCTCAACTGTAGTTTATGGACATGCAAATGAACCTGTGGATTTGGGGGTAAGGAACCTATGGATGACCCAGGGGACTGGCTGGGCCGTGTCCGATAACACCTACCTAAGGTCCAATGCTTCACGCTCAACGGGTCCTACGGGGCCGACTCCTCTCTGATGTGGCTGAGGTGGATGACCGAGGCTGGATCCCTACCCGCTGGTGACTCCGTCTGAGGGTTGGTCTGGCATCCATGCGTTGCACGGCAGTCCACGTGAGGTGTCTGTGCGAGTGAACACGTCCACGTTCAGTGCCAGTTATATAATTGCTTTTCCAAACGCGTATCCGACAGTAAGGGTCCCCTATGCCGTACCGCCGGTTTCACATTTTCTAGAGTCGAACAGAGCTCTTGCCAACGCTCTTCAGCCTTTCCATGCCGCTACCCAAGAGGGACTGCTGGGCGAGCCGTTGAAGCTGGAGTTGCTTACGTCAAAACCGCTACCGTTGGCTTAGTAAGCCCTTAAAAAGGTGTCGGTAGCATCAACACAGGGTGCTAACAACACACTATGGTATCAGCAAACTATCCTCTTAACCCCCTTGCCTTTAAAGCATCATTCATTAACGTTCACACCTACCCGCCCCGCATTGGGCTCATGCCCTCCTTGGGGCATATCCTTACGAGTCCCTCCGCGCCCAGTACTGCTGCCTGTATGATGCCACAGGTGGACATGCCAAGGCGCAAAGGCACGTCCTAAGGATGACCTACCCCTAGCGGCATTGACGGGTTGGCGCATGCATATGACATAGTTAGGGCGCTGCACAACGCAAGTGTCAGGTTTGCGAGGACATGCTGCCGAGCTCGAGATATTACCGCTATCTCCAACGAACTCTTCAAGCATTGATGCCTCATACACTGAAAATTATACTCTTTAGACAACGTGTGCAAGCAATTGAAATCTTTGAGTCGCGCTTGCAACAACAAAGGCGGGACCGTTATACATGCGCAAGCATGTTTGCAAAGAGAGATGTAATACAACGCTCTCCTTTACAGAACGTTAACTGAAGGGGGAAAGGTGAAGGCAAGTAGTGTTGAGCACAGCACGAACGGCCAGGGCCTTATTCGTGAAATGTTGTGGGCGCGCGGCAAATGTCCTTGTAATGACCTGAATTCAGTCAGTAACCTTAAACCTATTACAAATGCTGCGAATACGTACGTACGTTGCTTACTGGGTGGTCCTTGGTTTGCATGTACTTGTCTCTACCGCGTCCCCGTCTTTGCTTCCAGACGGCGGCCGTCAGTCACTGCTATGGCGTCACCCGATAGTCGGGAAAGGTGCAACTAGCGGCGAGGTTTACCGCCCGCTTCGTTTCAGGCGCTTCAAACTAGATCTTCTACCCAATGAGGTTCCAAGGCCCGTGTCTCCGTTGCGACAGCAGCGGAATTGCTCGCACTGGATTGTTACTACCACCATTAACGTAGCCTCGCCGAACTTGCAAGCATTGGCTAATATGACCGGGTGGTGCAAGGTGATAGTGCTTGACCGGAAATCTCCTGCGGACTTCAACCTCCGCGGTCCCGGACTCGTCATCTTGACTGTGACGGACCAGGAGGGTCTTGGCTGGAAGGGGATGGATCGCATACCCTGGAACCACTTCGGCCGTAAGAATGTGGGGTTCATGTATGCTGCCGTCCATGGCGCCCAGGTTATCTACGACACAGACGATGACAACATCGTCCTTGACAACTCTGCCGCATGGCTGCCTAGGTCGTTTCGACCAGAGGATGGCTCCATGCCGGAGCTGGTTTCACCAACTTCAGGGGACATCGTCTTCAACCCTTACCCATTTTGGGGTGTCCCTGGTGCCTGGCCTCGCGGTTTCCCTCTAAGCCTTATCGATCGCCCCACCACCAGCAACGGAGTGCGTCCCGCCAAGCTTGGGGAGAACGGTCATCCGGACAGGATCTGCGTCCTGCAGTCATTGGCCAATGCCGACCCAGACATGGATGCCATCTGGCGGCTCACCCGGGAACTCCCCCTCTACTTCCGCCCTCTGAATTCATGGCTGGCCTACCCTTCCGGCACCTATGCACCGTGGAACGCACAAGCAACGCTAATCAGCGCCGAGCTTATTGCTGGCATGGCTCTTCCGGTGACCGTACACGGCCGCGTCAGCGATATTTGGCGTTCGTACATCCTTCAACGTGCCATGTGGGGCCTGGGTTGCGGCCTTGCCTTTTCCGCGCCCTGGGTCACGCAGTACCGCAATGCGCACGCTTACCTCAAGGACTTCCAAGCCGAGCTGGACCTGTACCTCAAGACGGAGGGGCTGCTGCAGGTGCTCAATGCGGTTGACCTGGACGGTACCACCGCGGGAGGCCCCCACAGGAGGCTGGAGCGGTTGGGAGCGCGTGTGCTGACGCTGTACATTGCCCTGTACGAGCACGGTCTGCTGGAGGTGAGGTGAATGGGTACGGCAGCAGCTCGGCGGTTTTGGGCTGTTGGGACGTCGTAACGGTAGTGCTTGGGTAGTGGTTGGACCGAGGAGGAGGGGAGTGGGTGAGGAGGGACTTATGGAAGGGGCCAGAGCCGGGAGCTGGGATCACATGTCCTCGAGCTGCTGCATGTTGTGACACGAGGGCGCACATGGGACCATGACATCCGTGTCTGACGACATTGTCTGTTCCCGTTTTTGCTTAATTAAGTGACTTGGCTGTTTTGATGACTTGGGTTTTTGCTCTCCCCTCCCACACGCACCCCCCACACGCTCACAGGGGGACGACGTTCTCATGTTGTACTCGTACCTCACTGATCTGGGTCAGCTAACGGCAACTGAGCTGGTAGCGGTGCGGGCGGTGCTCAGTGCGCCCTCCTCCACCGCCGTCGCTGTCGCCACAAGCCAACCCGCAGTCCCGTCGCAGCAGCAGCGGGCAGCCGTCTGCGTCACCGGGCAGTTCCGGGGAGGCCCGTTTCCATGGACCAGCATTCAACGCAACGTCTTGAACGCCCTCGACATGGCGTACGATGTGTTCGTGGTGTCTCCGGCGGAGTATAAGGGTCAGGCCGCGAGCGATTTCCTTTACCAGCTAAAACCGCACGTGGTGCTGCACCCCGATTATGCGATTGTGGAGGAGCTGATTAAGCTGGATGGCTGGGACCTAACGGGCTTCACCGCGCCGCATAATCCCAAGAAGTGGCTGTTCCAGATAGCGGTGAGTTTGATTATGCATAGCTGTGGTGTTGCTTGAATCTGTTAGGAAAGAGGCAGTTGGCCCCGGGTTCTTCTTGGGTCGGGGGGTTGGGTTACTGGGTGCGCCTATTTGTGTTGATGTTCGTGCAGGGTAGCGAACGGGTGATGTGTGATGCATGCTTGGCGAAGTCATTCATTGGGTCCGGAAAATCCGAACGAGAAGTGCCTGTGCGTAGATGATTGAAAGTCAATTAGTTCTAAGCACTACTGTATGCTGACGGCCACTGCTTGACACCCTGTGCGCTTAACCGCACCTGACTTCCTCTAACTTCCTCTTCCATCCCACAGGACTTGAAGGTCTGCGCCGATGCAATCAAGAACTCCTCTATTACCTACACCCATGCTGTCCGTGTTCGCGCCGACTCCATGGTTCTCACCCGCCTGCCGGAGGCCATGCCAAAGCTGCAAGTAAAGGATGTGGTGGTTCCCGCGAATGAGAGTTTCGAGGGAGTGAATGACAGGTTTGCGTACGGCGGCATTGACGCAATGATGTCGTATCTGACCGTTCTCGACGTGATTCCCGGCATGCTGGCAGATTTGGTCGCTAAGAAGGACCCACCGCCGGCCTCTAGGAACGCGGAGGGGATCCTGCAAGCGCAGTTGGAGCGTAATAAGGTTGTTGCCTTGCCCCGGGTGGTCATGTTGTGCCGTCTGGAGGAGTATGTGAGCGGGAAGTTGCGATGTGACGAGCATGACTATGCAACGTTTCCGGAGTGCAAGCAAGCCTGCGATGAATTGAGTGGGCGCCGCTAGTACATGCGTATGGCGTTGTGTAGTGTAGTATTTATGAAGTTGTTGCGAGTCTGGCTCCCTCCACAGGGCTTCCGTGCAGGTGGATTGCGTGGCTTGAGTTGACTTGGTGTGTTTGGCAACGGCTTGTGCAGTTGTCTGCGTCTTTCTTTGCTCATGACTCGTGAACATACGAATGGACAATTCATACACTGCTTACAGTGGCACAAACGTGCCATCTAGCGCATCTTATGTCCGGACATATGCTAGTATGACAATGTTTAATGGTCACCGGGCAAGGGCCAACCTTCGACAATGCCTGTTTTTGCGTATTCGCTATTCGTGTTTTCGGAGCCTTCTGGAGGCCAGCCCGCTGGGGGTAAAGAGGAGACGTTGATGAGCTGGATGTGGAGGCTGCATGGTTGACTAGCCCGCTGGGGGGGGGCAGAGTCACAAACACGGCTTGCGCGCACAATGTTGCAGTGCTGTCGCTGCCGCTGAAGTGCGCCGTGCACCTTAATCAATATCATGCCGTTAACTGACGTGGTCTGGTCAAATCACCTGTGCTGTGGCTTGGCTATTGGTAAGATACCCATGGGTCGCACGGGCGTGGTAGGGGGGTCCGAGTGTGGCGGCGTCTTGCAGCAGCGGTGTTTGCAGCAGCAGGGATTCTTAGGGTGGTGCTCATCGCTATCTACATGTGTTGGCGTGGAGGGCCAGGGACCTGCGCCGGGTACTCTGGGGCCGTGTCCATGTTGAGTGGGACACGTGGGTCGAAAATCGTCGCGTTTTGCTTTGGTCTCACCAGCTCGAGGTCTGGTGTTTTGGAAACGTTGGTAGGCGAGCCGCTGCATTCTTAATTTTTTTGCCAGCTGTGTGTCGGGCTTGGGCGCATCTTGAGCGGCGCCTCTGGAGGGCAACATGGCCTATAGTCGGGAGCCCAGGATGGGTTAATGTAATGGTCTATTGGCTTTCATGACCAACCTCACAACATAGCATTTCGCCTCACATCACTGCAATCGCTCCGACGTGGCGTTTAGCGTAAGAAGTCCCCTGGAGAGAGCGGCCATTGCTTGGAGATGACCGGACACGTGTTGGCCTGACGACGTGTCTAGGGCATGGCTGCCCATTCCGCTTTTGCAGGGTCATGGTGCGAGGCTAGTGGGAGGCTATGACCGTTAGGGGCTATCTGATGCTTGGAAGTGAAGGCGGCGTTATAGCCGGGAGGCTGGCCGTTCTTAGCAAAACTGAAGTGTGTTGGGGCACAGCGAGGCATCCTGGCATCATAGTAAAGCCCCCGCACACCGGAACGCTGCCTGCACTGGCCATAAGCTGCTTGCTTCAGAAACCTCTTCCGAGACGGCACACACCCACCAACCCGCGGTGGTTCATGCGGGCGCATTAAAAGCAGTACACACCGCGTGCGACCCAAGGCTGGCTGCACCTGATTAGGAGCGTGGCTGTTCAGGAATCGGTGACAATGACTTCATTTCATGCGCCTTCATACCGGTTCCCTTAACGCGCGCTCATATGTGCGAACTGTTGGTCTAATCACTCTATTCGACCGTACATCAACACAGCGCCGCATACCCGCACTAAACCGCATGGTACAACATCCATCCAAGCCATCCAGCTGAACTGATCACCGCTACACGTACCGTAATCCATGTGCATTTTCCAAATACGCCTTAAGCCAGACAGTTGGAGCATCAGCCCAAACCGATCCGAAATCCGATTTCTGTCCGTAAACCCGAAAGAATAAACTAGTTCAGTCAAAGTAGTTCGTATGTTGATTGTATTAGCCTAAGCCAACCGGTTAGCCGAGTCAACGAACTGGGCAGAGGAGGTAACACTGCAATCACAGAGCCCGCCTTAGGGGACCACTCACGGAGGCCGGCCTGCCGCAAGTGCTCCCCTACATCCCCTGGACAACGGGACAAGCCGAGAACTCCGCAACCTCACCTGCTGAGAGGGAGCCTGACTAGTACCGCATCAGCAAGCCCGGAATCACGCTCTCTAGCAACGCACAGTCACACGAATATCCCAGGCACCTCTTTTCGAATAGGACATACCCACCCACCCATCCTTTCACCACCGATACCGGCACCAATCAAGACGCACGCACGCCCCAACTGTCAGTTCCCATTGTCGATGTGCTCCGCTCGCCCTTGGTACGCACGCACGACACCCAACTGATACGTATGCAGCAGTGCAGGCGGCCATGCCTCGCCGTCGGCCATGCAGCAGAGCAGGCGGCCCTCAGAAGCCCTCCTCGCCGTCCGCCTTCCGCAGCGAGCCCAGCTCCACTGGCGCGCTGGTCTGCACAATGGTGCTGTGGCTGTACTTGCTGGCGTCCACGCCCTGCTCCTTCTCCTTCTCCAACTGCTCCTTGATCCAGAAGTACGTCAGCCTGCGAGCAAAGCAAAACACGTACAGCATGACACGACAGGTTGTGTCGCTTGCTAGTTCACGGTTCGTCTCAATGTACAAATGCATGCCCAGTAAACCCTGCCAACCTTCTTCACCAAAGCCGCATTCGCTAACAACAACTTCATCCATTACCAAGCGCCCACGGTACCCGCCTCCTCTTCAACCCTCAAACCCCTTGGTGCTGGAACAGTACGAGCAGAGGTCCACTAACCCCTCCCCACCGCATCCCTGGTTTCTAGGTTGAGCTCTAGGTTTCCTCTTCGTCGCCCCCCTCCACCCCCCCCCCTCATCGCACCCAACCCCACCTGAGCCCGTCCTTCAGCGTCACGGTAGGCTCCCAGCCCAGCTTCTCCAGGATGAGCTTGTTGTCCGAGTTGCGACCGCGCACGCCCTCGGGGCCGGGGATGTGCTTGATGGGCAGCTGCTTGCCCTCCATTGACATGGCCAGCTCCATCATCTCGTTCATGGACACCATCTCGGTGGAGCCCAGGTTGAGCGGCTCCGTGAAGTCCGACTTGGTGATGCGCAGGATGCCCTCAACGCAGTCGTCGATGAAGGTGAAGCTGCGCGTCTGCTTGCCGTCGCCCCACATCTCGATCTCGGTGGCCGAGGTGAGCACCTGCGCGGGAGGAGAGTGATTGGATCGTTCGGAAGATTGCGGAGTGGGTAAACGTGAGGTGAGCACCCCTGACGCCCTGAGGAGGGCAGTCAAGGAACCAGCCCCGCTCCGATGTTGCGAGGCAGGGCGATCAGGACGCTAGGGTCATATGGGTTCAAGAGGAGGGGGAACGGTGGGCATGGGCAGCAGGTGGAGGAGGGACAACATGAAGGCGGTGGGCACCTGAAGAACCACCCGCTCTAGTTCGAATCCTACAAAACGACAGCAGGCTGTCCCACCCCACTTGCCCATCTCCCACCCGTTCATTTCCTCATTACCCGTCCTCTTCATCCACTACCAAGCGCCCACGATACCCTGCCCTCGCCTCCTCTTCAAGTTATCAACCACCCCTCGAACCAATTGGTGCTTAAAAAGTACGAGCAGAGGTCCACTAACCCCTCCCCCTCCGCCTCCTCCCCAGCTTTGCAGTCCCACCTTGCGGCAGAAGGCGGCGGGCGCCTTCTCACGGCCTCCCTTCCACGTCCCGTGCGGCCCGTAGATGTTGTGGAAGCGCGCCACGCGGCACTCAATGCCAAAGTCCTTCTGGTAGTGCTTGCATAGCTCCTCCGTCACCAGCTTCTCCAGGCCGTACGCGTCTTGGGGCTGTTGTCGTGATGTGCGCGACGGCGCCGCCGTACGGCACACATGCGCAGGGCGGAGGGGGAGTTGGGGCCGCGAGAGGCGGCAGAGCGTTGCACAAACAAGCTGTTAGCCCGGAACCGTGCGAGCCGCCACCCAACCCCAGCAGTCGCACCCAACCCCATCGCGGCACTAGGAGCTATCATCACGGGTTGCCACTATCGTTACTAACTTTGGCTTTATTCGGTTTTCCCTGCCCTCCTCATGAGCTCCCCGAGCAATAACAGTCGCAGTCGCACCCACCCTCCTCCCCAGCTCCCACCTGCGCGGGCCATGCGTCCGCCTCCTTCAGGCCGCCGCCCTCCACGGTGGTGTCCAGCTGCTTGTACTCGGGGTAGATGCAGGCGGAGGAGGCGTAGAAGAAGCTGGGAAGGGGGGCGGCAGGAGGATATGTAAAGAGGAAGAAACTTACTGACCGTAAGACGAGGCTCCATCATGGGTCGCATCATGGTTGCGGACCCAGCGTTAGTTCAGAGGGGGAAAATGGGAACAAGGCCCCTGGGGCCAGGGTAATGGGCAGCTTGGGCAAGCCGAGGCTTAGCGGGTGGCTGGGCCCATGTCCGACCAGGCGAGGTGTGTGAGAGTGCCATGCCGGTTATTCCACATACCCGCACAGCGCGGGCAGCTCAACTAACGGAGCTACTGCTCGGTAGCCTTCTGGATGCCGTATCCTGACGTACAGCCACACCGGGGTTGCGGGGTACCATGCTGCAAGAAATCCCCTCCGCGCTGCTGCAACTGCTATCCTGCCTCACCGCTTGATGCCGCAGATGCGCGCCGCCTCCATCATGTTGAAGGAGACCATGGTGTTGTTGTACATGATGACGGAATGGTTGGACTGGATGAAACCTATGTCCCATGTCCGCAGCCAGGTTGAACACGTGCTCGCAGCCCTGGCACACCTTCTTGCAGTTGTCGTACACGCGCAGGTCAGCCAGATGGAACTCGTGGCAGAATTCCTCCTCCTGCCGGTCAAGGTGGCGGGGCGGGGGGCAGGGGCGTGGAGCGCTCACAGGGAAGACCATCAGACCATGCTACTAGCCTTCTAGCAATTAACAACCTTATGTGAGATTCTTTATCTTGCGCTTGCAAGGTTAACGCATAATGGTGGTATGTGAGCGTTGATCTTTAGGAAATTCAAAACGCGTCAACCCGGCAACCGCTGGTTCCAGCATAATGCCTCCTTTCGCCAAGCACATACCCATGCTCAACATACCACGAAGTGCTCGTTGCGCTTCCAGTCGCAGGCCACGATATAGTGGCCCTCTGACTTAAGCCGCTTCGCCAAATGGCTAGCAATGAATCCTCCCGCACCGGTCACGCAAATTTTGAGCTTCTTCTCTGGCCAGTATGGCTCGAAAGGGTACTTGGCCAGCTTGGAGACCGACGCGTAGTCCGCATGAACAGTGTCGGCTGACATTTTTAGCGTGTCCTAGCAGCAAGGTCCGGAGATCTAGATGCGTCGAATACAGTATACGGATGCACAGTTATGGTTTTAAGGTAGCGTAGCTTATAACAGATTCAAGTTAATCCAGCTGGCGCGAATTACAGACGCTTGTCCCAAGGCCTGCCACGAGCTAGATATTAGTTAATATATCAACGGTGAGGTATGTGTCACATCAGATCTGTGGTAAGAGTTTCCCGGAAATTATACATCATGGCTGGCAACACCGTACCGTGCCCGCGTGTCGTACACGGCGAAAGCCGAATCGCATCGTGTCGCACCCGCAGCTGTTCCTGCACTCCCAATTCGCCGAAGACAAGGAAAGGCATCTCTAATAATTTTGGGGCCCCTGAAGTACAACCTAAGCTACTAGCCCATCGCAACAGAGAGAGCCGTCTTACTATGAAACCTTCTACAGCCGTACACCCGTGTCCTATCCAGGGGCTTCCCCCCACCTGCAGCTGAACCACCTATGACGCCCCAAAACCAGGACGCAATTGATGCAATGCCTGCTCTCTTAACTGGCATAGCCTTCAGCGGCCTTGCATGTATTGGACAAATCTAGGCTTCATTGTCGCCAAGCACCTTTCATACCGTTGTGACTTCCGCCACCAGCCGCTGTCCACGTGCCCGTGGTACACGTAGCTGCTGTTCTGCCAGCCTTGGACTCCCACTCCAGCACAGTCACCTTGCTGGATGCCGGTCTGGGAGGAGTTGCCGAAGTGCGGAAGCATATCGTAAATGCCCGGTACAGTTTTCTGCAAGATGGCCTCCTCAACCTCAACCTTGACTCGCCCATCAGGGTGTCCCTGTGACCGACAGGAAATGTTGAGGGCCAGGGCCAACACCACGACATAAAAAGGCGCCCTCGCTGTTGGTGAATTCCGATGGCCAAGGATTGGGTTTGATGTCACGACCCATTTGTATGGATTGCCACACAGATGGGTCGGTCCTGGCTTGTCAGGATGTCAGCCCTCCTCACACACAAGTACATGTAAAATTTGCATTCTCAAACACGACAGCTGTCTGTTGTCCACCTCCGTCCATGCCTTTGGGTTTTGACTTACGTAGTGCTCGTTGACGTATGAGAAGCCTCCGAGCAGAATGGTAGCCCCCGGCACGCACCCAGCTGCTATGTAGAACTGGAATGCTTGGCTCTCCCACCAGCTTGTGTCTTCAAGTTGGTCAAAGTACGGGATAAACAGAGGCACAGCTTGCATATGGAAAGCCTGGATCTGGGAGTCAACGCAATCGTGGAAAAGCTGAGTGAAGGGAGCCCCAAAGTACAGCTGCCCGCTTGGCGAGCGGAACTCGGGCTGTACAGCAACGGAAGCAAAACCAACTGACGCATGGTTGACGGTGTCCCTCAGCAGGTACTCGATGAATATGTCGAAGCAGCAGCTGTGGAGGTCGTCGCGGCCCTCGCACAGTGCACACTTGGAGGGCCAAGCGTCCTCGTCCACGAAAAACCCTGCAGCATGTGCGCAATAGTTGCGCTTAGGAAAACACGCATGCGGCGTGCAGCAGGTGACGCACATGCCAAAGCTTCCCTAGCTGCTTACAGTATTTGTAAACTGTATCCATCGCTTTTTGTTGCCTAAAAACGGCCCTTGCCAACGCATTACGCCCCACTGTCCAAGTCGTGTTAGACAGGAAGGTACAGAAGATCTTGCGAACCTACAGGAAACAAACCGCAGTTTTGCTTCATCGCTGCATGCATGCACCAATGTAATCATCTGCCCGACATACATCCGCCAGGCATCGTCCGCGCTGCTCAACGTCATCCGCCGCGTTAAAGCGTTAAAGCCCAAAACCCTAGTAAGCGATTAATCGCGCGCAACGTACCTGCTGCTGGCGAGTATCAGAGCAATTCCTTACAGGCTTATCGTAAGTGCCGTAGTACAAGTCCACGGATGGATAGGTGCTCATGTTCAGATAAAGGTCCAGCCAGACCTCGTAGGCATCCGCGCGGCCTAGAACAACAAGCGCAACCCTCCCAGCATCTTCAAGACGCTTGGAAAGCGGTATTTTGTCATGCAGCTGCAGAGTCTGTTCGCGTAATATTGGTATAGCAAATAATAAGGATAGAGTTAGCAGCGCCATCAGCATGACGCCCGGGCGCAGCTGCGTCCAAGAACAGTTACCGCCACCCAGCATTGCAGATCGAGAAAGAAAACGTTACCGAGTAGGTTAGTTCCGATATCTGAAGAGTACTCGTTCGCATAGGAGACCGACTGCCACTTCTAGTGCGAGTTCAATCTCTCTCTCGCCGTACTCCGTAAAAGGAGCGGAAGGAGGCTGGCAAGCCTGCTGCGTCGGATGTACCTGGCTGTATCACGGGGCAGCTCACTCTCCTGTTCGGAAGCATCACCATCGCCAGCGGCAAACACCCAGCATGTCAGGTAAGCGGGCGGTAGGAACTCCTGCTGTGCTAAGGTAGAAACTGTGCCTATAGTCTGCTATCTCGTCCTACTGTGCGAAGCTTGCTAGAAATGAGGAAACTATCATACCGGGCCCGCCCTTTACCCAAACCAACCTGTGCATTGCTCCCCACTACAGTGAAAACCACAACGCGCGAGGGGGCAGGCAGCCAGCACGATGGGTTGGCGGGGGCCGCGGTGGACGGCGGCATGCCTGGGGATAGCCCTGGTGGTTCAGCGGCGGCCCAAGGTACGTGGTGCATGAAGGGGTTGAGACATGTCACCACCGAAGGGTCCCGAAGTGGGCTTAGTACCCTGACTAATGAGACTTTCCTTTCGATGTGGTAACAAGTATGTGACAGAACGTGCAACACCACGCCTACCCTGCTGTGTTTGCAGAAAACGAGGAGGAGCGGCAGCCCCGTGTTCGCGAGCAGGACACAGCTCGGCAGCCCGCCAAGCCTTCTGCGAGAGGCGCGAGGAAGCAAGCAGGTGATAAGCGTCCGGAGCCGGAGCTTGAGCCTGCTTGGTGTAGCGGCAGACCGAGGCGCACATAGTCTTGCAAACGTAGCTAGCTGCTGCGCTACGGGGAGCTTAGGGAGCATAATGGGATTCATAGAAGGGGGGATAAGGGGTGGGGGGCATCGCCTTGCGTAACTGCGAACTAGGTTGTTTCAGTTGTAAGAGGGTGGTTAAGACTGGGTAGAGGATAGCAGGCATGGCGCGTGTGACAGGAGTGCGCATGTGTGGCATCTCATGTCAGCAGGTCCATTAATAAGTATGGCATTGCGGAGGATTGGTTAGGTAGAAGATGACAATGTCATGGCTGGAACACACACAGTATTGAGTGTGCACGGAGGATTCATGCGCGTGCTTTTGTGGCGCCCCAGACTACAGGCGGCCGAACAGACTAGGTTACCCTGGGGTAACAAGGCTGGGTTATGTATCTCGGTTACCGTGGTTCGTCATACCCCTGTAACGGACCTTGAGATAACGGACCCCTGACGAGGACTTTACCGGTCGGTTACCCCTCGGTAGTTAAATGGGTAATGTAGGGGGGGCGGTAACCCCGGGGTAAGACCTGGTTCGACTGCTATAGGGTGTAGCCTTACTGACAGGGCTTCGTATTCCTTCATTGGCTATGCGTAAACGTTCGTATTCGATCCGGATAACAGTGCCGTATTCTTGCAGTCCTCATCCGTAAATTGAGTGTTGCATCCGTATTCACGGTACAGGGGGCATAGCATGCTACCGCCTGTTTGTGCTACACGTGCTCGGGACACTATGCAGAAATGTTCACGTTCACTCTAGTGCACGTAACCGTGGGACTCCTGCATCACAGGCAATTCGTAAACCTTTCCCTAACATTCGTATTCCCTGTCCGTATTCACTGTCCGCCTATACGGAAGATAACCATCTGTAATCCGGGGTCAGAATACGGAAAGGTCGTCCCCCATTTTACGAATGGGTGTACCCTGGTTTTCCCAGAGTGTCCAGGCTAAAGTGAGTTCTAGCTTTGGTCCGCGTTTCGTTTCCCCCTTATTAAGTTGCACCCGCGCATCCGGACTCTGAGGTTGGGCGCCTTCATTCATGCCCCCGCTCTTGCCCCGGTCGTGCCCACGGTTCTCCGACCCGTGGGTCACTTGCGGGTAGTTCCTCACACCCGCCGCTAAACAGCCATTGCCTCCTCCGCCACCGTCACCAGTAGGGTAGGTGGCCCGCAGCTAGAATGATCCAACGGAACCCCACAACATGGAGCCGGCGGCGCCTACATGGTGACATGGTAGGTGGCAGCGAGGGTTTTGAGCGGAATAATAATAATAATGATAATATTTACGCCGGGCATTGCCCTGGCTTGTGTTAAGGGGGTGAGGCAGTGAGGGGGGTTAGCCCCTATATGCCAGCACCACCGCCGGGAGTAGCTAATTAACCCCTTAAGTTTACCCTACTGCCACAGCTCGCGTCCCCCGCTCAAGGATGCGTCGGCAGAGCACTATTTTGTTTAAGTAGTGGATGGCGTGGTGGTGTAGTTCCTCGCAGCATTTCGTGGCATAGCTGGGCTTTACCCCGACTTCGACTAGTATCTTGTGCAGGTCTTTCCTGATAGTGCCGGCGACACCCAGGCTAATGGCCTCCTGAGTGGTGTAGTGGACATTCCAGCCCTCTTGCTGAAGCACAGCTGCGAGGCGCCTATGCTGCTCGGCTTTCTGGTGCTGCTTTTCAGTGTGGCGGAGGTCGCCGGCGTAACCGATTTCTAGGATGTAGATATCATATGCAGTGGGGTCCCTGGGTCGCTTGCGCCTGCCGTTGTGGGCTTTCAGCCCTTTAATGAGGAGGATATCCGGCCTCATTTTCCGCCAGTCTGCTTCCGCGACGTGCTGTGGCCTGAGCCAGTTAGGGAGGCGGTTGCCATCAACGAAGTGGGGTAGATCCCTTTGGCTACCGGCGTCCATCACCATGTAGCTCCCACCGTGTCTTCCTTGGTGTATTGCTTCAGCCACTACGCGTACTGCACCATCGTGCCGTTCACAGTACAGGCCGTGCATGCGCGGATCGGTGCATCCTCCTAGGATGTGGCCGCCTGAGTCGCGCGCCTTGCGGCAGATGGGGCAGGGTGCTCCAGAGTTGCGGACTTCAGGCGGTGCGTCTGCGTGCCACGTGTGTCGGCGTTTCCCGGGCATTTTGTAGCGCTGACGCAGCCCTTCGTGAAAGAGCTGTCCCCAGCGGGCGTCAAATGCCCGTTTAGCATGTTTGTGTGCATTTCTATTGCTGAAGGTGATGTTGCTCGCCTTGGGGCAGAGTTCCTTTCCCTTCTCTTCCCAGCACTGCGTGTAGAAAGTGTCTTTGGTGTACCCCTGGTGGGTCTTCCCTGGTAGCAGTTTCATAATCCCTTTGTTAAGGTCTGCCGCATACATGCCATGCTGTGTTCCTTTGAGCCACCACAGCCGGTCAAATGGCCTGTTGTCTGCTTTCTCAACTTCATCTGCTTGGGATTCGCCCCGGGCTACGGCTGTCGCTCCCTGGTCGGCGGCCTCATTTCCCTTAATGCCGATGTGTGATTTGACCTTCAGGATGCTTGTCCGCATTCCCCAGGTCGCTCTTTCGGTTAGAATGTCAGCGATGTCCTTTAGCAGGGCTTTATGCTTAGAGACGTGGAGCTTTCCTGTGTCGGTGATTGCTCTTCGAATCAAGTCTATCGAAGCTTGTGAGTCTGTGGCTATCAGCAGCGGGGCGTTGCCGGTGTGCTGCGAGCGCTGCTTTGATTGCAGCGAGTTCAGCCCTTTGTATTGTCATTGTGACACCGTGTCCGTTGGGGTCGATGTGCAGAGTTGTGCCTTGCGGGTCGTGTACGGCTGCGCCTAGCTTAACCGTCGCGTTGCCGTCCTCACTCTCGGACGTGATCTTGCTGCCATCCGTGTAGACTATTTCATTTGGGTTGAACCTTAGGGGCTGGCGTTTCGGGAAGGCTGCAGTAATGTCGTTATGTAACGTCGTAGCTTCATGGCCGCTAGTTAGCACTGTGGCTCGCACCTCAGGGGCTGCTGATGCTGTGAGCGACCTCATTTTCCTTAGCACGCGTTGGCTGTACGCGCGACTGTGTTCAGCGTTGCTGGGCTCCATGGCAACTAGCTCATCCGGCACGCCGGTCGCTTGGAGGCGCCGGAGCTGGTGCCGGAGGTAAGACCAGGCTTCTCTTTGTACGAGTGTTCTGCCTTTCGTGTCCGCTACGAGGATAATATCCAGACGTCGCGGGTTGGTGGTGGTCTTCTGTTCATCAGGTGACGCTGTTGCGTCCTGGCCACAGGCCTTCTTACTGTTTCGGACAGCGATCCTGCGGGCCCACGGGGTTTCCAGGATCCTGGTGTATGGGCCTGTTTTCGCATAAGGTGCTATTAGGAGGGCTGCGACGAATCCCGCCTGCCTACCTCCGGCCGCACTGGCTGCGCGGTCGCTCCAGTCGGCGCTTGCCACCGCCCAGGCCGCAGCGCGTAGCGTGGTCTCTGTGTCCGGGGGCGGTTGAACTACGGTGGCCCCTTGAAGCGGCCGGTTGAACGTTCCGGATTGGCACCAAAGAGCTGGTCCTCTTCATTTTCGCTGATGTAGACACCCATCCTTCCGTCGCATGTCAGTGGTGTCGCAAATTGCTCGCATACCTGTCCCTTGGGCGTAAGCCGTCCTAGAGCAGTGCGGAGTACCTGCTGCAGGTTGCTCTCCTTTTCCTGCTCCCATTTCTGTGCGCCTTGTCCCTTAGAGTCGTGATTCCGCAGGAGGAGGCGGGCTACGTTCTCTTCAAATGTGCGGTTGCCGGCGAGCTGGCTATGGAGCTCACTGTGCACGGCTGCCGTGTGCTGGTACCTGCGCCATAGGATGGTGAGGCGCTGGGATGACATGCACCCTACGCAGGCTCCCTGCGGGTTGTATACGTAGGCTGTATGCTCCGTGCCGCTCACGGGTAGTGCTGGGCCGCTTCTGTCCTTATTTTTGTGGTAGAGGCCAATTTGAATTGTGTATGCCCCTGTGGGCTGGATGTCTTTGTCCGGGTTGCATGGTATGCTGGCGAGTGTGGTGCGTTCCCGTGTTTTCCTTAGGTTGCCTGTGTCTGTTGTCCGTGTGGGTACCCAGCGCCCCTGCCTCTGTTCATTGGTAAGGTGCGCGTCCCGTGGTGCGGGGGGGTTGGGTCGTGGTGCGGCTTTCGCCTTCTTTGCCTGATGGATTGTGAGGAGGGGTTTCCAGTTGTCCTGTATCATGATGTCTCGCTCAGGCATCTTGCTAGGCTCCCACTCGACGTATTTAAGCAGCTTTCCAGCCCCTTTCCCGTATTGGCGGCTTGCAGGTCGAATGGTCTTTGCATGGTACCCCATCGCCTTGTATGCTAGGATTGCCAGGGGGGTGACAATCGTTGGGTGCCATTCTACTGTATAGTATGATCCGTGTGTGTCGGGTGCGGATGCGTCATCCTGCACTCTTTTCCTGGTTTTTGTCATCCGCTTAGCCTCACGGTCGGTTACCTCTCGCTGCGAGTATGGGCCACAGATAATACTTCTTACTCGTTCAATGCCGTTGTACATTCCGTACACCAGCTGGTTGGCAACCGTTGTATCGTGAGGGTTGTTACGCACATGTTCTGCGATGGGCCCCTTGTCCGAGCAGAGCCACTCCCTCAGCCGGCGAGTGCCTCTGAATCTTCCCCTCCGAGGTGGGGGTTGTGGTGTTGGTGCATGTACCCCGTCTCCGCTTCCCGCTACCGGTGCGGTGCCAGGGGCATCTGGTCCGAGGTTGACGTGGTCGGCGTCGGCAGCGTTGGCGCCCTGGGCACCTCCCATGTGTTGATTACGAGAGACCTCATCCAGGTAAGCGAGGACCGGGTTTTCGCTTGCTAGTAGTGTGTTGTGTCCCCCCATCCTTGATAGCAGGGTATGTGATAGCGGCCTGCGGGCTGGTGGGGCCGTCGTTGTGCGCACGGGGCTATCTGTTAGGGCCTGCTTGATCTCCCGGCCAAGGGCGCGGCAGGCCCTCGATATGTCGGATTGCATAGCTTGTGCAAATGCGTGGAGGTCACATGTTGTAGTGCTCGCGGTTTCGTCTTCCCCCGTGTCGTGGGTGTGTGCTGTGCTTGGCCTGATTCTGATGTTGCGCACCCGTGTGTTATCTGCGATGTATAGGTTGTTGACCTCAGGAGCAAATGTTTTGCCCTGGTGGGTTAGCTCGATGCCGTTGTCTCTGGCGAGGCTAAGTCGTTTAATTAGGGTATAGAATCTGCCCTCCCTCTGCATTTCGTGTACAGGCATGTTTCCAATTGCTGCGTATTGATAGCAGAGCAAGGCCTGCGTAACCACGCCCAATCTACCGCTGTCGTTCAGGGCTAGGACTAGGGCCTTACTAGCGTGTCGTATTCGGGAAGTAGTGATCCGACGCCCAGGCCAAACATCTGCGTAGGTAGCAAGATCGCCCGTGTTGGGAAGCCTGGCTTCAGTCCATAGCACCTCTTAGCTACCCTCGCTATCATCCCGTCTAGGAGGGCCTCTTTCCTTAATCGATTTGCATGTTTCATGGAGCTGTGTCTCCCAGTTGAGGGTCATGGTGATATGCACGCCTAGGTACTTGAAGGCGTCCGTTGGCGACAGGTAGGGGATAGCGGTGCCTCCGATTGTGATTTTGTCACATAATTGCCGTCGGAGGACGGTTTTGTTGATGGGTCCGCTCGTCATGCCCCCGTCGCGGTCCGCCATCTTATTCAGTATTCCTGTAACTTTACACTTGCTGTGGTTCACCTGGAGCCCTGCCCACGCTGCAAAGTGGGCTATTTTGTCGCACTGGTGCTGTAGGTCCACGGGTCTGTTCGTAGCTACGGCGATGTCGTCCGCGTACGCCGCAGAGCTTAGGTTATACTGTTTGTTGAGTTGTTCATTTAGGCATCCGTAGTGATATCCTCTACCTCCGACATGTAGCCACCGCAGCAGTGGTTCTAGGAAGATGATGAAGAGGATGGGGGAGAGTGTGTCCCCTTGCACGGTTCCTCTTTCAATGGGAATGGGTGCCGTGGATCCGTGTTCTGTCCGTATGCGTGTTCGTGCGCTGCTGTACAGATCCCGTACTACCTCAATGAGGTCGGTTGGCAGGCCCATGTCGTACATGATTTGCAGCAGCTTATCATGGTCGATGGTATTGAATGCGGAGGAGAAGTCTACGTAGAGTACATAGAGATCCTGTTTTGTGAGGCCCGCATCTTCTATGGCGTTCAGCAGGTTCTGGATTTGACGCTCTGTGTTGCGGTATCGGAGGAACCCCTCTTGTGATTCGCTGAAGAGTTGGGCTATAGGGGCGAAGCTGCTGATCGACACAGTGATGAGACTGGTCCATAGCTTGTACGTTGTGTTTGCGAGAGCTATCGGCCGCTTGTTCTTGATCAGTAGTGGGTCTGGTGGTCACCCGCTTTGGGCAGTAGGACGGTGTCGGAGACGGTCCAGCTGCGGGGTGTTTGCGCCTTGACCCACATGATTTTCATAAGGTTGTGTAGTGCTTGCTGTGCGTTGCTGGGGAGGGCTTTCAGCAGCTCATTTGGGATGCCATCCGGTCCGGTAGCTTTCCCTTTTGCCAGGTGTTGGATGCAGCTGTGGAAGTTGGCGTGGTCACAGATTTGTGGTAGTAGTGCATGGTCGTGCGGTGATGTTGGCGCCGTTAGGTGGAATGGGTCGATGGCTCCTTTCCGAAGCCATGGGTATGTCCGTCGTACCTCGCTCGGGAGGTATTTTCCGGTTTTGGGCCCGCTGACTGGTGCCGACAGCTTTTTGAAATACGTGTGTAGCGAGTCAAGGATTGTGGCCGGTTCGGTGCAGAGTTGTCCGGTGGTAGGGTGTAAAGTGGCTGGGATGCCTTTCTCTTGTTCAGATATATCAAAGATAGCTTTGCGGGCTTTCTTTGGTTGTTGTGCCATATTCCGCTGGAACCGGCGGCGTGCGTTGTCGATTTGCTGTGGGCTAATTTGCTTAAGGTAAGTTGGGGTAAGTTTTGCCACCAGGATTGGTGTGTTGCGATGCCGCAACCACTCCGCCTCCTTTCCTCAGGTCGTCCTGTACTTGTTCCTCATTCCTGATATGGAGTTCCTACTCCATTTCGGCGACGGCTGCACGCAAGGACTGCCGGTCCTCAGCTGGAACATATGTCGTGACCATCCCAACGCTGGCTTTACCATGCCATCATACTCTATATGGGACCACTCTCTGGGCCCGACCCAAATGAGAGTCTACCACCGGTGTCTTCGGAAAAGGTACGGAAACCTAGCTTCACGTACCTCCTAGCGGTGGCAGCATCCGCAGCATAGGTCACGTAGCCTGCAGTTGTCTGTTAGCGGCCCACAGTCACCGCAGAACCCTGCCCCCACCCCTGCTCCCCCTAACTTGCGGTTTCCTTTACGGTTGCGATTACGGTTACGGTTTCCCTCTCCACAGGTACCCCGCCAGCAAGCGCAAGCCCATGGCTGTGTGGCGCGGGAGCACGACGGACACCCGCTTCGGCAGCTTCAACAAGGACAACTACCTGCAGGTGAGAGCGGGGCGGGGGGGGGCTTACGTAAGGAAACCGACGAGCTGTATGACGAGGCAGGTGTGCGGGGGGACGGTACGGCAGGCTTACGTGAGGCGCATATACAGGCCTAGATGCCAGCCATGCTGTATTCCGTTTAAAATGGGGGAAGGTGGAAGGGAAGGGATGCCCTAGGCAAGCCAGCAGCCTGTGACCGGGTGTCGTAGCAGCAGCACCCATCATCCCCTCATCCCCGGACGCGCCCCCTTTCCCCCCGCTTCCTCCCTTCCTTCCCTTCCCTCCTCCCAGGCCCTTCGCGTGCAGCTGCACCTGCTGGCTCGCAACCACAGCGACGTGCTGGACGTGAAGATTGCGGACCCACTCAACTGCGATGACTTTGTACGTTCCCAGCTCACCGACACCGGCTCTCGACTCAGCTTTGAGGACTTCAACACCTACTGCCTCATCGTGGATGTAGACGGCAACGGCTGGAGCAATCGCTTCGGACAGCTGGTTCACTTCAACACTCCCATCCTCAAAATGGCCTCCAACCACACCGCCTTTTTCGAACACCTCTACGCGCCAGGTGTTGCGATCGAGCAGTTTAGCAGGAACCTGAGTGACCTACCCATCAAGGCGAGGCGCATGATTGCGGACTGCATGGCGGGAGGCGAGGAGTCGCGGGGGCAGCAGTTGGCGAACAGCATGCAGGCCACAAGCAGAGTCCTGATGGACCATGTGGGAATCGCAGAGGCCTTTGCGTACGCGTTGTTGAACTACCGCCGGTTGAGCGCCTGGGCGGTGGACCCGTCCTTGCGGGAGTTTAATCCGGTAAGCTCGAGCTGTTGTTCTTACACGAAGCTGCCGAGAACGTTTGCAAAGGTGGTGGAAGAGCACCACTTTGCGGTAAAGGAGGGACGGCAGAAGGTTGTGGTGGCGCCTAGTCGGAAGGGGTTGGGGGTGTAGCGGTGTGATAGCTTTAGGAGGAGGTTTCTGTTTGGGGCTGTCTGGTCGTTGTGAGGTTTTTGGAGAGCTCTTGGTGGTGGTGGTGGAGATGAACGTATGAGAGTGGGTTTGAAACGTTAACAATGGTTCAAGAAGGCGTGCTGAGGTGAAGTGCTAATGGCTAGGAAGAGGTTGGGCGCACTCTGCAGGAGGGGTTTGAGTGATAGGATAGGATGACGACGCGGGCGATGTAGCACATGCATGGGTGTGCCGCTGTTTGTGTGCATATGCGCCTGCATGGGGTTCTATTTCTTGACGGGGTGCTGCTGTCCCTGCGTGAACATGTCGCATCGCATGCGCAGCAGCCAGCAGGGTCCTTGGCGGCTGCCGTGGCAGTGTCCTGGTGACCAACACACAACCTAGAAACTTTGAAAGCTAGGGTGAAGGCAGTAACAGTGGTCGTCACCTTTGCTTGGACACACGCTCGGTGTGACCTTCAACATGTAAAGTGCAGTAAATGTGAGCGCGGCATTACTGGCTCGCAAGGGGTCCAACCTAGGCAACATTGTAACCCGGGCTGGCCGCTGCAATCACCCTTTCGTTCTCAGCGGCACCGTGCTGCCTTTCGTTTTTGGTTGTTATTTGAAGTGCTATCTTGCATTTCCTCGCTTGGCCAATGGCTATTGACATAGCGACCCACACGCTAACGGAACATCGCGAATGGACCAGATATCCATAGTATGCTTACCCTACAACCATAGTTACAGGTGCGATGTAAATCTGTGTTTAACTTAACTGCTTGTTCCGCCAGGCTTACAATGTCCCGAAACCATTAGTAAGGCCATATGACCAACATGGGCTTCCTACCCTGACAGCTTGTCGTAACACACTAGTGAAAACCGAATAGGCATTTATACGTTATGCTAAAGTAGTTACGTTTGGTAATTTACGGTTAAGAATGGCTCTTCATTTCCAAAATTGAGCAAGCACAAGACTATTGCTGGGCAAATGATATAATCATTTTAGATCATGTATGGCTCGCGGGGTCTTTCGGTTGCGATGTGGCTGCGCAAGCGGGCGCGGGGCCATTTTGGCCGCCAACGTTACAGATGGCTTCAACCTCGCAACATTCTTTTGTGCATAGGACTTCTAGCTTGCTACTGGCCGTATCAATTTTTACGGGAACATGTCAGGGAAGCTCACGCAGATTCCTTGCTGCGTGCGGCTCAGTCAGCAGCGTTGCGGCTCAAATCCTTGCAGCAGGACTCCCTAGTACGTCAATGCGTCGATGCTGCTTGGACGGGAAGGATGCTGGTCGGCGAGTCATTCGAGGGCCCATGCAGCCGTGTCAACGATCTGCTAGCGCTGCTCCGGGCTGCGGGGCCGATAATCCCTCTGCACAGCGATGGGAGAGAGTACAACCGCACGGGCATTTGCGGCGGTGGCTGCTTTTTCGCTGGCAACGTACGCGACGCGCAGCTAGTGATGCCAAACTACATCTACCATCTAATCCATGTGGTCTCAGCACTTGGTGAGCAAGGCAACCCAACCTTCGTATCCATCTACGAAAGCGGCAGCCACGACCGCACGACGGGGTGGTTGCGCGTGCTGGGCGACGTGCTGGATGCGATCAGGTGGGTACCCGTGGGGGCTGATTAGGGCGTTCCTGGGCTGGCTAGGCTTACGGCGTTACGGGGTCGTGTACCTCGTGTCACGTGCACCATGCCACCAGTGCCTGTTAATCCAGTGCGACCTCTGACGCCTGATGCTGATTCCTCCCCGTTTTCCTCTTCCTCCCTGGTTCTTCCCTCCTTCCGCAGTGTCCCTCATGAGCTACAGCTGGGCGGTTCCATCCAGCGCCAAAAGGGCGAGGAGCGAATCCACTTCCTAGCCCGTGTTCGCTCCGCAGCCCTCACACCCCTCTACCAGCAATGCAGCATCCGGAGCATCTTCTGCGCACCCGCCGACGACCCGCACTCCCACTCCCAACACCACTCCCACCTCGCTCGCCCCGGCCGGCATCTGGCGGCCGGCGGCGCGGGGCGAGTTGTCTTCCTGAATGATGTGCTGTTCGCCGCCTCGGACGTTCTGCGGCTGCTGCAGTATCCCGCGGATCTGGTGTGCGGGCTGGATCTGGGTATGGCTGCGGAGCCTGATCTCACGCAAGTCGAGCACCAGGATACGGTGACGGCCTACCTGCAACACCTCTGGATGCTGCCGGCGGGGCTAGCGCGACGGCTGGCCCGCATGCAGGCGCTTGAGCGCTGGTGGCGCCGGCAGCACAAGGCGCATGAGGCACGGTTTCGGAGCTTCGGGCCGTTGTTCTTTTACGATAAATGTGTGGCGCGGGACATCTCCGGCCGCATGTTCACCAACAGGGCGCCGTACGTGGCGTACGAGCCCAGTATACGGCGGGTGGCGATGGGGCAGCCGGTGCGAGTGCATTGCTGCTGGAACGGGCTGGCGGTGATTGGCGCCGAGCCGCTGGTTCGGAGGGCCGTACAGTTCCGCGAGCACGTGGAAGGGGAGTGCTCCGCCTCCGAGTGCAGCCTTCTCTGCGACGACATGTGGCGACTCGGCTACGATGACGTCATCATGGATCCCAATGTTCGAGTGACGTACGACGTACCGGGTGCGAGCCGGCTGTACCGGGGTTTCACTGCTGACGTGCCGCTGGGTGTGCCGGGGGTGGCCTACATGCCGGACGTGGCGGAGGTGCTGTCGCTGCCGAAGCATGAGGACCTGCTGAGGGAGGCGGGCGGGGCGGACAGCGGGCAGCCCCGCACGCGGCAGGTGGACTGCTGCGACCTGGCCAAGGGGGCGGACATGGTGGAGTTCCGCGACCCAGGGGTCTGCCACAACGCCACGGTGGTGCTGAGCTAGCAGCGTTGAGCTAGCAGCGTTGAGCTAGCGGCGGTGAGCGCCACGGACGTGTGGTAGTGGGCTGGGTTTCGCCTGCAGTCAGTTCATCGCGAGGGTAGGCGCCTGGTGGTGTATGGCCTGGAGGGTTTGGGGCCAACGTGCGGCGAGGTAGCCCAACTCTGCCGCATGGCTGCCTAGGTCGTTTTGGCCAGAGGATGGCTCCATGCCGGAGCTGGTTTCACCAACTTCAGGGGACATCGTCTTCAACCCTTACCCATTTTGGGGTGTCCCTGGTGCCTGGCCTCGCGGTTTTCCTCTAAGCCTTATCGATCACCCCACCACCAGCAACGGAGTGCGTCCCGCCAAGCTTGGGGAGAACGGTCATCCGGACAGGATCTGCGTCCTGCAGTCATTGGCCAATGCCGACCCAGACATGGATGCCATCTGGCGGCTCACCCGGGAACTCCCCCTCTACTTCCGCCCTCTGAATTCATGGCTGGCCTACCCTTCAGGCACCTATGCACCGTGGAACGCACAAGCAACGCTAATCAGCGCCGAGCTTATTGCTGGCATGGCTCTTCCGGTGACCGTACACGGCCGCGTCAGCGATATTTGGCGTTCGTACATCCTTCAACGTGCCATGTGGGGCCTGGGTTGCGGCCTTGCCTTTTCCGCGCCCTGGGTCACGCAGTACCGTAATGTGCACGCTTACCTCAAGGACTTCCAAGCCGAGCTGGACCTGTACCTCAAGACGGAGGGGCTGCTGCAGGTGCTCAATGCGGTTGACCTGGACGGTACCACCGCGGGAGGTCCCCACAGGAGGCTGGAGCGGTTGGGAGCGCGTGTGCTGACGCTGTACATTGCCCTGTACGAGCATGGTCTGCTGGAGGTGAGGTGAATGGGTACGGCAGCAGCTCGGCGGTTTTGGGCTGTTGGGACGTCGTAACGGTAGTGCTTGGGTAGTGGTTGGACCGAGGAGGAGGGGAGTGGGTGAGGAGGGACTTATGGAAGGGGCCAGAGGAGCCCGGGAGCTGGGATCACATGTCCTCGAGCTGCTGCATGTTGTGACACGAGGGCGCACATGGGGCCATGACATCCGTGTCTGACGACATTGTCTGTTCCCGTTTTTGCTTAATTAAGTGACTTGGCTGTTTTGATGACTTGGGTTTTTGCTCTCCCCTCCCACACGCACCCCCCACACGCTCACAGGGGGACGACGTTCTCATGTTGTACTCGTACCTCACTGATCTGGGTCAGCTAACGGCAACGGAGCTGGTAGCGGTGCGGGCGGTGCTCAGTGCGCCCTCCTCCACCGCCGTCGCTGTCGCCACAAGCCAACCCGCAGTCCCGTCGCAGCAGCAGCGGGCAGCCGTCTGCGTCACCGGGCAGTTCCGGGGAGGCCCGTTTCCATGGACCAGCATTCAACGCAACGTCTTGAACGCCCTCGACATGGCGTACGATGTGTTCGTGGTGTCTCCGGCGGAGTATAAGGGTCAGGCCGCGAGCGATTTCCTTTACCAGCTAAAACCGCACGTGGTGCTGCACCCCGATTATGCGATTGTGGAGGAGCTGATTAAGCTGGATGGCTGGGACCTAACGGGCTTCACCGCCCCGCATAATCCCAAGAAGTGGCTGTTCCAGATAGCGGTGAGTTTGATTATGCATAGCTGTGGTGTTGCTTGAATCTGTTAGGAAAGAGGCAGTTGGCCCCTGGTTCTTCTTGGGTTGGGGGGTTGGGTTACTGGGTGCGCCTATTTGTGTTGATGTTCGTGCAGGGTAGCGAACGGGTCATGTGTGATGCATGCTTGGCGAAGTCATTCATTGGGTCCGGAAAATCCGAACGAGAAGTGCCTGTGCGTAGATGATTGAAAGTCAATTAGTTCTAAGCACTACTGTATGCTGACGGCCACTGCTTGACACCCTGTGCGCTTAACCGCACCTGACTTCCTCCAACTTCCTCTTCCATCCCACAGGACTTGAAGGTCTGCGCCGATGCAATCAAGAACTCCTCTATTACCTACACCCATGCTGTCCGTGTTCGCGCCGACTCCATGGTTCTCACCCGCCTGCCGGAGGCCATGCCAAAGCTGCAAGTAAAGGATGTGGTGGTTCCCGCGAATGAGAGTTTCGAGGGAGTGAATGACAGGTTTGCGTACGGCGGCATTGACGCAATGATGTCGTATCTGACCGTTCTCGACGTGATTCCCGGCATGCTGGCAGATTTGGTCGCTAAGAAGGACCCACCGCCGGCCTCTAGGAACGCGGAGGGGATCCTGCAAGCGCAGTTGGAGCGTAATAAGGTTGTTGCCTTGCCCCGGGTGGTCATGTTGTGCCGTCTGGAGGAGTATGTGAGCGGGAAGTTGCGATGTGACGAGCATGACTATGCAACGTTTCCGGAGTGCAAGCAAGCCTGCGATGAATTGAGTGGGCGCCGCTAGTACATGCGTATGGCGTTGTGTAGTGTAGTATTTATGAAGTTGTTGCGAGTCTGGCTCCCTCCACAGGGCTTCCGTGCAGGTGGATTGCGTGGCTTGAGTTGACTTGGTGTGTTTGGCAACGGCTTGTGCAGTTGTCTGCGTCTTTCTTTGCTCATGACTCGTGAACATACGAATGGACAATTCATACACTGCTTACAGTGGCACAAACGTGCCATCTAGCGCATCTTATGTCCGGACATATGCTAGTATGACAATGTTTAATGGTCACCGGGCAAGGGCCAACCTTCGACAATGCCTGTTTTTGCGTATTCGCTATTCGTGTTTTCGGAGCCTTCTGGAGGCCAGCCCGCTGGGGGTAAAGAGGAGACGTTGATGAGCTGGATGTGGAGGCTGCATGGTTGACTAGCCCGCTGGGGGGGGGCAGAGTCACAAACACGGCTTGCGCGCACAATGTTGCAGTGCTGTCGCTGCCGCTGAAGTGCGCCGTGCACCTTAATCAATATCATGCCGTTAACTGACGTGGTCTGGTCAAATCACCTGTGCTGTGGCTTGGCTATTGGTAAGATACCCATGGGTCGCACGGGCGTGGTAGGGGGGTCCGAGTGTGGCGGCATCTTGCAGCAGCGGTGTTTGCAGCAGCAGGGATTCTTAGGGTGGTGCTCATCGCTATCTACATGTGTTGGCGTGGAGGGCCAGGGACCTGCGCCGGGTACTCTGGGGCCGTGTCCATGTTGAGTGGGACACGTGGGTCGAAAATCGTCGCGTTTTGCTTTGGTCTCACCAGCTCGAGGTCTGGTGTTTTGGAAACGTTGGTAGGCGAGCCGCTGCATTCTTAATTTTTTTTGCCAGCTGTGTGTCGGGCTTGGGCGCATCTTGAGCGGCGCCTCTGGAGGGCAACATGGCCTATAGTCGGGCACAGGTCCAGGGCAGGGCCAGGATGGGTTAATGTAATGGTCTATTGGCTTTCATGACCAACCTCACAACATAGCATTTCGCCTCACATCACTGCAATCGCTCCGACGTGGCGTTTAGCGTAAGAAGTCCCCTGGAGAGAGCGGCCATTGCTTGGAGATGACCGGACACGTGTTGGCCTGACGACGTGTCTAGGGCATGGCTGCCCATTCCGCTTTTGCAGGGTCATGGTGCGAGGCTAGTGGGAGGCTATGACCGTTAGGGGCTATCTGATGCTTGGAAGTGAAGGCGGCGTTATAGCCGGGAGGCTGGCCGTTCTTAGCAAAACTGAAGTGTGTTGGGGCACAGCGAGGCATCCTGGCATCATAGTAAAGCCCCCGCACACCGGAACGCTGCCTGCACTGGCCATAAGCTGCTTGCTTCAGAAACCTCTTCCGAGACGGCACACACCCACCAACCCGCGGTGGTTCATGCGGGCGCATTAAAAGCAGTACACACCGCGTGCGACCCAAGGCTGGCTGCACCTGATTAGGAGCGTGGCTGTTCAGGAATCGGTGACAATGACTTCATTTCATGCGCCTTCATACCGGTTCCCTTAACGCGCGCTCATATGTGCGAACTGTTGGTCTAATCACTCTATTCGACCGTACATCAACACAGCGCCGCATACCCGCACTAAACCGCATGGTACAACATCCATCCAAGCCATCCAGCTGAACTGATCACCGCTACACGTACCGTAATCCATGTGCATTTTCCAAATACGCCTTAAGCCAGACAGTTGGAGCATCAGCCCAAACCGATCCGAAATCCGATTTCTGTCCGTAAACCCGAAAGAATAAACTAGTTCAGTCAAAGTAGTTCGTATGTTGATTGTATTAGCCTAAGCCAACCGGTTAGCCGAGTCAACGAACTGGGCAGAGGAGGTAACACTGCAAGCAATCACAGAGCCCGCCTTAGGGGACCACTCACGGAGGCCGGCCTGCCGCAAGTGCTCCCCTACATCCCCTGGACAACGGGACAAGCCGAGAATTCCGCAACCTCACCTGCTGAGAGGGAGCCTGACTAGTAGCGCATCAGCAAGCCCGGAATCACGCTCTCTAGCAACGCACAGTCACACGAATATCCCAGGCACCTCTTTTCGAATAGGACATACCCACCCACCCATCCTTTCACCACCGATACCGGCACCAATCAAGACGCACGCACGCCCCAACTGTCAGTTCCCATTGTCGATGTGCTCCGCTCGCCCTTGGTACGCACGCACGACACCCAACTGATACGTATGCAGCAGTGCAGGCGGCCATGCCTCGCCGTCGGCCATGCAGCAGAGCAGGCGGCCCTCAGAAGCCCTCCTCGCCGTCCGCCTTCCGCAGCGAGCCCAGCTCCACTGGCGCGCTGGTCTGCACAATGGTGCTGTGGCTGTACTTGCTGGCGTCCACGCCCTGCTCCTTCTCCTTCTCCAACTGCTCCTTGATCCAGAAGTACGTCAGCCTGCGAGCAAAGCAAAACACGTACAGCATGACACGACAGGTTGTGTCGCTTGCTAGTTCACGGTTCGTCTCAATGTACAAATGCATGCCCAGTAAACCCTGCCAACCTTCTTCACCAAAGCCGCATTCGCTAACAACAACTTCATCCATTACCAAGCGCCCACGGTACCCGCCTCCTCTTCAACCCTCAAACCCCTTGGTGCTGGAACAGTACGAGCAGAGGTCCACTAACCCCTCCCCACCGCATCCCTGGTTCCTAGGTTGAGCTCTAGGTTTCCTCTTCGTCGCCCCCCTCCACCCCCCCCCTCATCGCACCCAACCCCACCTGAGCCCGTCCTTCAGCGTCACGGTAGGCTCCCAGCCCAGCTTCTCCAGGATGAGCTTGTTGTCCGAGTTGCGACCGCGCACGCCCTCGGGGCCGGGGATGTGCTTGATGGGCAGCTGCTTGCCCTCCATTGACATGGCCAGCTCCATCATCTCGTTCATGGACACCATCTCGGTGGAGCCCAGGTTGAGCGGCTCCGTGAAGTCCGACTTGGTGATGCGCAGGATGCCCTCCACGCAGTCGTCGATGAAGGTGAAGCTGCGCGTCTGCTTGCCGTCGCCCCACATCTCGATCTCGGTGGCCGAGGTGAGCACCTGCGCGGGAGGAGAGTGATTGGATCGTTCGGAAGATTGCGGAGTGGGTAAACGTGAGGTGAGCACCCCTGACGCCCTGAGGAGGGCAGTCAAGGAACCAGCCCCGCTCCGATGTTGCGAGGCAGGGCGATCAGGACGCTAGGGTCATATGGGTTCAAGAGGAGGGGGAACGGTGGGCATGGGCAGCAGGTGGAGGAGGGACAACATGAAGGCGGTGGGCACCTGAAGAACCACCCGCTCTAGTTCGAATCCTACAAAACGACAGCAGGCTGTCCCACCCCACTTGCCCATCTCCCACCCGTTCATTTCCTCATTACCCGTCCTCTTCATCCACTACCAAGCGCCCACGATACCCTGCCCTCGCCTCCTCTTCAAGTTATCAACCACCCCTCGAACCAATTGGTGCTTAAAAAGTACGAGCAGAGGTCCACTTACCCCTCTCCCTCCGCCCCCTCCCCAGCTTTGCAGTCCCACCTTGCGGCAGAAGGCGGCGGGCGCCTTCTCACGGCCTCCCTTCCACGTCCCGTGCGGCCCGTAGATGTTGTGGAAGCGCGCCACGCGGCACTCAATGCCAAAGTCCTTCTGGTAGTGCTTGCATAGCTCCTCCGTCACCAGCTTCTCCAGGCCGTACGCGTCTTGGGGCTGTTGTCGTGATGTGCGCGACGGCGCCGCCGTACGGCACACATGCGCAGGGCGGAGGGGGAGTTGGGGCCGCGAGAGGCGGCAGCGCGTTGCACAAACAAGCTGTTAGCCCGGAACCGTGCGAGCCGCCACCCAACCCCAGCAGTCGCACCCAACCCCATCGCGGCACTAGGAGCTATCATCACGGGTTGCCACTATCGTTACTAACTTTGGCTTTATTCGGTTTTCCCTGCCCTCCTCATGAGCTCCCCGAGCAGTCGCAGTCGCACCCACCCTCCTCCCCAGCTCCCACCTGCGCGGGCCATGCGTCCGCCTCCTTCAGGCCGCCGCCCTCCACGGTGGTGTCCAGCTGCTTGTACTCGGGGTAGATGCAGGCGGAGGAGGCGTAGAAGAAGCTGGGAAGGGGGGCGGCAGGAGGATATGTAAAGAGGAAGAAACTTACTGACCGTAAGACGAGGCTCCATCATGGGTCGCATCATGGTTGCGGACCCAGCGTTAGTTCAGAGGGGAAAAATGGGAACAAGGCCCCTGGGGCCAGGGTAATGGGCAGCTTGGGCAAGCCGAGGCTTAGCGGGTGGCTGGGCCCATGTCCGACCAGGCGAGGTGTGTGAGAGTGCCATGCCGGTTATTCCACATACCCGCACAGCGCGGGCAGCTCAACTAACGGAGCTACTGCTCGGTAGCCTTCTGGATGCCGTATCCTGACGTACAGCCACACCGGGGTTGCGGGGTACCATGCTGCAAGAAATCCCCTCCGCGCTGCTGCAACTGCTATCCTGCCTCACCGCTTGATGCCGCAGATGCGCGCCGCCTCCATCATGTTGAAGGAGACCATGGTGTTGTTGTACATGATGACGGAATGGTTGGACTGGATGAAACCCATGCCGCCCATGTCCGCAGCCAGGTTGAACACGTGCTCGCAGCCCTGGCACACCTTCTTGCAGTTGTCGTACACGCGCAGGTCAGCCAGATGGAACTCGTGGCAGAATTCCTCCTCCTGCCGGTCAAGGTGGCGGGGCGGGGGGCAGGGGCGTGGAGCGCTCACAGGGAAGACCATCAGACCATGCTACTAGCCTTCTAGCAATTAACAACCTTATGTGAGATTCTTTATCTTGCGCTTGCAAGGTTAACGCATAATGGTGGTATGTGAGCGTTGATCTTTAGGAAATTCAAAACGCGTCAACCCAGCAACCGCTGGTTCCAGCATAATGCCTCCTTTCGCCAAGCACATACCCATGCTCAACATACCACGAAGTGCTCGTTGCGCTTCCAGTCGCAGGCCACGATATAGTGGCCCTCTGACTTAAGCCGCTTCGCCAAATGGCTAGCAATGAATCCTCCCGCACCGGTCACGCAAATTTTGAGCTTCTTCTCTGGCCAGTATGGCTCGAAAGGGTACTTGGCCAGCTTGGAGACCGACGCGTAGTCCGCATGAACAGTGTCGGCTGACATTTTTAGCGTGTCCTAGCAGCAAGGTCCGGAGATCTAGATGCGTCGGATACAGTATACGGATGCACAGTTATGGTTTGAAGGTAGCGTAGCTTTTAACAGATTCAAGTTAATCCAGCTGGCGCGAATTACAGACGCTTGTCCCAAGGCCTGCCACGAGCTAGATATTAGTTAATATATCAACGGTGAGGTATGTGTAACATCATAATTGTGGTAAGAGTTTCCCGGAATTTATACATCATGGCTGGCAACACCGTACCGTGCCCGCGTGTCGTACACGGCGAAAGCCGAATCGCATCGTGTCGCACCCGCAGCTGTTCCTGCACTCCCAATTCGCCGAAGACAAGGAAACGCATCTCTAATAATTTTGGGGCCCCTGAAGTACAACCTAAGCTAATAGCCCATCGCAACAGAGAGAGCCGTCTTACTATGAAACCTTCTACAGCCGTACACCCGTGTCCTATCCAGGGGCTTCCCCCCACCTGCAGCTGAACCACCTATGACGCCCCAAAACCAGGACGCAATTGATGCAATGCCTGCTCTCTTAACTGGCATAGCCTTCAGCGGCCTTGCATGTATTGGACAAATCTAGGCTTCATTGTCGCCAAGCACCTTTCATACCGTTGTGACTTCCGCCACCAGCCGCTGTCCACGTGCCCGTGGTACACGTAGCTGCTGTTCTGCCAGCCTTGGACTCCCACTCCAGCACAGTCACCTTGCTGGATGCCGGTCTGGGAGGAGTTGCCGAAGTGCGGAAGCATATCGTAAATGCCCGGTACGGTTTTCTGCAAGATGGCCTCCTCAACCTCAACCTTGACTCGCCCATCAGGGTGTCCCTGTGACCGACAGGAAATGTTGAGGGCCAGGGCCAACACCACGACATAAAAAGGCGCCCTCGCTGTTGGTGAATTCCGATGGCTAAGGATTGGGTTTGATGTCACGACCCATTTGTATGGATTGCCACACAGATGGGTCGGTCCTGGCTTGTCAGGATGTCAGCCCTCCTCACACACAAGTACATGTAAAATTTGCATTCTCAAACACGACAGCTGTCTGTTGTCCACCTCCGTCCATGCCTTTGGGTTTTGACTTACGTAGTGCTCGTTGACGTATGAGAAGCCTCCGAGCAGAATGGTAGCCCCCGGCACGCACCCAGCTGCTATGTAGAACTGGAATGCTTGGCTCTCCCACCAGCTTGTGTCTTCAAGTTGGTCAAAGTACGGGATAAACAGAGGCACAGCTTGCATATGGAAAGCCTGGATCTGGGAGTCAACGCAATCGTGGAAAAGCTGAGTGAAGGGAGCCCCAAAGTACAGCTGCCCGCTTGGCGAGCGGAACTCGGGCTGTACAGCAACGGAAGCAAAACCAACTGACGCATGGTTGACGGTGTCCCTCAGCAGGTACTCGATGAATATGTCGAAGCAGCAGCTGTGGAGGTCGTCGCGGCCCTCGCACAGTGCACACTTGGAGGGCCAAGCGTCCTCGTCCACGAAAAACCCTGCAGCATGTGCGCAATAGTTGCGCTTAGGAAAACACGCATGCGGCGTGCAGCAGGTGACGCACATGCCAAAGCTTCCCTAGCTGCTTACAGTATTTGTAAACTGTATCCATCGCTTTTTGTTGCCTAAAAACGGCCCTTGCCAACTCATTACGCCCCACTGTCCAAGTCGTGTTAGACAGGAAGGTACAGAAGATCTTGCGAACCTACAGGAAACAAACCGCAGTTTTGCTTCATCGCTGCATGCATGCACCAATGTAATCATCTGCCCGACATACATCCGCCAGGCATCGTCCGCGCTGCTCAACGTCATCCGCCGCGTTAAAGCGTTAAAACCCAAAACCCTAGTAAGCGATTAATCACGCGCAACGTACCTGCTGCTGGCGAGTATCAGAGCAATTCCTTACAGGCTTATCGTAAGTGCCGTAGTACAAGTCCACGGATGGATAGGTGCTCATGTTCAGATAAAGGTCCAGCCAGACCTCGTAGGCATCCGCGCGGCCTAGAACAACAAGCGCAACCCTCCCAGCATCTTCAAGACGCTTGGAAAGCGGTATTTTGTCATGCAGCTGCAGAGTCTGTTCGCGTAATATTGGTATAGCAAATAATAAGGATAGAGTTAGCAGCGCCATCAGCATGACGGCCGGGCGCAGCTGCGTCCAAGAACAGTTACCGCCACCCAGCATTGCAGATCGAGAAAGAAAACGTTACCGAGTAGGTTAGTTCCGATATCTGAAGAGTACTCGTTCGCATAGGTAGACCGACTGCCACTCCTAGAGCGAGTTCAATCTCTCTCTCGCCGTACTCCAGGCTAAAGTGAGTTCTAGCTTTGGTCCGCGTTTCGTTTCCCCCTTATTAAGTTGCACCCGCGCATCCGGACTCTGGGGTTGGGTGCCTTCATTCATGCCCCCGCTCTTGCCCCGGTCGTGCCCACGGTTCTCCGACCCGTGGGTCACTTGCGGGTAGTTCCTCACACCCGCCGCTAAACAGCCATTGCCTCCTCCGCCACCGTCACCAGTAGGGTAGGTGGCCCGCAGCTAGAATGATCCAACGGAACCCCACAACATGGAGCCGGCGGCGCCTACATGGTGACATGGTAGGTGGCAGCGAGGGTTTTGAGCGGCTGCTGCTGCAGGCAGCTGCACGTTAGGTCCTTCAACCAGATCGGGGGCCGATAGATACCGCCCATCCAGGCTCCCCCCGGCCTGCAGCAACCCCCAACTCACACCGCCCCGGTGCACCATGCATAGGGTAAATAGTGGCCACCCCACGAGCATCCAACGAGTGGGGCCAAGATGTTGATGCCAACAATTCCGTATTGCTCTGTCAAGCCACCAAAGATTAACCCCTGCCGCCCCATTAAGCTTTCGGCTTAGGCACCCGCACCGCGCTGTTTATAGTAAGGCGCTGTTTATAGTTGTTGTCTTGGCTGCTTTGTCCGCTATTGAAGAGGGTCGGTGGTTGTTACGGGCTCGTGTGCGTGAGTCTGGTTCTGCGGGCGTTCTGCTGTTTCCTGGTTCTGGGGTCAGCTTCGGGGTTTTGCTTGTTTGGGGTTTTCCCCGTCGGGGATGGGCTGGGGTTGGCCCTTCTCATCCTTTCTTACGTGTTGTTGGCGGGCGGCTTTCTGTGTGCCGTTTTGGCCCCGTCTTTGGGGTGGTATGTTCGTGGTTTCTGGGTTGTGATGTCTTTTGCTCTAGTGCTGGGGGGCCGTTTCTTGGCTTCTATCCTCTTGTTTACCTCCTGTGGTATCTTTTAGGGCTATGTCTCACATCTTGTTGGCCCGTTGTGGTGCTGTCTTCACGGCTTGTTCCGTTTCTTTTGCAATGTAGGGTTGGGTTCATCACCCGTGTTCCCTTTTAGGGACCCATTGTAACGGTCATTCATTAGTAAGGCACAAAATGACATGCAAGATCTCGTCAAGCCAGCATACCAGTACCCCTGTACCCGTTTCCGCAGTGCCTCATGCCTTTCGTTGCCGACGCGTTTCGCGTCTAGAACGACAGGTTTGGAATGGAACCCCTTATCGTGGTTCCCTACGCTTATTACAAGGGAATACGAGACGCCGACCGATTGATTGAAGGCCTACTGTCGGCAAAATTTAATTCTGTCGCTTTCGGGGCCCCACAACTTCACTCGCCCATCTCGGTTGGCATCCTTTGTCTGTATACAAGTTTCTGTGTACAATTATTCTGGGAAAGTAGTAGAAATATCCTGAATAGGCTCGCATTTGAGCCGTACATGTAACCAAGCACGCCTGGGAGTAAATTGAAACTAGATTCAAGCCCTGTAACTTAGGTGAATTGCTAGATATGCAAGGTATCATATCCTTGCAAAATGGGCTCAAAGTACTTGGGGCCAAGTATTTGAGCCGTACATGTAACCAAGCACACCTGGGAGTAAATTGAAACTAGATTCAAGCCCTGTAACTTAGGTGAATTGCTAGATATGCAAGGTATCATATCCTTGCAAAATGGGCTCAAAGTACTTGGGGCCAAGGAGCCCTCTGCGCGCCGCCGTTGCCCTTACAGCCCTAGTCATAGTCGTATTAGCTTTGTGGCACCGCCTTGGGCACCGAGTCGACTCTTCGTTAGCCGGAGTGAGCTTGGTGACTGTTCATGTACCAAACACTACCGACAGGCTTCACACCATCTGGACAGTCAATGGGTCATCTGCCAGCGGTATGCAATTGGAAGACAAACTCGGAATCGCGGACCGGATCGACGTGTACCACAACGTCAGTAATCTGCCGGGCAAATCCACCATCCTCTTCGCCTACCGCCGCAGCAGCTGCCCAGACTGGAACCGCGAGCACCCTGATAAGCTCTTCTCGAATTCGGTGTTCACCAGCGTGCTGCCGGCAGGCGGCGTGTACGTTGACATCGGGGCATGCTACGGTGAGGCTAGCAGCTGAGCAGCAGCTATCATGCTTGCATTGATAACCGCGAGCAATTCCTACCACGCCCCTTCTCGCCCCTCCTCGCTCCTAGGTGCCCTTCTGTAGACGTTTGGCAGCACTGCCTTCCTTACAAACTCTTACCCTATTCTGCCGCACGCCCTGTCTCGTCTTCTGTGCAACTCCTTGTAGCCCATTGCTGTCGTACAGACGTTGCCCCACACCCATTCCCTACTTGATGCGCACCCACAGGGGCAGTTGTCAATTAACAGCACTACGGTGCCAATCAACCCATTGGGTCTTCTTCATTCCCCCCCTCCCTCCTCGGGATATGGGATTGGGATTTGTTGTTTCACTTTTATATAATTTTTCCTCCCCCAATCTACTACCGTACTCCATCCCCATGCTCCAACACAACCCCACCTCGCTCCCCCACACTTCCACCCTCCTTATTCTTTTTCCTCCACCCTCCTCCGTCGTTTGCCCCCCCAGGCGACACCAGCGTGCCTCTCGCCATCCGTGCCGATACGGTCATCTCCTTTGAGCCCAACCCCTTCAGCTACAAGGTGCTGCAGCTTAACGCGGCGCTCAATCCCGGGCTGGACATCCGCACACACAACCTGGCGGCTGGGGACGGCCGGGTTTCGGAGCTGACCTTTACGTACGGCGGCGACATGTGCAACGGCGGGGTGCTGGGCAGCTGGAAGGACGCCAGCACGGAGACAGCGATCAAGGTCAAGGTGAGAGGGGAGCAGGGGAAGACGCACTTGCAGGGGTGCTATGTTAGTGCTGGGGGCGGGAAGGGTGCGGCCGTGACAGACGCGGCAGCTTGTGTATGCTGCGCCACGGGGGATGACCCCATGGCTGATGACCCCATGAATGGTAAAATACCTCATGGCACATAACCCCATGACTGAGGAAGTGATTACGGCGTGTGTGTGTACGTGCAGGCGGTGGACATCCCCTCCTTCCTGGCCAAGCAGTACGGCAAGGAGCTGCTGCAACGCATCAGCGTGATCAAGATCGACGCGGAGGGCTTTGACAGCACCATCATCCGCACGCTGCGCCCGCTGACTCGCCACTCGCGCTTCGTGCTGCTGGTGGAGTGGTTTGACTACTTTGTGACCAGTCCGCCGCACGGCAACGAGGGGCCCGAGGGGGTGCACCCGGGCGCCAAGGAGCTCTTTGACGCCATCGCGGCCCTGGGGTACGAACCCTTCGACCCGATCTCCGGGGCGCGCGTTCCAGGGCCGCAGAACAAGCACAAGGTGCCGGACCTGCTGTGCAGGCCTGTGGGCGCTTAAGACAGGGGATTTGTGGGGGTTTGGGTGGCCGGAGGTGGGGCTCTGGGGGCCATGGATGTGTTCAGCCCCCAGGTTGCCCGGGCGGGGGGTCAAAAGACCATACCACACCTTAGAAATCCACAGGTTAGGGCAAAGCAATGGGGGTAGGAGGAGGCAGGGTGCCACAAGACAAAGTGGTGGTTAGTATTCCCTACCGATACCGAGTCCGCGGTGGTGATGAACTGTTGACTCTCCAGCGAGCGGGGGGCGGGGCTCGAGGGCAGGTGTCGAAGCAGGTTGCCATCTTACCATGCCTTTACAATGAGCTGAACGAGGGTTCCGGGGACCCACAGCGATTCATTACCAATGGGGCGGGGCTTCTGCTAGCCTCTTAAGGTATGTGTCCGTTCTAGTGGATGTGTGAGGTGCCATGAGAGGTGCGTGAGTCGAAGTTGCGGTGGCGATGATGGGGAAAAAATAAATGAGTCCCAGATCCGGGGAGAGGTGAGCTGTGCTCCACACCGCCAGTGCTCAGAAGGTAGGAGGGCGCCAGAGGGAGCTGCAATGCGAGGAAGTTTGCTTGTTGGCGCATACGCACGTGCAAAAAGGAGTGTTCTAGGATGCTGCGGAAAGGGATGCTACTTTTGCGGAGCGTTTCATGCATGGCTGGGCAGCATGCGCTGTGCATCAATGAGTGCATGATGGCCAGGGTAGAGCTGTCTGCTTGGACTACCGGTATGCAGAGTTGCGGAATGTCAAAGGCCCCTTTAACAAGCAAGAGTGAGAGTCAGTGAATCCTGGAAAGTTCAGTGGGGCCGTATTGACGCAGGGGCTTGGCCTTCCGTGTATGGTGGATGTGTGTGTGGGTGCATGGTAGCGGCGGGACTTCCTTATCTCTATTATGCTGTAAAGGAGCAATTGTGCATATGATTTGTAACATCTTGCAACTTCGAGAACGAGCACCCGGATTGACACAGTAAGCTCAAGTACGGCTGGAAGTACGGCGCAGAAGCACCTTCCTCGTGCGGAGTGATCTCCTTTGCGTGTTGCAATGCTAACTCCACCGATAATTCAGATGGTGTGTTTTATTCCTGCACCTCCACATTAGGTGAAGCACTCAAAACAGCGAGCATACATTGCTGCTGCCATGGTGTTGCCACCAAAGCGCCTCTTCTTCGGTGCAGCTGTCATTCTGTTTATCCTAGTTGCGTTGTATGGTATTGCAAGACAATCGGAACACCTTCGTTCAACAGTTTTCGTTATTGAACCACTGGGCGATTACAATGCTGTCAGATTTGCTGCAAACTCGTTTCCAGAGAAGTCGAGTATATTTTCATCTGACGTACCGCTGAAAGGATCTTGCTTTAAGCATGCGCGCTCATTTAAGGAGCCGTTGACGCCTCATTATTCACCTCGGGCCTCCGTGCAATTCATTGGGACTGATGTTCCACGAGCACTCTGGCGATGGTCGGGGGAGATATCTAAGGCGGCATTTGACAGTGCTGCCGCGAAGGAGTTTCCCGGATGTGTACATTGCGTGGACATAGTCCACTACAAAATCATCGGAGGCAGGCTTTACGTGGGGAAGCGAGCTCGCCCCCACATGCATCGAGAGGTCGCTGAGGAGATGTTAAAGGTACGTCGGGGTGAGTTTTACCACTAGGTTTGGTATGTTGCGGTTGTCGCAACCCCTTCATCTGCTTTCCTCAGGTCGTGTTGTACTTGTTCCCAATTCCTGATATGGAGTTTCTCCTCCATTTCGGCGACGGCTGCACGCAAGGACTGCCGGTCCTCGGCTGGAATATATGTCGTGACCATCCCAATGCTGGCTTTACCATGCCATCATACTCTATATGGGACCACTCGCTGGGCCCGACCCAGATGAGAGTCTATCACCGGTGTCTTCGGAAAAGGTACGGAAGCTTAGCCTCATGGACCGCACCTCACGGGCCTCCCAGCGGTGGCAGCCGCATGCACGGCGTCCTTGCTGCGGCTCAAATCCGCAGCTATAGGTCACGTAGCCTGTGGTTGCCTGTTAGCAGCCCACAACCTCCGTAGTACCCTGCTGCCATTGCTATTCCCCCTAACTTGCGGTTTCCGTTACGGTTACGGTTACGGTTTCCCTCTTCACAGGTACCCCGCCAGCAAGCGCAAGCCCATGGCTGTGTGGCGGGGAAGCACCACGGACACCCGCTTCGGCAGCTTCAACAGGGACAACTACCTGCAGGTATGGGGGTTAATTTGGAAGCAGAATCCGCATTACGCTGGATAGTTGGGATAGCAGGTATGGGGGGGGAAGGTGGTGCGGCGGACAGACTCACATGGTGCGGGATACAGCTAGCATCATTCCAGCTAGAGAACCACCGTTCCGGACAAAAGCTACGCTAGGGTAACAGGCTTATCCGCCTTTAGGCCTTGACGCAACTCATGCTGCATTCCGTTGGAGGGTGGAAGGGGGAAGACACGGGTTGCCCTCGGCAAGCCAGCGACCTTTGACCGATTGTCGGTATAGCATCGCTCATCCCTTGACGCGCCCCTTTTTCCCCCGCTTCCTTTCCTTCCCTCCTCCCAGGCCCTCCGCGTGCAGCTACACTTGCTGGCTCGCAACCACAGCGACGTGCTGGATGTCAAGATCGCGGACCCGCTCAACTGCGATGACTTTGTGCGCTCTCAGCTCACGGACACGGGCTCCCGACTCAACTTTGAGGACTTCAATACCTACTGCCTCATCGTGGATGTAGACGGCAACGGCTGGAGCGATCGCTTCGGACAGCTCGTTCACTTCAACACGCCCATTCTCAAAATGGCGTCCAACCACACCGCCTTCTTCGAGCACCTCTACGCGCCAGGAGTAGCGATCGAGCAGTTTAGCAGGAACCTGAGCGACCTACCCATCAAGGCGAGGCGCATGATTGCGGACTGCATGGCTGGCGGCGAGGAGTCGCGGGGGCAGCAGTTGGCGAACAGCATGCAGGCCACAAGCAGAGTCCTGATGGACCATGTGGGGATCGCAGAGGCCTTTGCGTACGCGTTGTTGAACTACCGCCGGTTGAGTGCCTGGGCGGTGGACCCGTCCCTGCGGGAGTTTAACCCGGTCAACTCGAGCTGTTGTTCCTACACGAAGCTGCCGAAAAAGTTTGCGAAGGCGGTGGAAGAGCACTTTGCGGTTAAGGAGGGACGGCAGAAGGCTATGGTGGCGCCTAGTCGGAAGGGGTTGGGGGCGTAGCAGTGTGATAGCTTTAGGAGGAGGTTTCTGTTTGGGGCTGTTTGCTGGTCGTTGTGAGGTTTTGGAGAGTTCTTTGAGTGTGGTGGAGGTGGAGGAACGTATGAGAGTGGGTTTGAAAAGATAACAATGGTCCAAGCAGGCGTGCTGAGGTGAAGTGCTAATGGCTAGGAAGAGGTTGGGCGCACTCTGCAGGAGGGGTTTGAGTGATAGGATAGGATGACGACGCGGGCGATGTAGCACGTGCATGGGTGTGCTGCTGTTTAAGTGCATATGCGCCTGCATGGGGTTCTTTTTCTTGACGGGGTGCTGCTGTCCATGCGTGAACATGTCGCATCGCATCCTTGGCGGCTGCCGTGGCGGTGTCCTGGTGATCAACACGCAACCTAGGAACTTCGGAAGCTAGAGTGAAGGCAGTCACAGTGGTCGTCACCTTTGTTTGGAGACGCACTCGGTGTGACCTGGAAGTGCAGTAAATGTTAGCGCGGCATTAGTGGCTCGCAAGGGGTCCATCCTAGGCAACATTGTTACCCGGGCTGGCCGCTGCAATTACCCTTTCGTTTTCAGCGGCACCGTGCTGCCTTTTTTTGGTTGTTGAAGCGCTATCTTGCATTTTCTAGCTTGGCGAATGGCTAGTAACATAGCAAGCCATGGATACGCTGAACGGAGAATCGCGAAGGGACCAGATATCCATGGTATGCTTACCCTGCAGCCATAGTTACATGTGCTGTGTAAATCTGCGCTTAACTGCCTGTTCTGCCAGGCCTACAATGTCCCGAAACCATTAGTAAGACCTTATACCCAACTTGGGCTTCCTACCCTGACAGCTTGTCGTAACGCACTAGTGAAAACCGAATATGCATTTATGCGTTATGCTTAAGTAGTTACGTTTGGCATTTCAGGGTTAGAAATGGCTCTTCATTTCCCGAATTGAGCGAGCATCAGACTTCGGCGAATGTTATAAATCTCAACTTTTAGATCATGTATGGCTCGCGGGGTCTTTCGGTTGCAATGTGGCTGCGCAAGCGGGCGCGGGGCCATTTTGGACGCCAACGTTACAGATGGCTTCAACCTCGCTACATTCTTTTGTGCATAGGAATTCTAGCTTGCTACTGGCCGTGCCAGTTCTTACGGAATCATGTCAGAGAAGCTCATGCCGATTCCTTGATGCGTGCGGCACAGTCAGCAGCGCTGCAGCTCAAATCCTTGCAGCAGGACTCACTAATACGTCAATGCTTCGATGCTGCTTGGACGGGAAGGACGCTGGTCGGCGAATCGTTCGAGGTCCCATGCAACCATGTCAACGATCTGCTGGTGTTACTTCGGGCTGCGGGGCCTATAATCCCTCTACACGGAGACGGGAGAGAGTACAACCGCACGGGTATTTGCGGTGGTGGCTGCTTTTTCGCTGGCAACCTACGCGACGCGCAGCTAGTGATGCCAAACTACATCTACCATCTAGTCCATGTGGTCTCAGCACTTGGTGAGCAAGGCAACCCTACCTTCGTATCCATCTACGAGAGCGGCAGTCACGACCGCACGACAGGGTGGCTGCGGGTGCTGGGCGACGTGCTGGATGCAGTCAGGTGAGGGGGTGCCCACCTTGAGAACTGCCTAAGGGCTGCCTCAAGGTTCGGAGCTAGCTGGGGTTAGGCTTACCCGGCTGGCTGCAGTCGTGTGCCTCGTACACTCACACGTGAGCATCATGCCAACACTCCTTTCCAGCTTGTTACCAACCCAGCTCGAAACTGATTCTTCCCTGATTCCTTCCTTTTTCCTCCTTCCCTGGTTCTTCCCGCCTTCCACAGCGTCCCGCATGCGTTACAGCTAGGCGGATCCATCCAGCGCAAAATGGGCGAGGAGCGAATCCATTTCCTCGCCCGCGTCCGCTCCGCAGCTCTCACACCCCTCTACCAGCAATGCAGCATCCGAAACACCTTCTGCGCCCCCGCCGACGACCCACACTCCCACTCCCAACACTCCCACCACCGCGCCCGCCCGGGGCGGCACCTGGCGGCTGGCGGCGCGGGGCGAGTGGTGTTCCTGAATGACGTGCTCTTCGCGGCCTCGGACGTGCTACGACTGCTGCAATACCCCGCGGATCTGGTGTGCGGGCTGGATCTGGGTATGGCCGCGGAGCCTGATCTCACGCAACGCGAGCATCAAGACACGGTTGCAGCCTACCTGCAGCATCGCTGGTGGCTGCCGCAGGGGCTAGCGCGCCGGCTGGCTGGTATGCGGGCGCTGGAGCGCTGGTGGCGCCGGCAGCACAAGGCGCATGAGGCAAGGTTTCGGAGCTTCGGACCGTTGTTCTTCTACGACAAATGGGTGGCGCGGGACATTTCCGGGCGCATGTTCACCAACCGGGCGCCGTACGTGGCTTACAAGCCCAGTGTACGGCGGGTGGCAATGGGCCAACCAGTACGAGTGCATTGCTGCTGGAACGGGTTGGCGGTGATCGGAGCCGAGCCGCTGGTTCGGAGGGCCGTTCAGTTCCGGGAGCACGTGGAGGGGGAGTGCTCCGCATCCGAGTGCAGCCTTCTGTGCGACGACATGTGGCGACTCGGCTACGATGACGTCATCATGGACCCCAATGTACGAGTGACGTACGACGTACCCGGCGCCAGCCGCCTGTACCGGGGTTTCACTGCTGACGTGCCGCTGGGTGTGCCGGGGGTGGCGTACGTGCCCTTCCGCTCGGGCGACGTGGCGGAGGTGATGTCGCTGCCAAAGCATGAGGACCTGCTGAGGGAGGCGGGCGGGGCGGACAGCGGGCAGCCCCGCACCCGGCAGGTGGACTGCTGCGACCTGGCCAAGGGGGCGGACATGGTGGAGTTCCGCGACCCAGGGGTCTGCCACAACGCCACGGTGGTGCTCAGCTAGCGGGCGGCGTTAAGAGAACTGGTGTTGGGCATGTACGTGCGTGCGGTGTGGTGTGGCAGGGCTGTTTGGGTAGGGCTGAGGGTCTGGGTGGAGAGGAGAGCCGCTAAGCCGGGGTTGTTGCTAGGATCCCATGCAAGTGGAAGTTACATGCCACATGGTGGGTCAAGGAGTGGTGTCGACTGGGGAGCGTTGCGAGTGTGCTGGAAGTACCGGTAGTGGTGGGCTGGGTTTCGCAGGTGTATGCAAGCAAGTTAAGGGGTTACCAGTGCGTAAAGGGTGTCAAAAAGGGATGTAGAGCGTGCCTTTGCTGATGCGGATGTGGGCTAGGGCTCAGCGCGCGCATGGAAGCAGCTCGTTGGCCCGGTCTGATCGGGCTGCGGCGCCGGAGGAATGCACCTACCGTATGTATGGCCTAGGGTTGGTTAGGCTGACGAGCTGAGGACACCACCGCGGGGCGGGTTTGTGATGCTAAGTGGGATGTTTGACCTCTTCCTGTCCATTTTAAGGCTAACATCGGACCGTAGGGTCCTTCGTTGACACTCAACCCAGCCTGAGTCCCTGAGCCAGCTAGGTGTGTGAAGAGCACTGGCATCATGCGCCGGCTCCCCGACCAGAGGAGACCCGGATTGCCGTTGCCTGGCACATGGGGAAGAGAAGAAACAGACCGAAGGGGAGGGGGCGACGGGGAAGGGGCTGAACCCCCATTCCTACTCGGCTCCAACCAGCAACGCAGCTCGCACCGGTACGCCTCTTTTGACACGTCAGACCCAACCTCGGTCGCACGTCCACACCCCTGGCTAACCTCCAGAGACAGGTCATCAGTCGCGCCTAACACGCGGATATATGCATGCGTGCCCCTCCCTCTGCTGTACAGCGACCTACAAACACAAGAACGTTTCCTCTCAACGCCACACGAGCCTACATGCCTCACCCGAGCAGAGCAGCACCGGTACCGCATCTTGGGCTCTGTGACCACATCTTGACCCAAGAAATTGTACCGGCTGAGGTGCAGTTCAAGTGACTGAATAGGTGGTTTCCGCCGCCCCGATGAGCTCCATGGATGACCATTTATACCCATCAGAGCACGATGAGAGCACATGAATTCAATTTACTACGGTAGTCATCATAATCCCACACAGGGAATGCGACCCCAGCCTCAACTTTGGAAAAATGCGAATGCAGCCGGGGGGCGAAACCATGCAGCAGCACACTCCATTGCCCACACGTGTGAAATGGTCGACAACATGCGGGTGCTTGAGGAAGAAAGGAGGGCCGGAGGGACACCAAACGCATTACGTAGCACCCTCATACATTCGTAGTGTACGTGCATCTCATACATTCGTACTGTCCAGGAATGCTATTGTACTCCTTTCCAAGCGAAGGCCTATCACAGCAAGACACCAACCGACCCACATGTTCTGCGCAGGGGCAGCAGCCACGTACTCTTTTGCCGTACAGCCCACCACAACTGCTTCGACAGATGTGCAGAGATGCGGGAAGCCAACACACACACGCTTTGCAACGCCATTACCTCCATCTTGTGACTCTGTAACGCAGCTATTTGCGCACATGCAAGCACACGTGCCTGGTACTCCTCTACATGCATGCCTCGCTTCTGAAGCATGCCGCCCAGCTCACTTTCCAGCGATGTGTTAACATGAAGCATGGGTGAGTGCGTGTTAAATCATCGATCGAGCCACGTAGCTGCACGTGCTATAATGTTGGAAGAGTTATAGGACTGGCCGCGAGAAATTGGGAGTGTGTCTGTGACGAGAGTGACAAGCAGTATCGCTCGCATCAGTGGATACCCACGCAAACATATGCTGCGGTGTCGTTGTGTTCGACAGCCGACTAGGGCTTTGTACAATTCTGGTAGCTGCTCCGCATCGCACGACAACAGGAGGACGCAAGGGAGCGACACGCTCACCTCTCTAAATCCAAGATCTGGCCATTGCGCCGTGCAAGATCCATTCGATCCTCGGTTGTCCACGCAACCCTCACAATGGGCCACTCGCAAGTGCTCGGGACGGACCTTGAAATTGCCACAACACTGCGCAAGGATGACCACGTCCGGCTGGTCTAGAGGCGGCGTGAACTCTCTGCCAAATATCCGACTACGGTGATCACACATCCCCGCTGGAAAGCTCTGCGAGCATAATAATGAAAAGGAGGTAAGGTCATTCCGATAACCGGTATTTAGGGCCATTCCAACTGAAGGGGCATCAGGGCTGTGTGCACCTCAGCTGCAAACTTGAGGCAAATCCGAGGCCTAGCCAAACGGCCAACCCTTTCAAAGCCCAGTCCGAGGCCAGCAGCAGCAGCAGCAGCACGCGCACAGCCATACCGGCACTCACAGGAATACATCCCCGGAAGTACAGCAGCAGGTCGCGATCCGAGGTAACCTGTCCCACCAGCTCCGCTGTTTGTGCGAGTGTGATCTCCCTGGCCGCGTTGCCGCTGTTTGCATGCAGCCCTAGCATGCCAGCGTGCAGGACATGCGCTGCGGGCTGCAGGTTCCCAGGCTTGATGAGGGGAAGTGCGACATCAAAGCCTGGCCGGTAGGTTGTTGTAATCCACGATGCACGAATCACTGCGCTGTAACCCACATCGAAACCTGCGCAAACATGTTTGTTTGCCGGTATAGAGATGAGTCAACCGCTTCATTCCAGCACTGGTGTTAACGCTGCATCAGGATCCAGCTGGACCGTACGGCCATACCTGGATCGGGCCAGTCATTGTTGTAGTTGAGGAGAACGTGGTTTCTCCCGCTGTTCCAGTAGGGTAGCCCCCTCAGCTATGCTTGAAGGCTGTCCATGTTACTGTTTGAGCAAAAGTTCTCGGCACATGAGGCATCAAACGTTGGGAAGAGCAAGCAAGCCTCCTCCGGGTTTGTTACCAACGGGAGGCCTGAACCCATAAGGGCATAGTTGAAGCAGGCCTGGTAAAAGCTGCGACCTGAATACGGCAGGGGCATGTAACGGACGGTCCAACCTTAATCCCGCTATAGTACGGTAGATTTATTGTTGAGCACCGTATGAAGAGATTTACAAAACACAATCGAGTATCGAATGGTTCTTGCTGGAGTACATTGCGCAGAGCACCTAGTAGTACCGCTGTCCTACAAGTTCATATTTGCGGAAAAAGGATCCATTAACCCTTTCAACCTATAGTGTAGTACCCCTAGCCCCCATGTAACAGTCGGCCATAGCCTTCATTTCTTGCTTACCGGTAGCGGTGTTATTATGGACACAACCAAAGTTGATGAGGTCGCAACTGGGGTGTAACTGGCCATCCGTTGGGGGATACGCGTACATTGAAAATGACGATTCGCATCGTGTCAGGTTGAAGCATGTTATGTTGTCAAAAGAGCATGGGACGATGGGATCGGGTGTATCGAAGCGTGCCTCTACAGGAGACAATACGTGTCCGGTAATAGCTAGTAGGACGCTTAAAAGTAAGGATTTTAGTGTGGAACTAACCGATAATGTAGGCATGCTGCTAAAGTTGCTGTCGTCGGCTAGTTTAATTGTTTTGCGCCTAGTGCCAGTTTGATGGCATGGACCTACAGCGTAACTACGTCTGGATTACACCTTGCCATTCTATTTTTGCTGTAATATGGCCGATCGGCCGTACCGTACAGCGCTTTGCGGGTACCGCTCCCGAGCGGGCCCTTGAGGATGACCTTTCTCCAGGAACTTGCGGGTGCTCAACGGCCCATACGGATAACCTTCAGCCGGGAGTGAAGATGTGTCGTGCGGTGAAATGGATGGGTACTGCCTCGCATCATGATACCTACATCCCGCGCAGGCACTATGTGTCACCAAGTCGCTTCCGTCTATGTGCCTGGCCGCTAGCTGTTAACCGGCCGCATGGGGTGGTCCGCAGTGAGCGCTGGTGCAGGATGTGTGGCTGCCGAGATGCGGTGGAGGATGAGTTGCATGTACTGCTGGAATGTCCCACCTATAATGAGATTAGAGATGAGCTTGTGAGCAATGGTGTTGCTTTAGGTCAGGGTATGCTTAGTGTCATGAGTATTCCTAATCAAGATTTGCTCGCTAAAGTGGTAGACAGGATCAGGCATGTCAGGGCAAGTAGTTTTGACACTTAAGCTAAATGCTGGTTGCTACCTATTATTTGGCTTACATGTGAGGTGTAACGTGCAGGATCCGCTAAATTAGCCTAGCTTGGCTCTCGCTGAGTTTTGCCACTTGTCGTACATCGCCGCCGTACATCCTATTAGGGTAAATGCCCACTTCTGTTCTGTTGTCAGTATTCCGTAAAGGCGGACGTTGGGTTTCAAGGCCCTTTACTGCGGACTTACGTTACATGAGGTTTGTTTTCTCTTTCTTTTTTCTCTTTCCTTTGTTTGTTGTTTGCGGGGTCCATGAGCCTCCTGGCTCGTCTTACGAGCCGTAGAGCTTGTAACGACTCACTCACTCACGCCCCCGAAAGACCAGTGGATCCTCGTGCCTGGGCAGCGACACCACCTCCACCACGTCCGCCCGAGCGGAAGGGCAAGTACGCCACCCCCGGCACACCCAGCATCCAACGTGGAACCCTGACGTCGTACGCCATGCAAGGTGCATACCATACTCCTAGCTGCGACAGCAAAGGCTTTTAGCAAGCGCTCTGATCAGTTGGGACACATGCTCGCATGCATACGTTGAGAAGTGTCGTCCTGCCGCTGCGTATCGTTAGTCTCCCCCATCCGCTCACGAAAAAGGCCACGCTAGGTAGGCCCCCGACCATGCACATATGTACCACATACCTCCTATACCTTCGGCCCTAACACATGCGCCCTTGGTGCAAAGCGTCCCCCGACATGCGCCATCAACCGAGCGGAAGGGGCGCGTTTCAATCGGCGGAGCCTCGATTATGCGATGTTGCAATTGTGTACTTGAAAGGCAGGGCCTCCTAGCGTACCAACAGCACCTCACACCGCAAGGAACCGACGCATGGCCAGCATGAGCACATGAGGCCCTTCCTCTCCGAGCTCCCTCCATGCGCACCCCTGCGTGCCCATATCGGTCGTGGTTCTTCCGCATCATCGGCCCTGCGGCTCCTCCTGTTTGGGTGGGTCGCACCCAACCCGCAGCTCTAGCGCTTCATCATTCCTTCTTGGTACCTTGTCGTGGTCTCTTCCTACCTGGGCCCACCAGTCGGCTACGTGCGCACACAGTAGCTTTGCATAACCGCAAGCATCACCACGCGCGCGATAACCCCCCATGCAGCACCCCTCACCAGACATATCTCTCTCATCAGGTCAACATCATACGCATACGGTACGCAAAGCGCGTCAAGTTGAGCCACCCAGCATGCCACCTCACATCATCGGGCAGCAGCAGCAGCGGCGGTGGGAGCAGCAGCAGCCGGCACCAGCCCCCTGAAAGGGCAGCTGGCAATGCACCAGCAGCAGCAGCAACTGCCCGATTGGTTAGGGTTAGAAACCAAAAGTTGAATGGAATGCCAAACGTTGCACCACTCCACATGCCCCCGCGCACACACCACGCAGGCCGCGTGCGGGCAATTCTGCTGCAGACACGCGCGCGTGTTGCCGCTGGCTCCCGGGCACCTTGCAGCAGCACAGCTGCTTCACGCAGGACGTACGGCACCCCCCGGGATCAGATGTCACAGCACGCCTAGGCGGGCAGGTGTGAAGTACATACCGCCGTCATCGCGTCCCCTTTGCAGCAGCAACCCAGCACAGGAGGGGCCAGGAGTTCACGGGTGTGGCTCCAATAAGCCATGAGACACTCGCTAAGACAGGCCAAGACGTCAATGTCCATGTTCATGCACAAGGGCACACAGCTATAGATGCATCCTGCCGCCGGTGGGAGTCGAAGAGGGAGTCGTCAAAGCCGTCAAACAAAATCATGCGTTCTTGGTTAAATCAATGCATGGGCCCTCCGGAATGCGGCCTCTGCTCCCACCGTGTCTGTTGTTTCTACGTGGCATTGCCGGCCTCCCAAACCCATCACCCACACACGCACCTACATCGTAATAACATAGCCGTACTTCATTTATCTGCTTTTAGATGCGAATTACCCTCATACAGCCCCCCTACAAGCCCCCGGCCTCAAGGCCTCCTCCTTCTTCCACACCGTCATTCCTCTCACATGGAGTACGACAACAACGTGTTTCTCAACCGCCTCTCCAATTGGAACAACAACCGAACGACCCGTGGGCCACCCCACACCCGCCGTAACGCTCGCTTCACGTGCACCAACACCGTACGGCTGAGCAGCCCTAACGCGAACAAGAAGTTATCGAGCAGCGATCGCTCAAAGAGGTTGGTGTAGGTGCCCCGATGCCCCAGTCGGTACAGCTGGTGGAACTCGATACCCGGCATGAGGGTGTGGAGGCCGTCCAGCGGTTTGATGGGGGCATCGCCATGCCGCAGCCGTACATCGTAGTACTCGCTGAAGAAGGGGCCGCAACGAAAGTCGCGAGCCTGGGAGGGTGCGGAAATTGGGGTTGGGGGAAAAGAAGAAGAAGAAGAACTCATGCTTTGAACGATAGGTTGGGGGTGAGGCTGGCCGCGTGAGCGTGGTTGGTTAGTTGGTGGGATGGGGCATGCTAGTTGGGGTTGGGGTTGGCTCAGGGCAGCACGCGGGACAGTTGCGTGTGCCGGGGCAGGCGCGGGTTACTTCCACGCTGGCGAGATCTCATCCTGGGTGAGAGAAGAGAAGGGGCCTCCGGTAGGGTAAGAAGGAACGCAGGACGGGCGACAGGCGCACCGAAGGAATGGGTACGGGAGCACCAGCAACCCGTGCATGCGGCCGTGACTCCCGTGTAGCATCTGGACCGTCGCCCGTCGCCAGATGTTTCTCATGCTGCTGCACGGCTCACCCATCCCACCCATCCCATTGCCGTCCCCCCCTCATCCCCGCCCCCTCTCATCCCCGCCCCCTCTGACTCCCGCCCCCACCTGCTCGTACGCAAACAGCTCCAGGTCCAAACCCATCTCCCGCACGCTCCACTCGGGGAAGGCCGCCCCCCCCGGCTGCATTACCAGCCACCGCCGCGTGTAGTCCGGGAAGGAGTCGGGCAGCTGCAGCGACCACTTCTCCAGGTTGGCGTGCAGGAACAGCGGCGCGCCCGAGCCGTCAAACTGCAGCATGCTGTTGCCGGTGAACACCTCGCGACACAGCTGTCGGCTTTTGAACTTCCGGCAGAACGGCCGCATCATGCCCACCGACCCAGTGGGCACGGGAACGTAGTAGGTGGGCTCCCGCGCTGCTAGGAACGCGTAGTAGAAGGTCTCCTTGTCGCCCCAGCCCATGTAGTCCGTAAACAGGTTGTACCACACGTTGTGGTAGTAGTTGAAGTAAAGCGCGACTCGCAGCCCGCGCCAGTGCTTCCGCTTGTCGATCAGCATCTGCCCCGCCTCGAAGCTGCTGTCCGGCAGGTCCCGTCTGTGCACCCCCAGGATGTGGGCCAGCTCCGGAACCGCGGTGGGGCCCCAGTAGTCCCGCCAAAAGGTGGCTCCCGTTCGCTGATACTCGGCCGAATCGAACAGCGGAGCCGGGTCGCGCAGCGGGAAGTTGTCCGCATCCAGGAACAGCAGCTCTGAGAAGCTGCTGAGCATGATGGCTGCCACCTTGAGGCTGTACCCCGCTTGGTCCAGGTCAGGGACCGTGAAGGCGCGGCAGCTGACACCACGCCGCCGCAACGCCTCCACCACCGCAGACGTGGGGTACTCGAGAATGGGAAACCACATCTCCACCGGGAGCGTGCTCCCTGCCCGCCGCAACATGGCGATGCTGATCCAGGCGGATACCATGTACCGCAGTCCGCCGGACACCATTACAATGCCCCGACCGCGCTGCGAAGCGGGCGGCAGGGTGGCCCCGGGCACATCCTGCTGCCCCAGCTGCTCGCTGTACGCTGCCAGGGAGCTGCGGAGCGAGTCCGCGAGGCCGGGGGGCATGCGGCCGCCCTCTCGCAACCAGTCGTCGTCTTCCGTGCGTTTGGGCAGCAGCTGTGCGGGCTTGGGGTCGTGTGCGCGCACGGGTGCCAGCAGGGCCTCCCAGAGCTCCAGGGAGGCGTCCAGAGAGGCGGCGCTGGGGTCCCGGCTGGTGGGAGGTGCGGGTGCGGAGGTTGCTGTTGCTGTTGCTGCTGCTGTGGTGGCGGAGTCTGTCCCTGTGAGGCTGCGTTTGGTGGTGCTGTTGAGCACCAGCAGCTGCGATGACTGCTGCCCGGACGGGGGCTGCGGCCCCGCTGGCACCGGGCCGGCGGGGGCGGATGAGGAGGAGAAGGTGGTGCTGTTGGTTGCGTTGGCGAGCGGGAGGGCTCCCAGGCTGCGCTGCGGCTGCTGGCTGCTGCACTGCATGAGCTTGGGGAAGTGCAGCCCGTGGGCCCCTAGCTCCCGGCAGCGGTCAAAGCACGTGAAGGAGTGCATGCCGCAGCCGACCTGGGGGGGAGGGGGGCATGAGGGGGCCATCATGAGGGTGGTCAGAGGGTCAAGGGAATGAAGCGTGGGGGTAGATTTCAACAGGCCAGCAGCTGCGGGAAGCCTTCCCGGCTTACCAAGGCAACCACAGCGGAGTTGTCGCATTCACAGTAGCCCGACGTGAATTGGACATTTGATCTGCAGTCTGTATCCGCTGCTGGCATCCGCAGGCCATATGGAGAGCACTGCTGCGTTCCTCGCCATGCGATGCATCCAACTGGCTTGCTCGCGTGGTCAAATGCAATGACCGCCCTTTCCCATCTACTGACGCTAAGCAAGGTATCAATCCTCCTGACATAACTACATAGAGCTGTGGCTGCCCAGATGAACGTCAGGGTAAGCACCAGGCAGGTCAGCCGCCTACGATAATGAAGAAACCGCGAGCTAAAAGATCTAGATCTATCGCACGTCAAGTGTTGTCTAGACTGCTGAGCTCTCTGCACAAGCTGAGCCGCGAAGTTGAGGAGGCGGAGCCATTGCTGCAGCAATAAGTGCCTCATTGGGAATTACCAAGGCACAAAATGCTGGGTGCTAAGAATCATATTCAACATGGAAGCAGTATGATTTAGGACATTGCTTAAACACCTCCTCGTTTTTGCTGGTTCTTCAACTTATTGTGCAGAGAATCGTGCAGCAGAAAGCTTTTGAAACAAACACCGGCATTTTCCAGTATAGCTTGAATTGGAAGACTGTAAGACACGGCATAGTACGGTATCCACAGCGTTGATGCTCCATGGCCCTCGATTTGGACCATTGGAAGGCCAGGCTGTATAAAGCATCCTGCACGAACATCTAGGAGCACAGAGGCATGATATCTGTTGCAAATTTCCTATCGTGTTTGCCGGTGTTGGTAACAACATGCAACATGCCTACAAACTTCGGGTGCACAAACTACGGGTGCTGCCAACTCTTGCCCAAGCTATCATTCATCGAGCTGAGACAACATTTGCTAGCGATTGGACAATTTGTGCGTCAGGATTGCTTCTGTATCCCAGCCCCCGCCCTGGTGCAACCCCCCTGCAGCCTCTGCGTGGAACAAAGTGTTGAGCCTTGACAGGTTGACACGCATGCTCTTCTCAAGGTTACAGCGCCTAATTTATGTTGTACGACATATTCATGCCGCAATACTAGACAAGTTTGTCGCTTATTAATACCGCATTATTACAGGCATCAAACCTCAATGCCCATCAGCACGTCGCAAAGCAAAACCCTCCCCGCGACTCGGCCCCCGGACCCGATTCTCCAACCCCCCAACGCCAAACCTTCACCCCCTCCTCAAGTCGAGGCCACAACACACATCCCAACAAGCAAAAGCGAGCCCTTCGTACCGGTAACTCCTTCCCGCTATATCACAAGCAGTGATCGCAGCCATACACGGTTAACGGATCCACCACCACCATTCACTCGCAAAAGCGCCGCCCTGGCATCACACGCCACACCCTACACAGCCCATCCCTCCGCCCAACGCCTGCTCCAAAGCACACCCAGCATCACGTCCCCAACTCCTCCACGTCCCCAACACGCCAGCAGTCCCCGGCCTGCAGCCCGGGCCTCCTCAATACTTGACGGTGCCGTCTCCCTCCGTGATGATCTCCTTGAAGGAGGCCCCGCCGGGAATCATGGGCAGCACGTGCTCAATGTGCGGCACCATCACCTCCAGAAGGTACGGCCCCGGCGTGTCCAGCATGGTGCGCATGGCGGCCCGCAGCTCGTCCTTGCGGATCACGCGCGCCGCCTGCACGCCAAAGGAGCGCGCCATGTCCACAAAGTTGGGGTAGATGTCGGCCTCGTCGTGCGTGGCGTGCCACTCGGACTCGCGCTTGCCCAGGTAGGTGTGTGCGCGGTTAGCCTGCAAGGGGGGGGGAGCGAGGGAGGGATGAGAGGGAGGGGGCCAAGTTGATAGCGGTAGTGACAACCCGTGATAAAAGCTTCCAGCGTAAGGGAGGAAGGAAGCGAACAGCGAAAGCGGACCCCCCTCACCCCTCACCCCCTCCCCACCCCACCTTGTAGAACCTGTCCTCCCACTGCATCACCATGCCCAGGTGCTGGTTGTTCAGCAGCAGCACCTTCACGTCCAGCTTCTCAATGAATACGGTAGCCAGCTCCTGGGAGGGGGGAGAGGGGGGGCGGAGGGAGGGGTGGAGGGGGAAGAAGAACCATGCGTTGAGTGATAGGGGCAAAGGAACAGGGAAGGAACGGGAGGGGTGAAGGGCAGGAGGGTAGGAGTGAGGGAGGGTTGAGGGAAGGGTGAAGTCAACGACGGGCAGACAAGCCAACGGGGTGCTCAGGCGTTTTGGAGAGCCGGTGCGGAAAGAGCTGCGGCAGTCCCCCTCTTCCTCCCCCGCTACAGCATCTTCCCACGCCGCAGCATCCTTCTTTCCCCATGCACCCCTCCCCACCCCTGCCTGCGCCCCGCCCCGCCCCAGTACCCACCTGCACGTTCATGAGGAACGACCCGTCTCCATCAATGTCCACCACCAGCCGCTTTTCCCGCCCGTCCTTGCCGTCAAAGGCCGCCGCCGCGCCCAGCGCCGCGGGCAGTCCAAAGCCCATGGAGCCCAGGCCGCCCGAGGAAATCCAGCGGCGCGGCTCCGTGTACGGGTACCACTGCGCGGCCCACATTTGATGCTGGCCCACTCCCGTGCAGACGATGGCCTCGCCTTTAGTCTCCTCGCCGAGGACCTTGGGGAAAACGGTAATAATCCGATGTGTTGTTTGATAGGAGAGGAGGGGAAGGGTAGAGCAGGGCAGCAGCAGCAGGTGAGGAAGCAAGACAACAGGGGCAGCGTAGCGGGGGATATAGTGCCACACGCACGGTAATTCCCCTCCTTCTTCTCCTTCTGCACCACCCCGGCCCCCGGGGCCCGCCCGCATCACGTACGGTACGAGCAGCCCGACACACCTGTACGGCGTACTGCGGTACGATGCAGTCGTCCCGCTGCGGGAAGCGCATGGGGTACTGCTCCCGGGTGGCGGCCAGCTCGGCCCGCCAGCCTGCGAAGCGGTCTGCGGGCAGGGGCTCCGCTGCGAGCAGGCGGTTGAGGTGGGTCAGCGCCTGCTTGACGTCGCCGCACACGGGCACGTGCGCCGTCTTGTTCTTGCTGATCTCAGCGGCGTCAATGTCTGGGCGGAGGGGGAGGGGAAGGGAGGGAAGCAAGAAGGACGCATGTTAGTAGCAGCCAGCCGGAAGAGGAGCGACATACCACCAACGCCTCGTTGAAGAAAGCAGGGTCGCAGCCCTGCTCCTCCCCACTCCCAATCCGCCGCCCGACACCAACCCACCAACGTGCACGATGCGCGCGCGCGACGCAAACGCCTCCAGCTTGCCCGTCACTCGGTCGTCGAAGCGCACCCCCAGCGCCACCAGCAGGTCCGCCTGATCCACCGCGTAGTTGGCCACCACGGTGCCGTGCATACCCAGCATGCGCAGGTGCTGGGGGGGGGGTGAGGGGGAGGGGGGGAGGGGGGAAGAAATAAAGGACAAGTGCAGGGATTGGAGGGAGGTAGAGAGCGCGGAGAGGGAGGGACGTTTCCCCCCAAACGGCACCGGGGAACAAAATGCACTATCGTGACGTAATGACTCCGCAAGGTCCCTGTTGTCCCGTTCCACCCCCCGCTGCCCCTGCCGGCCCCCCTTCCCCCCCCTTTCCTATGGTTTGGTATGGTCTTCGACACCCCCTCCCCGCTGCCTCCCCCGCCCGCTGCCCCCCCCCCCGCCCGCCCGCTGCCCCCCCCCCCGCCCGCCCGCTGCCCCCCTCCCCGCTGCTGTCCCCCGCTGCCCCCTCACGTTGGGGTGCTCCACCGGCACGATGCCGATGCCCATGAAGGTGGAGGTGAGCGGGATGCCGGTGCGCTCCGCCAGCTCGCGCAGCTCCTCCGCCGCATCCAGGCAGCCGCCGCCGTAGTAGATGACGGGCTTGGAGGCGGCCTGGATGGCGCGCAGCACGGGCACCATCTGGGACTCCTCGACCGGCGGGGGCAGGCGGCTGATGTAGCCTGTGCGGGGAGGGGAGAGGCATGCGTTAGTTCGCTTACCACACAGCCGCAACCACAGCCGGTAAAAGCAACAGGGTGCGATCAACTATACCGGTATCGCCATTGCGGTCATCATTCATGTCCCCTCCAGCAGCAATGCCGCCCCTTCCCCAACTCCACACACCCTCCCTCCCCAGCAGCCCCCCCAGCCCCCCTGGGTTTGGTACCGGTATACCCCACAGCCCCTCCCCCCCAGCAGCCGCACCCCAACTCCCCCCCCACCCGTGATGGACATGGGCGCCTCCCAGTCGGGCACCGCCAGCTGCTGCTGGATGTCCTTGGGCACGTCCACCAGCACGGGGCCGGGGCGGCCGCTGCGGGCCAGGTAGAAGGCCTCCTTCACAACACTGGGGGGAGGGCCGGGGCGGGGGGGGGGAGGGGGGGAGTAAGGGAGCGGTTAGTGTGACACTCTGCCAAGGGTGCGAGTCTTGGTGCGGGGAAAGCACACGTGTTGCTTCTCAGGCGCTTACAGGTGCAACAAGGCCCCTTGCTCGCCAGCCCAACTGCCCAACTCCTCTCCACGCTAGCTGGTTGTCTTCCAACACTAAGCCCCGCCCCTTTCCTTGGGACTCCGTTGCTTCACTTTCCGTTTATTTTCCCCACCACGCCCCTCCCGCCCCCTTCTCCCGCCCCCACCGCGGCAGGTCCTTGATGTCCATGACCAGGAAGTTGTGCTTGGTGATGGGGCGCGTGATCTCCACAATGGGGGTCTCCTGGAAGGCGTCGGTGCCGATCATGCGGCGGGGAACCTGGGCGCATGTGCGGGGACACGGTAAGGGGGGGGCGGGTTTGTAGTGCTGGCTAACAGTTGGGGCTGCTGTCGAATGAGGACTTCCAAACGAATGGGATGGTGATTTCACCCCTTTACTGACCAACCGGCCCTTGCTGCACAGGCCACAAGGAGTCGTGTGCTGAAGTCGCCTGCTTGCCGCATCTGCTTCTGGAAGCCAAGCCAGTAAGGGGGCATGCGTGCTCTAACCTGCTTGTTCCCTGCTGCTGCTGCCGCCGTTACCCTCGTGTGCCTTGTGCCGTCAACAGCGTGCTGTGTATGTGCGCGCGCTGCTGCTGCTGCTGCCCCCCCAGACGCCAGCTGCTGCCTACTAACCACACATCAACGCCCCGGAACCACATGCAGAAAACCCGAAGCCCCCCACCCCTGCTCCCGCCCTGCAGGCACACCCTCCTGTTCTGAGTCACCCAGACCCCTCTCATTCGCTTTCTGTTTGCCCCTGCTCCCGCCCACGCCCCCTAGGGGTTGCCACCTCGTCCACTATGAAGTCAGGAGTGACCCCGGCGCCCCTGCCTCGCCCCTGTGGTTTCCTGTGGTATGGCCACCTGCCCCACTCATCCCCACCCTCCCCACCTGCCCTGTGATGGCCACCAGCGGGATGCTGTCCATCATGGCGTCCGCCAGCCCGGTCACCAGGTTGGTGGCGCCGGGGCCCGAGGTGGCGATGCACACGCCCACACAGCCAGCAGCCTTGGCGTAGCCCTCAGCAGCGAAGATCTCACCCTGCGGTCCAAAGCAAGGGGATGGGGGCAGCAGGACCGCGGGTTCAGGCATGATGCTGCACTCCGGCAAGCCTGCTGATGTCGAATTTGGGCTGACCCAGATGGCGGGGGTTGACCCAGATGCTGGAAGCTGGTACGGCAATTCTCTCAACATCTCTTCTTGCCACCGTTCCCACACCGGCCCAGCAGACTCCACGCTCTGCTTGCTTGCTTGCTGCTGAGTCTAATCCTGAAGCCCGCCATCCCAAAGTCCGAAGCTGCTGCGCCTAATCCTGCGCTGCTGCCCCTGTGTTTTGTGACCCAAAGCCCGCCGTCGCAAAGCCCGAAGCCGCTGCTGTGTGTATTATAGACCCAACGCCCACTGCCCCAAAGCCCCCGGGACTACCCCGCGCCGCACCTGTTCATGGCGGCAGAGGATGTTGGAGATGCGGTCTGAGCGGGTGAGCGCCTGATGGATCTCCATGGAGGCGCCGCCGGGGTACGCAAACACCTTGGTCACGCCCTCGCGCTCCAGGCACTGCACCAGGATGTCGCAACCCTTGCGCGGCTCGTCACCGTAGCGGTCCACCCAGTCAACGGGGCCTGAGGAGAAGGCAGGAGGGGAGGGGCGTGGGAGGGAAGCGGAAGCGGATGAAGGGTGCAGGGCGTAACAGGGAAGCCTCCAGGGCTGTGGAGGTTTCCCAGGCACAGACAACTCGCTTGTGCTATAATACCCGACACAGCGAGGTATACGACGCCATAAGTTTTATACTCGTATCCCGTGGTCCAAACTGTCACTTACTCTCCTTCGCCAACGCTGCTTGAGCTACCTCCTTCGCGCGACGAACCTGCATCCGACGTACGTAATAAGTAGCTGCTGCAAATGGGTTCGAAAGGCTTCTGCGCCTACCTCCTCAGGCTGCATGCGACGGGCAGCTCCGTCAGCAAGCTTCGCGGACGCTGCCACGCACTTGCTGCGGCTGGGCCTGCGTCAACCGATTGAACAGCACGCCAAGATATGGTAACCAACCATCGCAAGTACTGTCGCAAGCACGCCCAAACGAGTAATATAGCAAAGCTGACCTGGACGAAACACGAGCGACCGGAGCATAGCTGGTGGTGGGGTTAATTGCCTGCGGAAGGCGATGGGCGACGACCTAGACGTCAGCAACGTAAGTTGGTATTTACAGTTTTAGTAATAGTGACTACCTATACCTGGTGTGGAAGGAGGGCTGGGCGAGGTGCCGAGGTCGCGCAGCCGCGCGACCCCGCAACGATTTGGCCGCTTCGCAGTGCCATTGCGGTAAGTAAACGTTACAAAACCTACTCCTAAAGAAGGCCTGAAAAGGACAGAAGCAGGGCAAGGTATGCTGATGTTAGGCGCATGCAGGGCCCTAGGCCGTACACCTATTCGCTATTGTCCTGCGTGTAACCGCTCACCGTTCCTACAGCTCTTTACGAAACCTTTGCCACTTGTCATTGGAAAGCCTGCCACCATCCAACGTTGCAACATACGCCGTGGCGGCCTTGGTCTCGGAGGCACAAATTATACTCGTTACATCCTCAGGGGAAGATGGGTCAGTGGACGGAGCCTGGAGGCTTACGCGATAGTGTAAGCGAGTATCATGATACCTTCGCTTGTCCGGAGGGTTGCTAAGCTTCCATGTCAACATGTTGGACGTTAATTCCACACCCTGATTTCGTTGTCAAACGCAAGCTACATACAATACATACATTAATGACATTCTTTCCGTGGCAAAGAGTTCCATAGTTACTATACCGGTATGCGTTGGACCTTTAGGAAGAGCTATGTTAGCCTGGTCGTGTCAAACCACTCATCCCCTTTCTTGGCAGAAGGATCTACGTCAGGGATGCGCAGCAGCTGTTTTTTGCTGCGAGAGCAACTCGCTACCCATACTTGCAAGCGCACGTTTGGATGCTGCGCATACTTCCCTAAGTCTCTCGTGTGCTCGTAGACCTATCGCTGGAATCCAGCTGGTCCAGAGCAAATTCCCTACTGCACCCACGTTCAAGTCATAATCTTCGTTTTAACAATGAACGGATGCAACACCCTAATACGAAATTCGGACACGGGGGGAAATTGTTTGCAAGCATGCATCATCAGTAAGGGAAGTGCATGAATTGGTTACCATCAAAGCATGGAAGGCGAGTATCACCGTCATTGGTTACACTTTGTGCCAATTCGGCAAGAAAGTCCGAGCCCGTATACCGAGCAACACATCCCTGTATGTGATTATCAACACCGCCTACCCCACCGCCACAACCCATGCAGGCTACATGCCCACACAGAAGGAAAACTCTGAGCTCGAAAAACGAGCTCTCCTAACTAGAGGATCGCTCAAAATAAGCACCAATCGGTTCTACCCCGCTCAACAAACGTGTAGAGACTAAACGATGCCACCCAAACGCATCCCATGTACGAGCACCACCTCATACTCCCTCCTCCACACACTTCATAGCCGCCCCACATATACCCGCATTACTCTCCTAACTGCACAATGCTCTTGTCACATCCTGCAATTTGACTAAGCCAAAAACTCCACTAAATCCCCTTCCACCATGTGCTCACCTCTCGCACATCCAACCGCCGGATCCCCAACAACTGTTACCGGTTGAGGACAGCCCCAACGCACACTGCTCGAACCCGCTTAGTCGACCTCCTCCATGCGGCTGCCCTCGCCCGCGCCGGCGTCCTCCTCCAGGGGAGGCAGGTCCTCGTCCTCGGCCGCCGCCTCCTCCTCCTCCTCGTCGATTGACAGGCCCAGCTTGATCATGCGGTGGATGCGGCTGGCGAAGGTGTTGGGCTCGTCCAGGCTGAAACCCGAGCTGAGCAGCGCGGTCTCGAACAGCAGCAGCACCAGGTCCTTCACCGTCTTGTCGGACTTGTCGGCGTCAGAGCGCTTCTTGAGCTCCTGTGGGGATGAAGAGGAAAGGGGAACAGCAGAGTGAGCAGGATTGGAAACACGGCAAGCGCTGGTACATGCGAGGACCCGCCGATTGCAGCAAACTCAAGATTTTAAACCGCGCATATATGAATCCTGAAAGCCGAAGCTACGCAATCGCGCAGAAGCAATATGCACATCTCCCCGCAACTCACGTTCATGATGGCGTTCTCGGGGTTGATCTCCAGCGTCTTCTTCGAGGTCATGTAGGCGGCCATGCTGTTGTCACGCAGCGCCTGCGCCTTCATGATGCGCTCCATGTTGGCGCTCCAACCGTACTCGCCCGTCACCAGCACGCAAGGCGAGTCCACCACGCGGTGGCTGACCGTCACCTTCTCCACCTTGTCGCCCAGGATGTCCTTCATGAGGCGGCACAGCGGCTCGAACTGGCTGGCCAACTCCTCCTTGCGCTTCTTCTCCTCCTCAGTGTCCTCCAGGTCCAGGCCCTCCTTGGTGCAGCACACCAGCTTCTTGCCTGGGGTTGAGAGGGCAGGGCAGGTGATTTGGGTCAGAACTCGTCATCACCGCCAAGTTTTCACAGCAAGCGCTACTCACCCCTTTCCTCAAGCATTCTCACTTCCCATTTCACCGTTTCGTAACTGGGAACCGACAACAGATCAACCGTTAACAGATTTTCCCCTCCCCCCTCTCACCGTCGTACTCCTTGAGCTGCTGCACGGCGTACTCATCAATGGGGTCCACCATGAACAGCACCTCGTAGCCCTTCTTCTTGAGCCGCTCCAGGAAGGGGCTGTTCTCAACCGCCTTCCGGCTCTCACCCGTAATGTAGTAGATGGACTTCTGGCCCTCCTGTGGTGGGGGGAAGGAACGACGGGGGCGGGTTAGGATGGTACGGAACTCGAGAAATGGTGCGGAGCGGAGGAAGACAACACACGTCCAATGTGCCCACAACACGTGCTAGGCATCCTGCGCATGACCTCACAAGTCCCCACAGAATACCGGTACGCACGGAATGCCCGCTCCTTCCCTTATCCTTCTCCCCCCCACCACCCACCTTCATGCGGGTGACGTAGTCCTTCAGGCTGGTCATCTCCTCGCCACTCTTGGTGGAGTGGTAGCGCAGCAGGTCGGCCAGCTTGGCGCGGTTCTGCGAGTCCTCGTGCACGCCCAGCTTCAGGTTCTTGCCGAACGACTCGTAGAACTTGAGGTAGTCGTCCTTGTTCTCCGCCACCTCGGCGAACAGCTCCAGGCACTTCTTGACGATGTTCTTCTTGATCACCTGTTGGGTTGGTTGGTTGCCGCACAGGAACGGGAGCGGTGACGAGTGGGTACACGGTCAGGCAAGAACGTGGTGAGTCACTAGCAAGAGTTAGTAAACTAGCGGATCAGGGGGAAACCTAGCGCTCAGATGCTGGCGTGTGCACGACCCAATCACCCAACCACCCAACAGCCCCCTGACCTTGAGAATCTTGTTCTGCTGCAGCGTCTCACGCGAGATGTTGAGCGGCAGGTCCTCGCTGTCCACAATGCCCTTCACGAAGTTGAGCCACTCGGGGATCAGCTCCTCGCAGTTGTCCATGATGAACACGCGGCGCACGTAGAGCTTGATGTTGTTGGGCTTCTTGCGCTGGTCGAACATGTCGAAGGGCGCGCGGCGGGGCAGGAACAGGATGGACTTGAACTCCAGCTGGCCCTCAACGCTGTTGGGGAGAGGGGTGGGGAGGGAAGAGGAGGGATGAGAAGAGGTATGCATGTCAGATAGGAGGTGCGCGTGAAAAAGGCGTAACAAGGTCGCATGCAAGGACAGACGCTAGGACTGACCCAAATGCTTTCCCCGAACTATTACACGCGAGTGCTTTTTTACCCAGAACCCGTCGTCAACCTTCCCAGCCCTCTTCCCCAGCTCTTCCCCAGCTCCCCCACCCAATTTGAGATGCGTGTTTATAGGATAGTGTCTCCGAATGCGCTCACTGCATGAGTCGGGATATGGGATCGGGACACGTTGTTTCACATATTTAATTTTTTCACCCTCTCCCAAACCTCCTCCTCCACCCCCCCCACCTGAAGTGCTTGACGGCCAGGTGGTCCTCCCAGTCGTTGCTGATGGACTTGTAGAAGGCGGCGTACTCCTCCTTGGTCACCTCGTCGGGGTTGCGCATCCTGGGGGGGAGGGGAGGTGGGAGGGGAGGAGACGAGGAAAGCCGCAGCGGGTCAGCCCGGGGCAAGGGGAAGAGCAATGCAGCTGTGCAGAACTGCAGGCAGGCGGCTAGCTAGCCGAACAAGGCGGGGCAGCAGGGCTCGACGCAGCACGCAAGTAGGCACACTCAGGAGGAACAAGCAGCAGCAGGCGCGCAAACCCACTCACCAGATGGGCTTCTGCTTGTTCAGCAGGCTCCACTCGTGCTGCACCTCCTTGACCTTCTTCTTCTTCTTCTCCTCCTTCACCTCCTCCACCTTGCCCTCCTCGTCTGCGGGAGAAGGAGAAGGGTAGCATAACGCATCAGCAACATGCCCCAATAAGGAAAGTCAGCAGCAGGGGAAAGCACTGGCGTCGACCGCAGTTTACGGATGTGACTAAGGCTCTTGTTGGTAGCACAACTGCAACGGCATGCCGCCACCCACCATCCCACCCGCCCTGCGTACTCACCCTCCTTCTTCTCCTCCTCCTCGTCGTCCGACACCTCCTTGTCGACCGTCGTCTCGGTCCACAGCGAGATGGGGTAGCTGATGAACTCGCTGTGCTTCTTCACCAGGTCCTTCAGGCGGCGCTCCTCCAGGTACTCCTTCTGGTCCTCCTGCGGGCGGGAAATAGGAAGGGCGGGAAAGAGAGGCGTGAAATTCGTGCTGCTGCAACTGCTGAAGCTTTATTTTCGGCTGATAGAAAGCTACCGTGAAGAGCAAACAACGAGGTGCGAGGACGGTTTGCTAATTTTGCGACCCATCCTCGAGGCTCGAGAAACCCACCTTCAGGTGCAGGATAATCTTGGTACCGCGGCCGATCTGCTCGCCCTCGGTGTCACGGCGGATGCTGAACGAGCCGCCGGCCTGCGACTCCCAGATATACTGCTCGTCGTCATTGTGCTTGGTGACGACGGTGACCTTGTCGGCGACCAGGTAGGCGGAGTAGAAGCCCACACCGAACTGGCCAATCATAGAGACATCAGCGCCAGCGCTCAGGGCCTCCATGAAAGCCTTGGTGCCAGAGCGCGCGATGGTGCCCAGATTGTTGATCAGGTCCGCCTTCGTCATGCCGATACCCGAATCAATGATAGCCAGGGAGCCATCGGCCTTGTTGGGAACAAGGTGGATGTAGAGCTCCGGGTTGCTGTCCAGCACAGACTTGTCCGTGAGGGACATGTAGCGGATCTTGTCAATGGCATCGGAGGCGTTCGAGATAAGCTCACGCAGGAAGATCTCCTTGTTGGAGTAGAAGGTGTTGATAATAAGCGAAAGCAGCTGGTTAATCTCAGCCTGGAAGGCGAAGGTCTCGACCTCCGCGGCCATTGTGTGCGGATCTGGCGGCGAGTAGAACAACTAGTTTGGGTCGCTTTGTTGAACTAGAGGTTCTAAGCTCTTAAGCGTGTAGCTACCGCTGTGATGCCAATGCCATCGAGCGCAGGCTACTTATATGTTTCCGGGGATGGTTCTGGACCCTGCCGTACCGAAGATCGTTGGGAGCCCGCGCAGAAATTTCTGGAGGTCTCAGGCACTCTGGTCAACCCGCCTCTTAGAGCACGGCGCCTAGATACTTCATGAGACTTGTATAATTGTTCCGCTTCCCGAAACAAGTCGTGCTTTCCTGCTGCATTAGGCGCGCGTCTGGAACGCTTGTTACTAAGCATTGCTTGCCGAGATACACTGTCCTCTTGTTTTACTCTAACTCTACACTTATTGCGGAGCTGAATGCACTTTGATTGTGTATCCTTCCTAACGTATGGCTCCCGCAGACAGGTCCCTCTTGCACCCTATACTCTTTTCCGCCATGATTATTTTGTTTGGAACACGTCATGCTTCGTTTGGATAGGAATTGCTGTAACTCGAGCCGCAGAAGCTAGGGTCCTCCGCGTTGCAGATGGCATGCAATTGGGTGTTGCTATTGATTGTCATTCCGCCCCAAAATATTAAGGGTGGACGCTCCACGCCACTGAACTGCCACCTGTAAGAAAGCCCCGGCACAGCACCTCTTGACGACGTATACCGGTAGACCTTGCGACATTGTCACGATGGCGCGGAGGAGCTGTGTTGGGAAACCAGTTACCGCGCAAAAAGAACTACCTTGGTCCTAAAAAATATAAAGTACTAGAAGCATGACGCCTCGGGTCCTTCGTGCATGGCACTCAGGGGCTTCACGGTTCACGCCTGCCTGCCTGCCTCGGGGTCTTCGTGAAGACCCAGGCACAGAGCACCAAAGTGCCTGCCTCACGCGAGGTGGGACCCGAGGCCCGTGAGTCCTCAAGCTTAGCTGCTGAGTGGTGCAGCCAGCAATACCCTATCAAAGCCCCCCCCCATGTTGGGTGGGATGGACCGGCTACCATGTTTGCACCCCATGGTGAAGCCTACATGTCATACAGCTCGTCAGTTACTTCGTCAGTGTCTCTTTATATATTTTTTACCCCCCATGTTGGGCACTGTAACTACGGTTGGCGCCTCCGTACCAGTAGCTGTTAGGCCCTACTCCAGGAGGCGCTAGCGGGACATGCCCCCGGGCGGGTGTCGGGGGTCGCACGCCTGACCCTCTTTGTGGCATGCCGCCGCCCCCTCGTCGCCCAGTTGCCCTGCCCTCACTTTTGGTTCCCATAATTCCATTAGAACCGGGTTGACATGACCTTTGCACGTGCCTTCCCACCGAGCCCGGCGCCCATCCCTCTCGCCCTCCCCTGCACGGCGCCCATCCCTCTCGCCCTCCCCTGCACGGCGCCCATCCCTCTCGCCCTCCCCATGCACGGCGCCCATCCCTCTCGCCCTCCCCTGCACGGCGCCCATCCCTCTCGCCCTCCCCTGCACGGCGCCCATCCCTCTCGCCCTCCCCTGCACGGCGCCCATCCCTCTCGCCCTCCCCATGCACGGCGCCCATCCCTCTCGCCCTCCCCTGCACGGCGCCCATCCCTCTCGCCCTCCCCTGCACGGCGCCCATCCCTCTCGCCCTCCCCTGCACGGCGCCCATCCCTCTCGCCCTCCCCATGCACGGCGCCCATCCCTCTCGCCCTCCCCTGCACGGCGCCCATCCCTCTCGCCCTCCCCTGCACGGCGCCCATCCCTCTCGCCCTCCCCATGCACGGCGCCCATCCCTCTCGCCCTCCCCTGCACGGCGCCCATCCCTCTCGCCCTCCCCTGCACGGCGCCCATCCCTCTCGCCCTCCCCTGCACGGCGCCCATCCCTCTCGCCCTCCCCATGCACGGCGCCCATCCCTCTCGCCCTCCCCATGCACGGCGCCCATCCCTCTCGCCCTCCCCTGCACGGCGCCCATCCCTCTCGCCCTCCCCATGCACGGCGCACATCCCTCTCGCCCTCCCCATGCACGGCGCAAGCGGGCGCGTGAAAGAAGGGACGACAAGAATGGAGACCCAGGACTTGCCTTAAGTTCTAATAAAAACTTGCTGTTTCGTTCACGGTTACGTCACGTAAGACTGCAGACAGGCTGTAGGAAGGACAAGAAGGCAGCTTGCCAGCCGCGAGTGGCCCAAGGGCCGGGAACAGTCGTCTTGTAACACATGTAACAGTCGTCTTTGTGAACATGCTCATGTAATACCTGAATGTAAAGATAGCCCTTTACTTGCCTTAATACCCCATATCCGGATAGGCAATCCGGCTTATCACCACCGGTTGACACATGGTTGCACGGCGCGCTTTAGCCATGCATTAGCCGAAGTTATAATAGCAAATTCTGAGTGTATATGTTTAGCAGTACTCGTAGGAGCAATAGGTGCAGTTGTTGGCAACTTCGGAAAAATGCCATCTGGGATGCAGCGTTTGGCGCTGAGGCTTGTTAGGCATGCGACTCGAGATGTCACCAATTCGTGGTGCGATATCGCTCGTAGCCTTAGGATGCATTGGCTGGGATCTGAGGCACTGGTGCTGTCCGCAGGGCTTTATCGAGTCGCCTCTCATGGCTCTCTTCTGCCACCCAAGCCCGTTATTTTGCAGCTTGTAAGTCATCACTGACTTCTGGCGCTTTTCGCGTTTTGCATCGGTTGGTAAAGCGCGGACCTGACTTTCTCAATTCCCTCTGCCTTGCAGACCCTGCGCATGTTGTGTTGAACATGCCGTCATTGTCACCGACGATGACCCAGGTAATCTTAGCCCACGCTCCTCCCGCTCAGCCATCCAGCAACTCACCAAACCTTCCCCGATGCCGCGCCTACAGGGCAACATCACCAAATGGCGAAAGCAGCCCGGCGAGCAAATCGCTCCAGGCCAAATCCTGGCCGAAGTTGAGACAGACAAGGCCATCATCGAGTGGGAGGCGCAGGAGGAGGGCTACATGGCCAAGCACCTGGTGCCCGAGGGCGCCAGCGACATTGCCGTGGGCACCCCAGTCGCAGTGCTGGCGGAGGAGGAGAGCGGGGTGGCGGGCCTCGCCTCCTTCGTACCTGGCAAGGAGGCCCCCGCGGCCGCTGCCCCGGCTAGCCCGGCTCCCAAGGGACAGAGCCCCCCCGCAGCGGCTCCTCCCCGCCCTGCCGCCCCCGCAGCGGCCCAGCCAGCGGCAGCAGCTGCGGCACCCCCCTCAGGAGGCCGGCTGCCCCCCCACCAGGTGCGTGGGGAGCTGTAACCTCCCTCCCTCGCACCCACCCTCCCACCCACCCAGCCACCCACCCACCCAGCCATCGCAACGCTATTCGCTGCTTGTAAGGCAGCAGCTGCCCAGGCTTCAACTGTGCCGCATGGTCGTGCATGCCTGCTCGGCTGCTCCCCCCCATCCACAACTCCCCTCACCCCTCCCTCATCATGCCACCTCTCCCCCCCCCGCGCCCCTAGGTCCTCAACATGCCCTCCCTGTCGCCCACCATGAGCCAGGGCAACATCCTGGAGTGGAAGAAGAAGGTGGGAGGGGGGCCGCATGTGGGGGTGCGCATGTGGGTGGGGCACATGTGGGTGGGGCACATGTGGGTGGGGCACCCTGCACTGCAACGCCGGCAGGGGCGCTCTTGGCACCCCGCCGCTGCTGCTGTTGGTGCCGTAGGATACAAACACGGACAAAGGGTCTCCAGGTCCCTTGCAGGGCTGTGTGCGTGCCTCCTGAGCTCCCGCCTGCCCTCCGCCCCGCCCTCTTTGCCAATTCCCCCCCCCAGGTTGGCGACCCCGTGGCCCCGGGTGACGTGTACTGCGAGGTGGAGACGGACAAGGCGACCATCTCCTGGGAGAGCCAGGAGGAGGGTGAGGGGGGGAGGGGGTAAAGAGGAAACAAGAGAGAGGGGGGCGGGGAGGGGGAGAGTGGGGGATAGGGGGGCCTAGCAGCACCCCCCACTCCGGGTTGCGGGTGGAGCCGTGTCGCATAGGGAGGCCTATTGGTCTTGTCCTTGACCCCCACCCACCCACCCCGCCCCCACTCTCCCCAGGCTACGTTGCTCGTGTGTTGGCGGGTGACGGCTCCCGCGATGTGGATGTGGGCACCCCGGTGCTGGTGCTGGTGGAGGACAAGGTGGGGGGTGGTTGGGGGGGGAGGGGTAGTGCTTCGCGGCTCTGGTTTGGGAAGCAGGAGGGAGGCTTCAGTGGCGAGAACCCTGACACTCCCCAACTGCTTGCCACAGCTGTGTCACCTGGTCAGTGTCTTCCCCTGTTGTACCCTTCACCACCCCCTCATCCTCATCCTCACCCTCCTCATGTCCCGGGTGCGCTCCCCCCCTCCCCCTCCCCCCCTCCCCCTCCACCGCACAGGAGGCGGTGGCCGCATTCGCCAACTACCAGCCCGGAGACGACAAGCAGCAGACCGCCGCTGCTGCTCCTGCTGCTGCACCTCCCGCTGCGGCTGCTGCACCCCCACCGCCGCCTCCACCCCCACCCCCGCCCCCGCAGCAGCAGCCGGCAGGTGGGGACGGGTTGCTGCTGCTGCTGCTGCCGTTGTGTATGTGTATTGGGGTGGGGTCTAAGACCCTAGGAGGCTTGTCGCTGCCAACCTGCTCTCCTCGCTCACCCCTCCCACCGCCCTCGCCCCTGGCCCTCCTTCCCTCTCCTCAGCGGCTCCCGCCGCCCCCGCTGCCCCCGCCGCCCCCGCCCCCCCCGCTGCCCCCGCCCCCGCCTCCGAGGGGTCCGGCCGGGTGCGCTCCAGCCCCTACGCCCGCAAGCTGGCTGCTGAGCTGGGCGTGCCACTGCAGGTGGGGGTGGAGGGGAGCGGGGTGGGGAGGGGAAAGAAGGAGGAGAAAACACACCATGCAAGGCTGCTGCAAAGAAGCGCACATGCATCCCTACGTGCACATGCAACCCTACGTGCCGTGACTGCCCCTCATGCTGGCTACTGCTACTGCTGATGCTGCTGCCACTGCCGCCCGCTGCTGGCTCTTCCCCCCCCCCCGCTTCCACCCACCCATGCAGGCGGTATCCGCCACGGGTGCAGGCGGCCGCATCGTGGCCTCGGACGTGCAGGGAGCAGCGACGCAGCAGCAGCAGCCGGCAGCAGCTGCAGCCCCTGAGACCCCACAGCCTGCTGCTCCCGCCCCCCCTGCCCCTGCCCCTCGCGCCGGTGAGTCATACGTGGACCTGCCCCACAGCCAGATCCGGCGTGTGACTGCTCGGCGGCTGCAGGAGAGCAAGCAGCAAGTGCCTCACTACTACCTGACCGTGGAGTGCAGGGTGAGGGGGGGAGGGGGGGGAGGGGGCGGAGGGGGGGCAGGGGATAGGGGGTGAGTGCCTTCAGAGGGAATGGGAGGAACGCGTACGAGGGAGCTCTCTGGCAGGGATAGGGTGTGCTGTTCTGTACATACCTGCGCACCTCTTCTGGCTATACCCACCCACCCGCCCTATCGTGCCTGCCCCACCTGCCCCACCCCCCACCCGTCCACCGGCCAGGTTGAGGAGCTGCTGCAGCTGCGGGAGCGCATGAACGCGGCTGCGGCTGCTGCTGCGGGTGCTGGCGGCGAGGGCGCTGCTGCTGCCCCCCCGGTGAAGATCAGTCTGAATGACTTTGTGATCAAGGCCGCTGCCAAGGCACTCAAGGCGGTGCCGGGTAGGGCAGCGGGGAGGGGGCCGGATAGGGGAGGGCATGGCAGCGGATTGGAGGAAGGACGCTGTGCATTTGAGAATTTAATAGAAACGAGAGCTTGAAGGAGTTAGGGGGAGGGAGTGTGGCGCCGCATGCGAGTGGTAAACCTTCTTAGTCTCCCACCTCGCTCCCTCACAACCTCCTGCCGCCCCCTACCTCCCCTCCCCTCCCCCCCCAGGTGTGAACGCCAGCTGGCACCCCGACTTCATCCGCCAGTACGCCAATGTGGACATCAGCGTGGCGGTGCAGACGCCGGCGGGACTGCAGGTGGGGAGCGGGGGGGGGTTTGGTGGGGGGGGTAAAGAGGGTAAACTGATGAGCTCATATGACGAGTGGGCTTCACCAGGGGGGTGGGGAGAAAATAGAAGAAGAGATTCAAGGCGGGTGAGAGCAGTGAGGCCCTCTTGACGTGTATGACCTCCCCCTCCATCCCCCACTCCGCATTACCACATCCCCATCCCGCCCCCCGTCCCCATGATGACGCCTTATCACACGCTCAGTTAGTTGTTTCCTCTACACCCCCCGTCCCCATCCCGCTCCCCCTGGGTGCATGCAGGTCCCCATCGTCCGCGACGCCGATCTGAAGCCCCTGTCCGCCCTCTCCTCTGAGGTGCGTGCGCTGGCCGCCCGCGCCAAGGCCGGCAAGCTGCGTCCCGAGGACTTCACCGGCGGCACCTTTACCATCAGCAACCTGGGCATGTACGGAGTCAAGCAGTTCGCGGCCATCATCAACCCGCCGCAGGTGTGTGGGGAGCGTAGTGGGGGGGGGACACATGGGATTGGGAACCCAGTGCTTCACTACTCCTGCTTCCTTCCAACCCTCACCCCGCCCCGCCCCCCACCGCCCCCACACACCCCACCCTCACCCCCGCCCCCCACCGCCCCCACCCCCCCAGGCCGCCATTCTTGCCGTGGGCGCCGCCACCCCCGTGGTGGTGCGCTGCGAGGGCGGTGTGTTCCGCGAGGTGCCGGTGCTGGCCGCCACCCTCAGCTGCGACCACCGCGTGGTGGACGGCGCGATGGGCGCGGAGTGGCTGGCGGCGTTCCGGCAGCAGATGGAGAACCCGCTGCTGGCGTTGATGTGAGGGGCGGGAGGGGGGAAGGGGAGGGGGGATGAAGGATACCCAATGTGTTGAGTGAGGTGAAGAGGTGGGGGCCCGGCAGTGTTGGTATAGTTGAGGAGGGGTATGATGAGGGCCGTCGGTACCGCTGCGACGCTGCTGGTTTGGGGCGGTGGTGGTGATGCTTTGTTGTGCCGTACGGCGACCGCGGGAAGCCCTGGGTCATGTGGGTCGGATAGGGAGGGCCGAGGCAGGGTGTGGTGGTGTGTGGGTATTATGAGCCCTGCGCTGTATCAATACTAGGCGTTGGTTGTCTGTTGGTGGTGGGTTGTTGTGTAAGCCAGGGCTTGCTTCTTGTTGGCTCGGAAAAGAAGAAGAAGAAAAACTATTGGTATTGTGTGGTTTGGTGTGGTTTGTGTGCGGCAGAAGATATGGGCATATTAATTCTTTGGCGATGTGGATCGTGGTAGTGTGTTTCAGTTTCTGAGTGTTTTGGGACTTTGCATGACGGTTCCTGCACTCCTTGTACTCCTGATATGTGGGTTGCGGTTGGTCCGACTCTACAGTCTCGTCGCGTCTTTGGCATGCTGGGCTCTCCTGGCTAGCTGGCATTCCTCGGTGCAGCGAGATGGCACATTGCCAACATGGGGGAGTGTTTTGCTATATATTCCCGTTTGGGGGGTCCGGCTGTAAACCTCTGTGGAGTGAGCAACATTGCAGGGCAGCTCAGACACGGCTCCTTAAGACAATCATAGGGGGTATGCCGCAGCAGGAGTCATCCAGCTTTAGCTTGAAGATAACTGACAAACCTTTCGTGCGACACAGGCAGCCCTCCGCAATCCTCCCCATACATACCTCCCTAGGTATTAGTACACGGGCCAGGGTGTTGCGGTCAACACGTGTTGAGGCGTTAAATTGGTGCGAGTCATAAAGGCAACCGCGTCTTGCGATCCAAGCTCCGCTTGCAACGGATATGCGCTTAGTAGATGGGTGACGCGGAACCCGTCACCCAGTGGTTTGTGATCATGCTCTGGATGCCGTGTCGTTCGCTGACCAGACGAACCATAAAGCGCAACTAAAAAGAACGAGGCTTAATCCATGTGTTTGTTCATGGAATTGGGAACGCTTAGTACTCGCTGTGTACTTGTGTAGTTGTGTTCACTTTTGGAGGTTCTGGAGCCAGCTTCGAAGGCTGTGCGGAGCTCGCCCCCAGACGCTCAGTTCCCACGTCAATGCCTATCACCAAGAGACACACTGTGAAATATACGCGCCCAGACCACCTTCTTGCCTTTAACTTCTGTGACACGTAACATAAACAATTTAGGTCGACTTCAACAGTCCAGTCTTCCTCATCCGTATAACACCGGTATTAAGGAATGCTTTTGCTGGTTTACTGACAAGTGTTAGCGGTCAATTAAGGAATGGCGGACGCGGAGGAGTCAACAGGAATGGCGGAGAATGGCGAGCAGCTGCCTGGAGAGCAGGAGGGTGAGAATGCACCCTTTCGCTAATTTAAAAATGCTTTTTAGTTTGTATTGGAAGACGGAAGCTGTCCTATCGTGGTTAGCGTACTATAAGCATGACGCGTAACCCCAACAGGTCCAACTGAAGACGCCGTCGCTAATGAGGAAGCACCTGTCCCAGTCGACCAGGAAGGCGGGGCCACCCCTGGTGATGCTCCCGCGGCCGAAGCGGAGGCTCCCCAGCAAGGGGCCCCAGAAGAGGCCCCTCCTCAGGAGGCACCCCCAGCGGATGCAGGCCAGCCCGAACAACCAGCTGCGACGGGAGATGCTGTTGCGGAGCCGGCGGAGCCGGGCGAGAGGGAAGAAGCTCCGGCGGCAAACCCCGGCGAGGCGGGTGAGCCCGCAGCAGCAGGGGATTCAGTGACGGAGCCCGCAGTGACGGAGCCCGCAACAACAGAGCCTGCAGATGCTGCCGAGGTGCCAGAAGGGATGGAGCCCGCAGCAGCAGAGTCTGCAGCAACAGAGCCCACAGAAGCCCCCGCGGCGCCAGCAGCGCCTCCACCAGCGGAGGAGGAGCAGCCGCCCAGCTCAGACCCAGCTCCCGAGGACGCAGCACCGGCGGACAGCGCAGAGGCACCCACCAGCAACAGCAGCAGCGACAGCGCACCCCAGGGCACCATGCCAGGTGGTGCCGACGCGTCAGCACCCCCTGACTCCTCCCCAGCAGCGGCAGAGGAGGCCGCTGCAGCCGACGACGCCCCAGCTGCCCCTGCCCCGGCGCCTCCTGCCGCGCCGGTGCCAGCAAGCCAGGAGTCCCCTGAAGCACCCGAGGCGGCAGCAGCTCCAGCCCCTCCCGAGGCTCTTGCTCCAGCCCCTCCCGAGGCGGTTGAGACGCAATCGGAGCCCGGCGCCCCAGAGCCCCCCTCCGCTGCAGCAGAGCCCGCCGAGGGCTCCCCAGCTGAGGCCTCCCCAGCAGAGGGCGCCCCGACAGAGCCCGCCGAGGGCTCCCCAGCTGAGGCCTCCCCAGCAGAGGGCGCCCCGACAGAGCCCGCCGAGGGCTCCCCAGCTGAGGCCTCCCCAGCGGAGGGCGCCCCGACAGAGGGCGCCCCCGCCGAGGCCGGCGCCTCTGACGATGCCGCCGCTGCTACCGCAGCAGAACCCGGAGAGGCCGGCGGCGATGCTCCCCCAGCGGACGGCGACGACGCGGCTCCTCCGGCACCCCCGCGGCCTCCCAGCCCTCCCTCCGCGGACAAGGTCGCCCCGCTGCTGTCCGTTCTCGGCCTTGACACGCACCGCCACAACAACATGCTGCTGCTGGATGACGACACGCTGGTGACCTGCATTGGGTCGCATGTGGTGTTCCTGTCGCTCAGCAGCGGCCGGCAGCGCTATCTGCGTGGGCTGGACAGCGGGGGGGTGGGGGCGGTGGCGGTGCACCCCTCACGGACGCTGCTGGCGGTGGGGGAGAAGGCGCGAGGGGGCGCGGGGCCGTGCGTGTACATCTACACATACCCGCAGCTGGAGTGCACCAAGGTGGGGGTGGAGAGGGAAGGAAACTGGTAGGGGTCGAAGACCATGCCAACATATTGATGGGGGTGGGGTGGGGCGATGGGGATTCCAGTTTTAGTCTGATTCGGCCCAACATGCGGATTGGCTATGCACCACAGAGGTGCATGCGTGCATGCAGAGGCCTGTGTGTAAGTAGGTGTATGGCCGACGACCCTGATGGGAAATCCCTCTTTTTTCCTCACCCCGTCTGGTTCACACGCTTATCGGCTCCCCCCATGCTGCCGACCATGCTCGCCCTCCTCCTCCTGCTCTCCTCCCCCTTCCCTCCACCCCGCTGCCCCCTCCTCTCTCCCCTTCCCTCCTCACGCTGCACCCCACCTACCCACTCACCAGGTTCTTCGCGCGGGCACGGAGCGTGCCTACAGCGCCCTGGCCTTCGACTCCAAGGGCGACACGCTAGCCTCCGTGGGCTCCTTCCCCGACTTCCTGCTGACGCTGTGGGACTGGCGCGAGGAGGCCATCGTGCTGCGCGCCAAGGCCTTCAGCCAGGACGTGTACACGGTGGCCTTCTCGCCCTACTTTGAGGGACAGCTCACCACCTCGGGTAGGATGCGGCGGCGGGGTTGGGGTGGGGGTGCGATGACGGCGGGGGGTGCGCCGGTGGGGACCACAGAGCACTGAAACACCCATCCATCACCCTTCCCGAATCCCACGCCCCGCCCTTTTCCTCCCGCTCCCCTCCCGCCCCCGCTCCCCTCCCGCTCCCGCTCCGTTTCACAGGTCAGGGCCACATCCGCTTCTGGCGCATGGCCTCCACCTTCACCGGCCTCAAGCTGCAGGGCGCGCTGGGCAAGTTCGGCAACGTGGAGCTCAGCGACGTGGCGGGGTTCGTGGAGCTGCCGGACGGCAAGGTGCTGAGCACCACGGAGAGCGGCGAGCTGCTGCTGTGGGACGGCGGGCTGATCAAGGTGGTGCTGCTGCGCCCCGGCGGACAGCCCTGCCATGACGGGGCGGTGGAGGTGCTGCTGCATGACCGGGCGTCGGGGGTGATTCTGTCGGCGGGGGCGGACGGCTACGTACGGGTGTGGGACTTCAACCAGGTGGGGGTTCGCGAGGGGGGTGGGGGTGCGGGGGGGGGGGTACGGCCGCTAGGAGGCGGGCATGGTGGTGGTGGTGGTGGTGGTGGTGGTGGTGGTGGTGTGTTAGATGTGGGTCGGATGTGCGTTGCAGCGGCTTTCATCCACTTCACTCCCTTCCCCATGCTCCGATCCATCTCCCTCCCGTCCTCCTTCGGTCCCTGTCACGGTGTGTTGTTTCATCCCCCGCACACGTGCTCAGTTGCATGCCACGCATCAACCACCTCCTCATACAGCTCGTCAGTTCCCTTTGTTACACCCTTCCCCTCCTTGTCATATCCGCCCCGCCTCCCGCCCGCAGGTGAACGACGCGGAGCCGCGCGAGGACGGTCACACGCTGGAGCTGCGGCCGCTGGACGAGGTGCACGTGGCGGCGGGGGCGCATGTGGTGTCGCTGCTGTGGGAGGGGCGGCGCTGGGTGGTGGTGGACAGGGCGGGAAGCATCTACATCATCACGCTGCCGGCGTCGGGCTCGCTGAGTGAGTACGGTACCGGAGGGGGGGGGGGCTGTGCTTGGAAGAGGAGAGGGGTGCTTGTGAGGGGAGCCGCCATGCCGCGTCTGCCATGCCCTCATGCTCCTCCTCCCATCTACAGACACACACCCATGCATGCTCCCCCCCCCTGCATTCCCCCCCCCTCCCAGGCAAGGGCGCCACCGTGACAGCTGTGGCCACCCACCCCGCGGGTGCCGTGGCGGGGCTGTCGGTGTCGCCGCTGTCGCACACGTGCATGGCGGCCAGCCGGGACGGACAGCTGCGGGTGCTGGACTACAGGTGGGCTGACTGGGGGGGGCTGGGAAGGGGGGCGCTGGGGGGAAGGCGGGCGGAGAGCATATGGGCTAAGTGGGGTGAACCTGTGAACCTGCCTGCATCTCCCACCAACCCCCGCCCATGTGTTACATCCGCGACGTGGACGCAAATCCAAAACCTGATCCCACCCATCCCTGCCCACACAGGACCGGCGCCACACTGGCCAGGGCGGCGTGTCCGCAGCCCATCACCGCCTTCGCCGCGCTGCCCCGCCCCGGCGCCTCCGCCATGATGACCGCCGTCACCGGATACCGAGACGGAGTGGTACGGGTGCACACCCGCTGCGCCCTGCCGGCCCCAGCCCCCGCACTGCCGCCGCCACCGCCACCCGCACCACCCGCGGAAGGCGATGCACCACCGGAGGGTGACGCAAGCGGTGCAGCAGCAGCAGCGGCAGCAGCGGCACCTCCTGCGGGGCCTCCCGCGCCCGTTCCCGCCGCCCCTCCGCCACAACAGCTGGCCCTAACCGGCGCCGCCAAACCTCACAAGGGCGCGGTTACCGCCATGGCCGTGTCTCGTGACGCCAGTCGGCTAGCCACGTGCGGAGAGGACGGTACCGTGTTCTTCTTCGATCTGCTGCCGCTGGCTACGGCAGCGGCTGCTGCTGCCGCCGCCGCCGCCGCTGCTGGTGCTGCTGGTGCGGGTGCGGTGGCGGCTGGCTGCGGGGTGCTGGTTCCGCGTGCGTATGTGCGGCTGGCGCAGGGCAGCGGTGTGGCCACATGCGCCACCTGGGATGCGACGGAGCGGGCGGTGCTGGTGGGAACCAGTCGGGGGACCATCCTGCAGGTGGGGGGGCGGGGGGGGGGGGAGGCAGCAGGGGGCTAAGAAGAGGAAACTGACGAGCTGGTGCGGGGGACAGCACGGGACAGCACGGGGAATGCAGTAGGAGTGCAGGATTGTGACTGGGTAAGGTTGTGTAGGTGGCTTGCCTCTCGTGCTGTGGGGGTGGCCCCGGGAGCCTACATGCAGCAGCAGCACCCTACATGCCGCCACCTGCCTGCCTGCCCGCCCGCTGGATGGCCGAGAAACCTCCGAGAGAGGCGAGAACCCAACACCCCGCCGGGGTACTCTACGCCACGCCCTGCCCCCCTCACAGGTTCCGCTGCCCCCCGAGGGGCTCAACACGCACCACACCTACGAATGGGCGGGTGCGGAGGTGCGCGCCTTCCCCTTCTCCGTGCCCAAACCCAAGAAGCCCAAGAAGGCTAAGAAGGCGAAGGACGGGCAGGAGGGCGGCGAGGGCGGGGAGGGAGCCGCGGAGGGTGCGGAGGGCAAGGCGGCTGCGACCGGCGCGGAAGAGGGCGCGCAGGGCGGCGAGGCGGCCGGCGGGAATGGCGAGGGCGAGGAGGAGGGCGGCGAGGAGGAGGAGGAAGAGGAGGAGGACGGCGAGGGGGACAGCGGCACGGATGGCCCCGCCTCCTCCAGCGGCGAACTCCTCACGTTGACCCCCGCGCATGATGACCCCACAACGCTGCTCGTGACGGCGGGGGGCACCGGACATGCGGCTCGCAAGGTACGTGGCTTCTTAGCAGGCTGTTTGTTGGCAGCGCGCGTAGGAGTTACCGAGGTGCCGGTAGTGCTTTGGTACAAACCAAAACCCCAGCCCCCTTTCCCCACCTCCCCTTCCTGGCTAAACGGCAGTACGCTGGCACCGAACAAGCAGTCCAACCCCTGCCCCCTGCCCCCTGCCACCTCCCCTCGTTGCATTGTGCTGCTGACCACCGGTCCCCGCCCTGCCCCCCCTGCCGCCCCCCCCGCTGCAGGTGTGGCGAGTCAACTTCAGCGAGCCGCTGGCCTCCCCCGTGCTGGATGGCTTCCCCTCCGCGCCCGTCAGCTTCTTCGCCTACAGCGCGGACGGGCGGCGGGCGCTGCTGGGCAGCGGGGACGGTCTGGTGCGCGTGCAGCCGCTGGAAGGTGCGGGGGGGCTGGAGGGCGGGGTGGTGTGGGGAGGGGGGAAGGGCGGGCAGGAGGGGGGTGGGAGAGCAGGGAAGCAAACTGTGTTGGTGGCTCTGGTTCGCCCCCTCCAGCCCTGGTGTTGGTGTGGTGGGGAGGGGAGGCTCGGCTCCCTCCGCACGAGTAGGGCAAGGGACACGGCATCTTGCTCCCTTTCCCCCTGCTGCCCCCCCGTGTGCGTCCATTACCTAACTACCACTCGCCCACCCGCGGCCCTGATGATGCAAACCATGATGGCAAACCTTATCACACGGCTCCTTACTTCCTTCCTCTCTTGTCCCCACACCGGCTCCGCCCCAACCCTGCGCGCCCCCGCAGCCCCCTACGGCCCCGCCTCCGCCTCCACGGTGTGGGAGAGCCCGCTTCACGACATGCAGACCGGCCGCATGACCACCGTGGCGCTCTCATTCGACGACGCCTACCTCATCACAGCGGCGCGGGACGGAGCGGTGCACCTGCTGGTGGGGTGGGAGTGGGGCGGGGGTGGGAGAGGAAGAGGAAGAGAGCGGCAACAATACCTGACAGGGGCCTGGACTCTTCACGCCATGCCGGTGACGAACCACACGCCTCCTCCCCACACGCCTCGTCCCTTGCTTCTCCCCCAACCCAGCTCCCTAGCTGCCGCGTCAGTTTCCTCGAGTGAGTTTACGCCCACCCACCCGCCCACCCACCCTGCAGACGTCCCCCTGGTCCGGCGGACTGCTGCGCCCCAAGGACCCGCCCCCCGAGCTGCTGCTGGCGCCCTCCTCGCTGCCGCCGCCGCCCGCGGACATCACCTCGACCTCCGCGTACACGCTGGAGGAGGAGAAGCAGCAGGCGGAGCGGGACCAGCAGGTGCGTGGGGAGGGGGGCTAGTTGGGGGGGTTGGGGGGGGAGCTGAGGGGGGCGGGGGACGGCCTTTGTTGGGCGGCGAGATAGAAATGCACCCGCCGCTGCTGCTCTCGGTGTTCCAGGGTCTCACAACATGTGCACAGCTCCGCTGTGACCGTAAATCCCCCCGTAACGAAGTGAAGGGGAGGATTGGAGGACAGATCACCGCTAAAGTTTGTCTGTCCGTCTGTCTGTCTGTCTGTCTGTCTGTCTGTCTGTCCACAAAAGTGGTGGCAACGACCTTCAGGCGCTAAGCGTTCAGTCCTGTCCTCAGCCAGCCAGAGGTCTCCGGTTCGAGCCGGGTAGCGACCTCTTGGCGACTTCCTTGGCACCCTTGGAGATGATGCCTGGGCTTATGGGGATGGTGTTCTGGGAGATCTCGAGTACGACAACACACTGTACGGCAGCAAACTGTACGGCACAGTTGCCATGCTGTGTGGTGACACATCATGTGGTGTACGACATGTACGACTATGTACGACAGCTGTACGGCAGTGTACGACAGCGTACGACAACTGTCGTACGCTTGTACGGCATCTGTACGGCATGGGTTTTGACACGCCCTCCCACCCCCCTCCGTGCTCCCCACTCCCCTCATCACCCCCTCATCACTCATCATGCCTGGCATCATCAGGATGGTGTCCTGAGATGTGGTGTCGTACGGCAACGCAGTACGGCATGGGTTTCGACACACCCTCCCACCCCCCTCCGTGCTCCCCACTCCCCTCATCACCCCCTCATCACTCATCATGCCTGGCATCATCAGGATGGTGTCCTGAGATGTGGTGTCGTACGGCAACGCAGTACGGCATGGGTTTCGACACGCCCTCCCACCCCCCTTCATGCTCCCCACTCCCCTCACCACCCCCTTGTCCCTCCAGCACCTCTGAACGCCCCTGCATCACCATGAGGTGTACGGCAACACGGTACGGCATGGGTTTCGACACGCCCTCCCACCCCCCTCCATGCTCCCCACTCCCCTCACCACCCCCTTGTTGCTCTAGCTCCTCTGACCACCCCTGTCGTACAGCGACATGGTACGGCATGGCTTCGGGCACCGCGTACCACCAATCTTCTTGTTGCAATATCTTGCATTGTGATCTCGACTAAGCTATAACTGAATTAATGAGCCATTCGCAGTTTCTTGGTTACTTTCCAAAATCAGCGTAAATGTCGATTAAGCTATAACTGAGTTAATGAGCCATTCGCAGTTTCTTGGTTACTTGGTCAGAAATCGGCGTAAAACTGTTTTGGCGACCCACCCCCCTCCATGCTCCCCGCCCCCCTCACCAACCCCTCGTCCCTCCAGCACCTCTGAACGCCCCTGAATCACCATGAGGTGTACATCACCATGAGGTGTACGGAAACGCAGTACGGCATGGGTTTCGACACGCTCTCGCACCCCCCTCCATGCTCCCCACTCCCCTCACCACCCCCTCACCGCTCTAGCTCCTCTGACCACCCCTGTCGTACAGCGACATGGTACGGCATGGCTTCGGGCACCACGTATCACCAATCTTCTTGTTGCAATATCTTGCATTGTGATCTCGACTAAGCTATAACTGAATTAATGAGCCATTCGCAGTTTCTTGGTTACTTTCCAAAATCAGCGTCAAACTGTTTGGTGACCGTGACCACCCCCCTCCATGCTCCCCATTCCCCTCACCACCCCTTCCTCGCTCCAGCTCCTCTGAACACCCCTGTCGTACAGCGACACAGTACGGCATGGGTTCGGGCACCGTGTGCCGCCGGTCCCCTTGTTGTGATGTCTTGCATTGTAATGTCGATTAAGCTATAACTGAGTTAATGAGCCATTCGCAGTTTCGTGGTTACTTGGTCAGAAATCGGCGTAAAACTGTTTTGGCGACGGACATGGCATCGGCAAAAGTCTTTCAGCGCAAGTTGCAAGCTAGTTTCGGCGAGAAGCACGGTCGTGAAGTCGGCGCGTCTGCTGAAAAGCGCCGATTACTGATCACCGAAAACAATGGTTCATCGGCGATCACTGATCGGCGAATGCTGTCAGGGGTGGTCGCCGTGAAAGCTTCTTAGATTTCGGCGCAATTAGCCTGGCATCGGCAAAAGTCTTTCGGCGCAATTTGCAAGCTGGTTTCGGCGACAAGCACGTTCGTAAAGTCGGCGCATTTCCTGAAAAGCGCCGATTACTGATCGCCAAAAACTATGGTTGATTCGGCGATCACTGATCGGCGAATGCTGTCAGGGGTGGTCGCCGTGAAAGATTCCAGCCATATGTGGAGGATCCATCTCCTCTTATCCCCCTACTCGAGATCTCTCAGAACACCATCCCCATAGGCCCATTTGCCGCGTCACCTTGATGCTGTCATACAGCATACAGCCGACGTCACCCCGTCACCAGAAAACTATGGTTGATCGGCGATTGCTGATCGGCGAATGCTGTCAGGGGAGATCGCCGTGAAAGCTCTTTAGATTTCGGCGCAATTTGCCTGGCATCGGCGAGAGTCTTTCGGCGCAATTTGCAAGCTGGTTTCGACGAGAAGCATGGTCGTGAAGTCGGCGCATCTCCTGAAAAGCGCCGATTGCTGATCGCCGAAAATGATAGCTTTTTTGGTGATCACTGACCCACGGGTCATGAGACGTAGCCCTCATGCGCAGATGTGTTTTTGTGTGTGTGTGTGTGCATGTAGTGCGCAGGTAGCGAGGCTCTACCTGTATATGTTGGTACAGAACAAGGGCTTTTCATGCCTTGGACACGCCAACATGCCGTAGGGCAGCCCCAAGAGGTCACCGATAGCGGAAAACGTCCGGAGGCGCCCCAAAATTTGAATTTGAAGCAGTTCGACGCCATGCCGTACATGTACGCCATGCCGACTATTGCTTTCGAACATGAGCCGCACGCTGACATCAGGTCCGCCGACCATGCTTGTCTGCAACATGAGCAACCTCACAACACTGGTCGGCGCGCCAACGTTAGGTCCGCAATGCTGAAGTCATGCCGGCGCGCAAAGCTTGTTCGTTCGCGAATTCATCACCAATCAGGATTTACGGTACCCCCGGCCGCGGCGACCACGACGCGGCGCTATCCCACCACCTCACCCCGTCCCTCTCACCCCACCCCTCGCCTCACCTCGCCCCTCACACCACCTCCCAGGTCCGTGAGGCGGAGGAGAAGAAGCTCTCCGTGCGCGAGCGCCTCGCGCGCATCCGAGCCGAGTTCGAATCCCTCCTCTCCGAGAACGAGTCCCAGCCCGAGGCGCTGCGGCTGGGCCGGGGCGAGCTGGAAGTGGACCCCGGGCTGCGTGAGCTGATGGAGGCGGAGGCGCAGCGGCGGGAGGAGGTGGCGCGGCTGGAGCTGGCTTGGGAGAGCGAGCGGCAGCGGCTGGGGCTGGCGAAGCTGAGGGGATACTTCCTGGATGGAGTGGAGACGGAACGAGTGGTGGGTGTGGGTGGGGGAGTTGGGGGGCGGGGAGGCTGGCGGTGCAGGTCAAGGGATTTGCTACGCTTGCAGCAGTTATACAGCTGCTGTGTTGTTCCTGCATTAGTAGTGTGTGCGTGTGCATGATTGTAACCGCGTGTAACCGCTGTAACTCCCCCACCCTCCTCCTGCTTTCCCACCAGGTGCTGTACTCGCTGCGAGACGGCAGTCGGGTAACCACCTTCCGCACCGCCAAGCTGTCGGATGAGACGCGTGCGGAGCTGGCGGCGCTGCGGGCGGCGGCGGCGGCAGCAGCCTCGTCTGCAGCGGCGGGCTCTGATGGCACGGGGCGGGACATGGGGGGCAGTGACGCACGCAGGGGGAGCGATACAGGTGCGGGTGGGGGTGCGGGAGGATGCGGGTGGGTTTGAGTGGGAGGAAGAAGAGGAGGAGGGGCACCGTGGGGCGCTTGTCGGGTTAATCCCTTTTTGCGGCCAGTTTCCTCCTTAACCCATGATGGGCATGAATGACCTGACCTAACCCTTCTCCCTCTTCCTCCTTCTCCTCCTCCCCCTGCTGCCCCCTCCCCCCTGCTGCTGCCGCTGCTGCCCCCTCTGCAGGCGGCGGTCCGAACAGCGAGGCGGCTGCTCGCGCCCGCCTGGCGGAGGCCACCGCGGCCCTGGCGGAGGGAACCGCCAGCGGCCGACTCAACAAGGCGGACCTGCGGCGGCTGGCGCGCAAACGGCGGGAGGCCGAGTGGGCGGCGTTCAATGCGACGCGGCCGGATGACACCTACGACAGCCCCGCCGACCTGCGGGCCATTGAGGTGGGTGGCTGGGTGGTGGTGTGGCTGTGTGGGTAAAGAGGAAACAACTACCGGTAACGAACCGTGGTGGATGGGCAGCATGGGGGCAGATTTGTTACGATGTGCGCAGTTTTTGTGGAGCTACCGGTAAGTGTTCTGGAGGCGCTCTGTGGTGGTTGTCCTCCTGCCAGCGGGGTGTCCTGCCGGGTACCGGAGCGGGCGCTCCTGCCGCACCCCTGCTGTGTTGCGGCGCTCTGCTCCCTGGCATGCGGTCTCATGCGGTCGCATGACAGCCGCTGGGTGCCCCCCCCCCTTGCGCGCCTGGCTTGTCAAATTCCCGGGCAGTTTGCCCTTTTGCGGTTTCTTACGTTTTGGTCTAACCTGACCCCCCCCTTGCGTGTGCGCCCATGCAGGAGGCCCGGCGCACCATCGGCGACTTCAAGCTCAAGAGCGACCCCAACTTTCTGGTTCCCGAGGTACGTAACTGCTGCTGCGGTGCTGCTGCTTTGGTGGTGCTGCGAGGGTGCGGTGTTGCTGCGAGAGGTTGCGAGTGTGGTGAACATGATGATGATGATGCCGGGCTTTAGCGTCTGCTGTGCACCTGTGTGACATGGGCTGACTAGTCATCACGCAACACAACCCGACACACAACACACTTCCGCACATCACCCCCACCGCCCGCTCCTCAACCCCCACCTCCCCCACGCCGCCACCGCACCGCAGGAGGAGCGCATGACCCCCCAGCGCAAGCGTCACGCCATGCTGGAGCTGGAGGAGGCGGTCTACAACATCAAACACGCATTCAACGAAAAGTTCTTCGCGCTGCGTGACGTCAAGCGCAAGGTGCTCGCCGACGTGCGCGTCAAGCTGGCTGCCCTAGGGGAGCTAGCGGCGCTGGCGGGCTCCGCAGCGGGCGGCGGCAGCGGCGGTGACGCGGAGGCCACCGCAGCAGCCTACCTAGCGCCCTTTGCGAACATACCGCAGGGGCTGCTACCTGACGAGCAGCCTGCCGAGGCGCGGGAGGCGGTGACGGATGAGGACCTGGCTGCCTTTGCGTTGCGTAAGCAGGAGGAGGAGAGGAAGGCGGCGGCGGCGGCGCAGGGGGGCCTGGGCGGGTTCGCGACCACGGGCGCGAAGCGGCCTGCGGGGCCGGCGGCCGGGACTGCAGGGGGTGCAGCTGGTGGAGGTGCTGGCGCGCATGGGCCGGGAGGAGCCGGGGGGTCGGGGGGCGCAGCTGCGGGGGGAAGCGGGATGAGCGCTTCTGAGGAGGCGCTGGCCAAGATGATGGCGGCGGTACCGCAGAGCGAGCTGGAGAAGGGTCTGGCGGCGTACAACAGGCGGCGGGTTGAGCACATGCGCAGCAAGCTGACGGGTGGGTGGGGGTGTTGGGTGGGGTGCACGGGTGGTGCGGCGGGTGTGTGTATGGAGGTTGCGGAGGACGCGCAGGGGACTGGGTCGCGTAGGGTGCTTTACACGTGCTACGGTGTTAGGAGCTGCAGCTCTAGGCGGGGCGCTACAACGTCCATGATTGCTTGCAAGCGCTCCATTCTGTCCTTGCGCATGTTGCCCGCCCCCTACCTACTTACCCACCGGTGCCCTCTCCCCTCACACGTCCGCCCCCCCCTACCAGAGGAGATCAACTCCATGATTGAGGCCTTCGACGACGCCCACTCCGCCCTCAAGTCCGAGAAACTGGGTCTGGAGGCCGACGTCAAGGCGGGGGAGATGCGACTGCTGGTCATGCTCCAGGAGCTCCAGCTGCTACGTGAATTCGACAAACGCGAGAGCGTGCTGCTGCAAAAGCGCCAGGCCAAACTGGATGACAAGCAGGAGATCGTGGACAAGATCACGGAGTGTACGGATAAGCTGGAGCAGAAACGCGTGGAGCTGGAGGGCCTTATCGCGCGTCGTGCGGCGGTGGTTTCGGAGTTGGATGCGGTGGTTCCGGAGAGCGATCCCTTTCGGGAGGCGCTCGTGCGGGTGTTCCACCGGCGGATCAAGCGCTCCAAGAAGAAGGCGGGCGGCGCGGATGATGACTACGACAGTGATGAGGACGATGATGAGGACGAGATGGGTGAGTTGGGTGCTGCGTACATGCATGGGGTTGCATGCATGGGGGTAGCACTTTATACCACGATACGCATTGCTGCAGTTACGTAAGGGTTGGTGTGGGTTTGGTGGTAGCAGCTTTGACATGGGTTATGGCTGCCCAGCCCCGACCCGCCCCAACCCGGCCCCTCACGTGTGGTTTGGTGTCTCCTTGACAACCCCGTGGCCCCCCCATGTTCCGCTGGCCCCACCCTGCCCCACTGCCCAGGTGACGACGAGGCGGATGACGACGACGACGGCGGCGAGGAGGTGTGCCCGCCCGGGTGCGACCAGTCGGTGTACGAGCGCGTGTGCGACCTGCGGGAGAAGCGGCTGGACGAGGAGGACATGATCGCGGAGTTCCAGAAGACAATTGAGGTAAGGGGGGGGTACTGCAGGGTGGTGCAGGGTGGGTTGGGGGTGCTACAGGGGGGGTGGGGGTGCTCAGAATGGGCATCAGGCTGCGGCATGCAGCTACACAAGGAAAGCAACTGGGCTGCTGGGATGCAACAGACCACGGCTTGTCGCTGTGTGTACGGTATCGCTCAGTTCAGTTAGGGTAGTTTCTTTAACCCTAGCTAAAGGCGCTCATGTGTGTTGCTCCCCTGCCCCGTCTGCCCGCTAGACATCTCTCTCGCCCGTCTGCTAAACAACGATCCTTTGCCCGCTGCCCGTCCCTCCACACCCACACCCACACCCACACACGCACCCCCACCCCCAGGTTCTGCGCAAGGAGAAGGAGGCGCTGGCCAAGAAGCAGCGGCTGGTGGAGCAGGGGCTGGCGGCCGTGAACGCCGACATGGCGGAGTTCCAAAAGGAGAAACAGGGGCGGCTGAACCAGGTGGAGGTGGTGGTGTCGCTCAAGATGCATCAGGTAGGGAGGGCGCGGGAGGGAGGGAAGGAGGGGCTTGCAGGCCTAGGTCCACCAGGTGCCTCGAATTGACCACCCAGCGTCATGCACAACAACACACCGTCACCAACTCGCGGCCGGCTTTCTTAACACCCCCGCCCACCTCCCCCCCCCACCCTCGGCCCCCAGGTGGAGTACCTGCTGGACGGCTGCCTGCCTGACGACCTGTCCGCCGCACTGGTGTTCAGCGCCACTCAGCTGCGGCGGCTGCAGCGACGGGTGGACGAGCTGGAAGACGAGAAGACGGCGCTGCGGGCCGCGCACAAGGACCTGAAGCGGGAGCACGCGGCGCTGCTGAAGGACAAGGCGGAGAAGGAGAAGAAGGTACGTGCGGTGCTGGGCGGGCGGTTGTCCGTCTGGGGGAGGACGTAGGATGCGGCTGCTGCTGCTTGGTGCTGCTGCTCCCTGTCGTCGATGACAGGATACCGGTAATATGTTGTCTGGACGGTGGTGGGGGTGCATGCATGCATGCAGCAAGTCCGAGTACTTCTTAGCGTATCACCATGTCAACGGTCATTGTAGTCCTTTTACGTAGTTTTCCCGTCTAAAGAGGAAAGGGCCCTCGGCTTTGCACACATTCCGCAGGTTTCGGAGCTGGAGGCGCGAGCCCATGACGTGCAAATGCTCAAGTTCGGTCAGGTGATCGATCTGGAGCTGCTGGACAAGGTCAGCAGCAGCCGGGGCACGGAGGACTTGAAGGAGGAGCTTAAGAAGCAGGCAAGTGACGTTACCGGTAGTCTGACGAGTGGTCTGTGCATTTACCGGTATACCTGGCGAGAATGCGATGGTGTGCCGATGGATACTGCACACGGCTTGCACGGTTAAAGCAGGGGATACGGTAAAGGCTCACACATCATGTTCCGACTCGTGGCCAGCTTTGTTAACGCACACACCATGTTCTGCACTCGTACGTAGTGTCTAGTTGAAGCCTGATGCATCCGTGCACACTCATTTCCGCATTCGTTCCCGCACTCATTCCCTCACGCTCCTTCCCGCACCCATACACGTCACCCCGCAGGAGCTGCAATACGCGCGCGAGCTGGCCGAGTGGGACGCCAAGATCGCGGCGCGCATGGACGAGCTGGTGGTGCTGACGCGCGAGAACACGGCGTGTCTCAACGCGGTCAGCGAGCTGACGGCTGCGCAGCGCAAGCTGGAGAGCGGGCTGACGGCCACCCGCAAGGGGCTGTTCGCGGACCCAGTGCAGCAGCGCAAGGCCGAGGTGGGCTGCGGTTGATGATTCCTGGATGGATGCGGAAAGGATGCGGCCGTGTGCGCATTGTTGACGACAGCGGAAATGTACCGCACTGCATAGCGGTGTCTTCTTTCCCATGCAAAGGTCCCATATGGTGTGTACCCGACTTCCCCATGCGGTTGTAAGGACTCCATCTTGTTAACACGTATGCCTTACGCCTGTTTCACAACGTGCACGCAGGTGGAGGAGCGCGATGCCCTTGTGCAGCTTGTTAACGCGCAAGCGCAGGAGATCGACAGGCTGAAGTCTCAGTTGTTGGCACTGCGCAGGAAGGATACCAGCATGTATGCGTGATCCCTGTCGGAATCTGGGTAAGGGCCGTTCGTGTCTAGGCGAGTATTACTCACTTGGGCACGGTTGAGTACATTATATATGGGCCCATATGTAGCGCATGTTGTGCCCTCTGTGAGATGAAGGGGGTGCCTGGCACACGGTGTTTGGTGGGAGGTGGGAGGCCTTACTTCAGGTGGTAGTGTTCTACTTTTGTGTCGTATCGGTGATTCATAGCCCGGCCTTGCTGCTGACATGATCAGCGGCGTGGGGAGAGTCGCGAGGAGCTTCACGATGCTGTGCCGGCGGCGCGGCAGAACCAGCTGCACCGCGCAAATCACCGCGTGGGTGGCTTATGTAAACTGATTAGCGACTGTTGTTGCCAACCATCTAGCTGCTGCAACCCCTTCAGCTACCGTGGCCAAATGGAATGGGTTACACATTGAAACCAGTTCTGGCCGGGAAATGCTGTACTGTGTAGCATAGAGGCAGAGAATTTAATATGATCACAAATGTGTCCAGTGCCTACTTTGTCAGCTAGGATCGGCAGTCCCTTACACAATTTGCGGTTTGCGCTGTGTGGACATGTCAAATGTGACGTTATGTCCCAAACGCCAGACAGTTAGGATGAAGCTGCACGCAATGCGCCCATCGTTTGTATGAACCATGCAGGGCGCTTGCAGCACGGTTTGCTACACGCTGGACACTGACTGCAAATGTGAACGGGCACAAGGCTTGAGCTGTCCATGCGACATGCTTTTAGAGTTCCTCGAGGCCGGCTTGCTACCAACTGCACACCAGGCGGCTTCATTTAAACTATAAACTGCAGGCGATGGTCCTATATTTAGGCGAAACCTTAGAACTGTAGTCAAGTTATGTAATTGTCTTAACAGCCGCTAGGTAACGTACAGTCTGGGCGCGGCAAGGGCGTAGACACAAAGTTTGAACTGGCTGCTGCTGCTAGCAGCCAATATACGAAACAAAAAAACACTGGATGCCCGACCAACCGACGAGCTAATGCCGTACTTCCTACGCTTTCACAAATATTACCGCCCTGGTTTAATCAGACACCCAGACCTCTTTTGTTATGTACATGCAAACCAGCGCCAATTGGATTTACTGTACAATTTACACTAACGGCTTATGTTTCTGAAAACGTCTGGTTTTACCTAACTCAACCTTTTGGCCACAATGCGGCCCGCATATTTAGTTCTTTTATATGCGCTTGTTATCCTTACCAAAACTTCAGCCGGATTGGTCGAGTACTCGGACCTAGCTCTCTCTCATCCTACCGATGGAAGCCTAAATTTCCTAGGGCTTGGCGACAAGTTCTCTGGGTTTGCCAGGAAGGCACCTGCTGTCCTGGATCCGCAGTTCCTTCAGGAGTTTGGAGCTCAGGGCTACTTGCACGTACGTATAAGAAAATGTCTAATTGCCAGAGCTGTCGTCGCCGCTTCAGGTCTTTCCTTACGAATATCTATCATCTCTTACAGGCCAACTTCAACCCTTTGGGAGAGAACGCTTACGAGACCTCCTCCGTGCAGGTATGTCCTGATGGCATTCAAACGTCGCATCCCTTACTCCTAAGCGACGTCCCCCTCCTTACGCTCCTGCAGTACGTTGCATCCCTTAAGAACGCAAGCATTTGTGGAAGCGAGGGCGACGTCTGGGATTCTGCAGGCCGATTGTATCGGGCCAACACCTGGGTGCGACATCCAAGCTCGAAGCTGCAGGTAAGCCCTTCGCCTCTTCCTAAAACTGCTCGCTGAAAAGCCTTGACAAGGGAAACTTATCGTCGTTTTCAATTGGAAACAGGCCTGGAAGGAGGAGGCCGAGTCTTACGGCGTGAAGCACTTCAAGCGTCTCGCGACGGCCGTCCACCGTGTTTCCTTCATGTATTTCCACTTCATGACGGGTAAAATGGGTTTAGCCATTTCCTTGTGGCTTTCTTGTCAATACTGACAGCTCGTTGCATCCCGTCCCACTGCAGAGGTGTTACCGAAGGTTGCTAAGTTTGCCCCATTCCTTGAGGCTGATCCTGAGCTGAAGCTCCTTACATACGGCAGTCCGTTCGAGCTTGCATGGATAAGGAAGCTCGGCGTTCGGGAAAGCCAATTGGTGCGTCAGTTAACGAATTGGGGTAACATGGCAAGCACAATCTCGTCTATATCTCACCGCGATGCTTCTGTGATGCGCATGTGTGCAGGTTACGTTCGACCCGATGTATGCATACCAAGCCGACGAGCTTCTCATGACTAATCCGGTGGAAATTTCGCGGACTCCGAAAGAGGATCTTGAGAAGGTACGACACCGTTGCTTGCCTTTGGCATCCGCAGTTGGATGCTGTCGTCGACTCGTCCTCATCCCCACCGCTCTTCGCACAGGTTCTGACGGCCTTGGAGATCCCTCCGCCACTGCCAGAGAGCCAGCAGGAGAGCTTTGTGTACGTGTCTAGGCGTCTGGCAGCTGACCGCCGTCAGACCAACGAAGACAGCCTCCTTGAGGCGCTTCAAGCCGAGGCAACGTCCCACGGCTTGCGCTTTGTCGTTCACGATGGCAGCCCTGGCATGACTCCCGAGGAGAATATTGAAATCTTCCGCCATGCTAAGGTGCGTTGCGGTGTTGGATCCGTCCTTGCCGAAAGCTTCTTTAACCCAGCCTTTGCATGCAGGTTGTCATGGGTCCTAACGGAGCCGGCTTGGCGCACATGCTGTTCGCTCCGCCCGGTGCTACCCTGATTGAGCTTATGTTCATCAACAATACGGGCATGGACTTGTGGCATCTTACCGCCGCCCTGAAGCAGGTGGGCAACTGGCTCATAGGCTAGACACCCTGCGGCTACTGCTGCTGGCAGCCCATATGTATGTACGGGCTAGCGCAGCCAAGGACTTGACATGACATGGGGTTAGCCCAATTATCGTACCATCTGGCTGATAACGTGGTTGTACTCTCACAGGATTATTACATGGTCCCTCTGCCCCGGTCGCATTGGCTGGACCCCGGGTCAGACGTGCCCATTGAGCAAGCGGTGTCGACACTACGCTGGGCTATTGGCGAGAAGACCGGGGCTAAGCCAGAATGCCCGAAAGGTTCAGCTCCTGACGCCTCAGGCACCTGCGCGCTCTGCCCTCCGGGAACGTTCAGCACGGGTTACGACAAGCAATGCATGGCGTGCTCGCCTGGCTGGTAAGGTAGTGGGCAATAGCCTGGCTCCTCCCGATAGCATTGTGCTAAGCAAAAGTGGCTTGCAGGGTTGCGGAGCGCACTGGAAGCGGATACTGCCACGTGTGCACTACAGCGACACACGCTTCAGGGCCGACGTCATGCACGTCATGCCCTCAGGGCACGCTGACCGCCATGCCGGGCTCCACCAACGCCGGTGAATGCCTGGACCCGGACTCCTTGACCAAGGTACGACAACACTTCGCCCTGCCGTGCACGCATGGATATGGGAGTGATGAGCCCGCGGATTCACGCTTACACAAATTCCGTATGCAGGTGAAGCAAACCTGGCTGCCAACCGAAGCTGTCGTTTCGAAGGTGTCAGCGTACTACAAGTCAATCAGCCGGCGCCAAGCGGTAAAAGTTGACTTCTCAGAGCTGCCGCTGAGGGTGAAAGACCGCATCATGAGCGAACTTGACGCTTGCAGCAGTAAGTAGTCCGCAGCTGACCTTGTTTACCTGTCTGTTAGTCATGGCGTGCATGTTGCTGCAGGTTACACCCAGACTATGTACGGCTGCTCCTCAGCGGCGGAGGACTCCTCTCCGCCGCCTGTTGCTGTGCTTAGCAAGGAATTTAACATTACTGCCCTGGGCAACGGTCCACTCTCAAACTGCTCGGTTATGTACTACGACTCGTACATGACGCTGCAGCCGACAGGCGTGACTACAGACAAAGACGGCAATGCCAAGTAAGGAGGTGGCTTCCCTTGTACAGCACCTGTCCTGGTTGTCGCTAACAACTTCTGCTGTCCCGCAGGCTTAAAGTCACTGTCCCGAGTGATCTCGTCCTTCTTTCCCTCGCCAACTGTGTCGAGCAACGCTCAAACCGCTCTGGCTTAAGCTTTACCGGGGTTTATGCGCCCTGGCGTTCGAATGGCGTATCTATCGTCAGCCCCATTGGTGGCCTTACCTCGACTGCCGTATCCTCGAAGTCGTGGCCCACCGCCAGCGCTTTCAACGCCAACTACACCACGTAAGCAGCACGGAACACAATCTTCGAACTGTGAATTGGGTTTCGACGCTTTATATGTGCCTTTGTCCAGGATCCTTGGTGAGCTTGGCTTCACAAGCGCTATGATCAAGCAGTACGGCAATAGCGGCGCGGAGGTAGCGGCGTACGACTTCGAAGATGCAACGTAAGCGTTTGCATGGCCGGGATGAGTGATACTGTACTGGTTTGTCAGTGACGTTTGCGGTTGCTCCTGTGCGCAGCTACCATCCTGACAACAACACCGAGAAGACTATGGGAGCCTACATGACAACACAGCAGTTGACCGTGTACGGCATCGCCAACATTTGGGTTCCGTTCCTTGCCGGCATGAGCAAGTCCGGAAGCAAGATTGGGTCCAGAAGGGCTACCCGGGCGTTGCTGTCCAGCATGACTACCCAGCTTGGAGCCAGATTGTTGAACATGTCGTCATCGTCCTCTCAGCAATTGATGTTCCAGCAGGCCTATCGTCTTTTAGGATCCTCATCTCAATTCCGCCGCCACCTCCTAGACGCGGATAGCGATGCCTTGGCAGCTGTCGCCAGCCAGATCCAGGCCCTCGCGGATTCAGTCTCCCAGTCTGTCGCCCTGCAGGCCGCTGTCGCTGCAAAGTTAGCTGATGCCGTTGCTTCGGGCACCGCCTACTCGGGAGACTTGCAATCCCTCCTAATCACCGTAAACCAGGTGTCAGTGGCTCAGGCGACTTCAATCGCAGCTGCGGCCGCTGAGCTGTCTGCTGGAACGCTCTCTGTGGACTCGTTCCGTGCAAGGTGAGGTTTAGCCGCACTCCGAGTGTTGAGAGCTCGCGAAGTGCATCCTGTGCGTTCTGTATAGTTAAGCAATCCGTGGGCGTTGACCTTGGAACTATGCAAAGCGTTGACTGGTAAGTACGATCACGTAGGCGTATGTTGTACTGAGCCTCCCTCACCGTTCCGCATGCAGCTACACGGGAGACTCCCTCACTCAGCTGATCAAGTCCATTACGGTTGACCTGCCGGATTCGGAGGAGGACAAGAAGAAGATCAATGTCGGTGCCATTGTCGGCGGGGTGGTTGGAGGCGTGGTCGGGCTTGCCGTTATTGGGCTCATCGTCTACGTCATTATCAGGAGGAAGAAAGCCCACATCCAGCCCAAGGCCCAGGGCGGCCAGGCTGCTGCTGGTGGTGGGGAGCAAAATGCTTAAGCGCTGCCAATTGGCGGTGTTATTCAATAAAATCCGTAGGATGACAACCAACCTGGTTACATAGCAGGCAAGACGCTCCGTGACCGCAGGTGATCACGTACCTATATTTTCTTACGCCGAACCCTACCGGCTTTGGGGTTGTATATTTTGGTGTGTAGGGTTTTGTCAAACGGACGATGGCTAACTAATTGTTTGCCTCGTAACTTGTGCTACCCGAACGCAACGTGATGCAAATGTAGATGTTTACCTGTCTAGTTTATAAATTCCGCCGGTGTACGCGTAATCATAGCATACCGTACTATAATAAATGTGCATCTCTTCCGTCGGTACTTTGACCGTGATCTGACGCTCTCTTTCCAAACCGTCTCCCTTGAGTGGTAATTAATTGGTGCGAGGGATTATGACAAGATGACGGTATTTGGTGCCTGTCCATGTGCAGAGATGTGCAGGGGTACTGTGCAGTGAAGTATTGCCGGTATGTAGCAGGCTTTGACGTCACGTTTCAGCATTGTGAGCAATCGGTCTGATGTCATCATGTTCAGCCTGTTCGGGTCGTAGTCTGCGGCCCGTACAATACCTTGGAGGTCATTCGTCTGGCGGTTGCAATAGACCCCAGGCTGTAACTAGGATAGGGACATGTGGGTGGAAGAGCAACCTGCTGGTGAACGTCGCATCCAAGCGCGCCGCATTTTTAAGGGGCCCCGGCTCACATGTACGAGCAATATGGCCTTACGCTCCCTCCACATTTTGCGCACCATCGGCATCGGCGTTGCGATTGTAATTCGTAGCTTATGTGTCCATCTAAATACCAACCAACGGCAGCACCATAACTGCTATCAGAGCACGAGCCGAACAAATTCCCTCGCCCAAGTACTGCCAATCTGCGTGATTTGGTTGCAAGCTCCGATCCGGCTTTCAACTGAATTCATTTTGAGTGCTTGCCCCCAAGCTGTCCTCCTTGCACCAAACCCAAGGATTTCGGCACAATCGTACGGCATTACGTGAGCGCACCAAGTCGCCAACCGCTTTCACGTGGATCTGTACCACTGTAGGAAGCCACCTTTCTTGGCAGGATCCATCTGGGCGTTACAGCCGGGGTGCGGGCAAACTCCTGCTTACCTGTTAAGCAGACTGTGCGGCCGTGTGTACACCTCATCACAGGCAGTTCACGGCCCTATTGGCAACAATCTGCTCACTAGAGGCGCGAGCATCCTGCAAATTTGGGGCAAATGCTCTAATGGGCCGTTAGCCCAAGGGTCTCAAGCGAAGCTGGGACTTGGCTGAGGAGGGCCCGTACGGCCGTACCTATGTAACAGCCACTCTACGTGTAGCATAATCGCCAAACCAATGTAATGTGAAAACGATTAGCACTTCATGATACAACGTCTCGGCACTGGTTGCATGGACAAGCCCACAAGCTACCGTGAGCGCCTTGCTGTACGGTTTCGTAGACCGACACAGCTACAAGCCATGCCAGTTATCGAAGGAAAGCTTTCTTCCTGCATAAACTATTTAGTTTGATATAACAGTACATGGCTGGTTGCCGGTATTGCAATCTGGGTTGTGACTTCGCCGCTTGCCTACATTGTAGATAAACGACCATGCCTTGCCGCTCGTGATCAGTATTTATTTGTAAGATGAAGGGCCTGAGGAATTTCTGGGTATTCGCAGTAGTATTCCTAGTGACTGTGGGCATTTTAAACTTCGTTGAACATACACAGCAATCACGCCCGGACAGTGTTCAGCATGATATTCATCTCCAGACGACTTCAGAAGCAAGTGGGCAGTTAGTACTTGGCCGGGCCGGCGGCCCCCGGAAACCTGCCAAGCAACAGCATAGAGCGGACCTGGAGGATGAACGGTATCCGTTTCGGCCGATCGAGGATGTCAAAATAAGTGTACAAACGGGTCACTTCTTTGGCGGTGATTTTGAGGGGTTGGAGCCCAACTGCACCATCGGCAAGACAGTCATCAACTGTCGCTATGGATCTTCCGTCGATCCCCACACTGCTGACGCGCTCTGGTACCATATTCCCTCAATGGGAGGTGCATCTAGCGTGCAAAAATATCACCCGAAGCAGCTAACTATTGCCATGAGCATGGAGTCTTCGGAGTATTATCCCGCACTCGACAACAAAGACTTCATGCGGGTTTTTGACATCGAGACGACATACCGGTCATGCTCCCAGGTCCCTATTTTCTACTTTGACTATAACCCAAATCAGGTATGGGGTATATGAACCCCTATCTCTGGGCACGTGGGGTTCGGTCATGGCTAACGTACGGAAGCCTCCCTCCACCAGCTCTCGAAGATCATGAAGCCTGCAAAACCTTTTGAGGAGAAGAAAACAGCGTTGGTTTACGTCAACAGCAACTGCGGCGCTAAGAGCGGCAGATCGGATATCATGCGCCAGGTACGTCGTACATCATGGGTCCAGCTCTCCAGGAGCCCTGATGCTTCGGTTCGGGCATGGGTCTGCTCACTCATAAGCCGTTGCCTACAACCACGTCATGCAGGTCTTGGGCTTGAACCACCCCACCATACCCACACACAGCTATGGCAACTGCGATCGGAACATGGAGGTGAGTGGGAGGCCGTGCGGCTTCCATGGGTCTTCTCCCTTGCTGCTGTGGCCACCAAGGCAGCATAGCATCTGTGGGGGAAGCGAGGGGTGCTGGCTGTGAGCAACTGGTGAACCGCCGCAGGTGGGAAACGCATGTGACTCGTACAACTGCTCGTTACACGGCTTGGTATGCATGATCGGCATGCGTGATGCGCTACGACCCATTACCATGATAGCGGTGGCACAGGGTGGAAGGGCCCTGCGAACTCTAGGCACGGCACCCTGCGCCTGAACCACATAGCACACATGCGGCGCCTTCCTGTCCCGCTGCCAACGCGTCCCACACACTCATTCACTGCTGTTAACACCGAGCCTCCTGCTTCTCTCGCTCTCCCCCGCCCCCCCGCCATGGTTTGGTATGGTCTTTGACCCCCCCGCACAGGTGAACGGCCACTTCGACAAGGTGGAGCTCATCAGCGGCTACAAGTTCTGTGTGGCCATGGAGAACTCCATCACCAAGGACTACATCACGGAGAAGCTATGGCAGGTGGGCCGGATGGGGAGGGAAGGCGGGGTGGGAAAAATAACTGAAGAGGCAAGCAAGGGAGGGAAGGAAAGAGGGGCTGGGGAGCACTGCATGAGTGCTGTGCACTTGTGCCGGGACTCATACAACCGTGTCACGTTAGTGCTTGCTGCTGCAGCTCCGTGCAGCAATTGTCTAAAGCATGGGCTGAGCAGGTCAACAGTGCAACACGCGTTCCCCGGATCTCACCCAGCTCCTTTGTACCGGTGACCCACCGGTGACCCCACCTCACCTCCTGCCTGCAGGCGCTGGAGGCGGGCTGCGTGCCCGTGTACATGGGGCCGCACAACATCGCGGAGTTCCTGCCTGACCCGGAGGCCATCATTGACTACAACAAGCTGGGCTCACCCGAGGCGCTCATGAAGGCAAGCAGCAGCGGGTTCCTTCCTGCCATGTTCGCCGCTTTCCCCCATGCATGGTGCAGGATATATGCTACCGGTAGAATGCCCACAACGCAGCCGTCGTGTGACCGCAGCTTGATGAGGCTGGATGCGCTGTGTGTTGCCCGTGCCCGTGCCGGTGTACCCCTGCTTGCAGGAGCTGGAGCGGCTAGCATCCGACAAGGCGGCGTACGAGGCGAAGCTGTCTTGGAAGAGCCGCCGGTTGGAGCAGCAGTCGGCGGACTTCCAAGCCAAGGTGGTGGGCTCAGCTGAGCGGCAGCCGCACACGCGGTGCCAGCTGTGCCGGGTGGTGCTGAAGAACCGCTACCGCCCGCAGAACTTCACGACGTGCCTGTGGAACGAGACGTGGACGCGGGATTACCACGTGAAGGCATAGGGACGCGGATTGAGAGGTCGAGAGGCTTAGTAGATAGCGTGTTAGCATTTTTGGACGTTAGCAAATATGGCGTGCGCTGGTGTTATTATACGACGTGAAAGGATGCCGTGTGAACTTGATACTTGCGTGCCTGGCCGTGATGCCTCGGGCTTGCTTGTTATGTGGGCAAAGGCAACGTTGTGGGTCGATCACGTTGTGGGTCGTGATCAGTACGACGTGAGCTTTAGACGAACGATCTCAAGCATATGGCTATAAGCGTGCGCTGCGGAGGTTTGTGTTAAGCGTATGTTCCCTAGGGAGCGTGCATTCATGAGGTAGCGGTAGGCCGTTAGGATTGTACAGAAGGTACAGATATCATCACATGATGTTACATGATGTTTGCCTATGCTTCCCTGCATTGCTTTGCATGTATGATGCCAACAACCAGTGGTCAACAACCTAGCCGCTGTCTCCCAACTTGCAACTGGCAAGCAGAGCGACGTTGGGACTGATGTCTAACTGACTCGGCCGAAATGCCGTATGACATGCATGCATGGCCGCATGCAGGACACACCGCATTGAAACGACGGCTTGCAAGGAAACCGTGTACATCGTCCCACATCTCCTCAGATCCTGCCTCCTAACCGCACACAACTTGCACACAGCTCTAACTGCCCTGACCTGACCTGTTATTCGTACAGACAAACACCACGTATGCAACCCAATGGTACTGCTGCAAACTCACAACTCCAACACCCAATATGGTACACAACCACACAACGGTCACAACCCATGGGGAGCCATCTTGACGGTCACTCATTCACAACTCTCAGTCCTCATTACTTGGGGGATCCGCACTGCTGAAGCTCAGGCTCCACCACCGCTACACGGCCGGCGTCACCCGCCACACCCGGCCGGCGCATCAGCCGCTGCAGGGCCGGGGCGGCCGTCTCCGGAGTGCGCAGCTGGCCGCATGCGGGCGCCCGCTTGCCCCGACCAGGCGTGGTGGCGGCCTGCTCCACCCCCACGGGCACCAGCTTCTGCTGCTGCTGCTCCAGCACACGCGCTACCGCAGCGGGCGCCGGAGCTCCCTCGCCCACTAGCCGCCTGCTGCGTGACTGGCTGGGAGAAGCGGGCTCAATGTCAATCACGGCGATCGGTCCCGCTGGGTATCCCGGGGCACCTCCCGAGACGGCGGCACCGCGCTTGCCCGCTGAGCCTCCGGGAGAGGAGGCAGCAGCCATGACACTGACCGCCTCTATGACACTGACAGCGCTGCTGCCGCTGCCGCCTCGTCCGGGACTGCCCGTGGTGTCCTTGTTAAGCAGGGGCATGGGCGTGGAGGGCCGTGCGGCTGGTTTGCGGCTGAGCGCGGTGCAGTTGATGCTGCTGCTGGTACTGCCCGTGCTGCTGGTAGTCTCCAGGAGGGTTGATGCTGCTGCTGCTACTGACCTGCGCGCCGGGCTGCCGGCAGGTGCGGACGAGGCGCTGGAGAACTCGGGGAGGGCCCTGCGCGCCGTAGACCACGTTCCCGTGGCGCTAAGAGTGATGCTGGCACCGCTGCTGGTGGTGCTGCTACTGCTCCCGGCGTCCGCACGCAGGGGTGCCTTCTGCATCGGGGAGCGGTCTTGGCTGTGCGTGCTGATGCCCGGATGGGAGACGTTGGTGGTGCTGCTGCTGCTGCCGCTGCTGCTGGGGCGGCTTGAGGGATCTCGGGTGCCGGCTGCTGAGGGGCCTGACCCCGCAGCAGCAGCAGCAGCAACAGGAGGCGTGTTGTCGAAGAGGCCGACCGCGAAGGGGTTGTCGGGTGGGATGGTTGTCTTGATGGCGCGGTTGCGGCTGGCGGGGGGCGCAGCGGTTGGGGCTTTCCGCTCTGCGGGCGGTTGCGGTTGCGGCTTCGGTTGGGGTGCGGCGGCGTGCCCATTGACTCCGGGCTGCTGTTTTTGCCTGTATGGGGTAGCGATGAGGGGGCCCGGGTGGTTAGGAAAACTGATTATATGGAAGGACTTGAGCACCGGGAGATGTCATTCAGCGACGCTGCATCCCAAGTACGCTCCAGTTCTAACTGACAAACTGGCAAAGGGAATCCTTGGGCCATGTCCGCTCCTCCCCGCCCTCAACACTCACCACCGGGCCTTGCGCTCCGCCGCCCTGCGTGCCATAGCCTCGTCGTCCGTCTCCTTGTTGTTGGCGTAGAGCTGCTCAAAGGTAATGACCGGCGCCACCCCCGCGGCGCCGCTCTCGTTGGCCCGCCGGATGCGCTCCGACAGGTCGGAGAGGGTGCGGTCGTCCATGGTCTTGAAGGGGCGGCTGGCGGCGCTGTCCTGCTGCGCGCTGCTGCGGCCGCCGCGGGCATTCTTGCCGGACACGTTGGTGACCTGTCCGCGGACACAAGGCGGAAGGGCACACACACGTACTGCTGACGTGTAAGGGTGTACATGTACGACAGATGTCTGCATTTACTGCGGGGTACGGCAGATGTGTGGACGAGTACCGCATTCCAGTCCACTCTTAAACTGTACATTCTAACCACTTCAAGTTTTCTTCTATTAACCCAAGCCCAGGACGGACCACCTGTGACGTCGTTATGCACATGGGCCATGCACGCATGCGTACGTCCGGATCTCACCTCCTCCGCGCGAGAAGCCATCATGAACTGCTGCCACTGTCGGAGGCTCTCTCCCGCCAGACCCGGCACCTGACCGGCACCGCTGCCGTTGCTGCCGCCCCGCTGTTGCTTGGATTGCTGCTCGCCGCCCGCTGACCCCATGCGCCCTCCCTGCTGCTGCTGTTGTTGTGAGGGCTGCTTGTGCTGCAGGATTTGCCCAACCCGCACGGGACCCGGCTGCACGTCCTTGTCCTGCGGCAGTGCGGCAGGGGCGGTGTCGAAGGGTGGATGAAGCGGGAAGATGAGATGCGGTAGAGGCGGGTTGAATTGAGATGGCAGTGTTGTTGTCAACATGCAGGTGGGGGCTAAGCTGGCTGCCCAACATCGGAGTGCTCAAGCGTCAAGCCCGAATATGTCATTAGCTTGCAGGGATAGCAACCGGCTGTTCCCGCTTGCCCCAACCCCGCCACACATCTCCCCCCTCCCACAAACTCACTCCCAACGCTGTCCTCTGGTCTTTCCCCACCTTGATCGGCGGCAGCTCCAGGTTGACACTGTCCACCACCAGGGCCCTCTGGAAGCGCTGAGTAGGGGAGGCAGACAGGGCGGGGGAGAGGGAGCGTAGGGGATAGGTCGGCAAGCAGGTTACGGAAGAGGAGCCCGTGGAATGTGACGATGTAGGTAGGACACATGAATGCATGCAACAGGGCGGATAGGGGCAGTGGCAGGGTTGCGAGTGGGCCAACATGCAATCGCAGATTTCAATCCTGCTAAGCGGCCTTCTAAGCGGCCCGGCGCTAAGTGTGTCATGCGTCACCGTCGCAGCCGCCGCCCCCCCACCCTACCTGCTTCTGCCGGGCCAGCACGTCCCTCTTGGCGGCTGCACGCTGCTGCATCTCCCGCTGCGCCTCCGCCGCCGCCCTCCACCGCCGCAGCAGCCAGCAGCCGCTCAGCACCACTGCCGCCGCTGCGGAGAGGGCGAACGCCGCTACAGGCACCACCGGGCGCTGCATGAGGGAGGGCATGTAGAGTGGGGCATGAGGTCAGGGAGGGACATCATGAGGATGCAACGGCAGCAGCACATCGTCGAGCTTCATACGTGGTCGTTGGGACTAGCAGAGCGAGATAAAAGCAAAGGCAACCCATTGTAATGCGGTTCACCTGGGCAACGTTGGCGATTGTCTGCTGGGCGGCTAGGAGGATGGTGGGCGCAGGCGAGGCGGCCTTGGCTGCCCGCTGCTGCCGGGGGCTGGCTGGGGCGACGTAGCGGCCCGAGGAGCCGCGCTGGCTGATGGGTGAGGCGACGGTGCGGCCCCGCGCTGATAGCGGTGTGGTGCGGTTTGTGAGCGGGGCGGCGGGAAGCGTTGTGGTGGTGGTGGTGGTGGCGGCAGCAGCGGCCTCCTTTGCAGCCGCTGCTGCTGAGGTGGCGCAGGAGTTGCCCTTGGGCTGCAGCAGCTGCAGCAGTATTGCCTGGAGTTGACGGGTGAAGCGCACAAGCCAAGCTAGCGGGTCTCGTAGGAAGTCTGCTAGCGCTGTTCGAGTCAGGTGCTTGGTTTGGATTAGCGTCCGGAGCGCTGCTTCGCCGGTCCATGATGTCGAATCCTCCGAAATGTCGCTTGCAAGTGCACTTGATTCTTGCAGGGCAGCAGCAGGTCGCAGCGAAGCTGGCAAGGGTGCGTTCACGAATTTCTTTGCTGCGGTTGCGACCACGCTGTGCGTGCCCGGGCGCGGTGACAGGCCGCGTTGTTGTTCCCTAACGGGGGCACGAGCTGACACGGGCGGAGCCATTCGCGGCGAGGGAGGTCGAGAAGGTACTGACGTTCCATTTAAAGCCGAAAGGTTGAGCTTTGGTTTGGTATCCATGTTGTATGTACACGAAGAGTTCCAACCTACGCGTCAAAGCAGTTGAGTCAAACTTTCTGGAATGGACAAGTACTGTTTATGTATAATATGTAACGTTACCTAGTTGTGCTTGTCAAGGACGGTAGCGCAAAGCGCTGAGCTGCGGGAGCGCTGTCGACTGTAGCTTTTGCTCTGGATCCAGGGCCGTTTTTAAAAGGCAACGAGCTAACGACCTGCCATCGCCCTTGCAATCACCAACGGCATGGACGTGAACCCAAGATGGTACTGTAGTTCTTGGAAGCAGGACTTGCATGCTATGAAGGGCCAACACAGATCGCTAGAAAGCAAAGCAACGTCATGCGGGTTCGATGTGAACCAACCCGACACATGGCGACATCGCAGACTTTGCCTACAGCAGCACTAGTAATTACTGTGCATAAAGCTTGTTCCTCTACCTTTTTCCTTGAAAAAGGGTTCTTTGTGTCCATCCGCATCCCCAATTACCTCCACCTTGCTCTCGTAAACTTTCGCGTAGGCAATGAAAGAATGCCAAGACCCATTGGCGACACAATGCGATGAAGAGACATATGATCCAGCGCGATGTCTCCAGTTCCACAATTCTCCTTCCCGTCGTGGCTGCACACGCCACCGTTAAAGATTCACTGACAGCAACCTTGATGGCCACTACCATCCTGTGCCTCCTACCTGCGTATATAAGAACCGGTGCATTCGTGGCGACGCTTGGTAAATTCCCAAGGCTGCTGCCATGTCCATCGGCGAAGTTACTGAGATCGCTAGATGGGTACAACGGTCATGTGCTGACACCCTGACTGCACAACTGTACGTTCGCATGCACGCAGCACACCTCGGGGCTGCTACCAGGCTTCTCGCTGCTGTAGACAACCTGGACGAGCCATGCCATGTGCAGCAGCGGCGAACAAGAACCGCCTCCGATGACGCTTCGGGTCCTCAGTCGCTGACCATACGTTTCAATTCGTTTAGAGGAGACCCTCCTGCTGGACCTGTGGATTCCAATCCGTAAGATGCATGCATGCATGCCGAGTGGGCCCCTGCTGGACCAACGAATGACGTTACATTCCCATAATTAGAGAACGTTTTACAATGCGCCAACGGCGCCATTACATACGCCCCTTTCGTACGCACGCAAGTCAATTCGCTTGCTTCTGCGCCAGGCAGGCATCAGCCCTCCTCCTCCTCCTACATCCAGAACTTCAGGGCCCACATCAGTTGCATGGTGGAGGTTTGGTCCTTTGGACCCTCCTCCTTCGCTGACCTAACCGTTACCTCCGGCACAGCCCATCAATGCCATCATACATAACACATGCCGTACTCCACACTCGCTCGTTGCGCGCAGCACGCCGTACAAATGAGCAATACGGGACAATGCAGGGCCGTACATACCCCACCCGCGCCAAGGTTTTGTTCCCCCCGGACACATCCAACCCACTGGCTTCTAACGGCTTCTTTAACGGTACTACAGCCCCACGAGGAAGGACTTCGGGGGAAGGACCCTCGGCAGGCCCGACGCCGCCTAGCCTTGGTTCCGATCGTCTTATAACTCCCTGACGGCAATAAGCATACCTCTCTACTCCTCCTCCTGCCTAGACTTCAAAAGATAGGCTTTTTACTCCCTGTCCCACAAGCTCGTACTTGCTGGTACCGGTACCTGACGCAGCAGCAATGCATGTCAGGACAAGTGCCCCCTCCCTACCCCCAGCGCGGCAAGAGACCTCTTACCAGTACCCCAACCCTGACACGCATCCCAGGGTTACAACCCGCCCCCTGACTGTAACCCCCCCCGCTGCCCCCTCCCCCCACTGCACTGCACACTTCCCCCTCCCTCCCTGCCATGCCATCCCCCGCAACCCCAGCCTCTCTACCCCACACACAACCCCTTCAGCGCTTCAACCCCAACCCCGCAGCCTCCCCCTTACGCAACCCCCTCCCCCCCCGGCAACACATCCCCTTACGCAACCCCCCCAGCAGCACCCCCTCCTCCCCCTTACGAGGGCGCCCCCAGGTATGCCGCCAACCGCAGAAGGTCCGAAAACACGCCCGCCGCCGTCACATCCGCGCCCGCCCCCGGCCCCCGGATGATGAGCGGCTGCTTGAAGTAGCGCGCCGTGGTGAAGGAGAGGATGTTGTCGCTGCCCTGCAGCTGAGCAAAGGGGTGCGACTTGGGGTAGCGACGCAGCTCCACACTGCCCCGCCCGCTCTGTGCGTCCACCACTCCCACGTAGCTGGGGAGGTGGGGGGGAGGAAGGGGGTGGGGGGGAGAAGAGGGGAAGGGAGGGGGAAGGTAAAGGACATGGCGTGGTGATGTGGGTCAGTTGGCATCGGAGGATAGCAGGGGATGCACACGCTGGGAATAGAGGGAGAACCCGGCGTGCGACTCCTTCGCTTCCTTCGCTTCCTTCTTTTCTGCCCCTCCCCTCCCTTCCTCGCCGTGACCCCTCCCCTCCCTGGTGGGTTGGGATGGGCCGGGTCCATTGGAGCAACCAACCGCTGGTGAAGGCCCCTCGTCATACAGCTCGTCAGCTTCCTCTTTTCCCCCTCCCCCCCTCCCCATGGTTCGGTATGGTCTTTGACCCCCTCCTCCTCTTACCGCAGGCACTCCCCGCTCTCCTCCGCCTCCCGCAGCTTGGCGTCCATCTCGCCGTCAAAGTCCGGCAGGCGAGCCATGTACTCCGCGCTGCTGCCCACCTGTCTCAGCGGCTCCGGCACCAGGCTCTCGACGGGGATGGAGTCCAGCTCTAGCATCAGACCGCACTCGCGAGCCAGGATGCACACCTGGGGGTTGGGAGCAGGGTGGTTGAAAAAGGTTGAGACGTGAAGAAACCACCCCAGAACCTCACCCACAACCCCGCCCCTATCGCACTACACACCCAATCCCTCCCCTTTTCCGCACCGTGTTTTCCGCACAGTGCTCGTCACACGGTTAGTTGGCTTCATCCTCTTTACCCCCCACACACCCCACTCCCCACCCCCCCAACCCACCTTGCGTGCCACATCCGTGCCGTTGAGGTCATCCCGCGGGTCGGGCTCCGTGTAGCCCCGCGCCTTGGCGTCCTGCACCACCGCACTGAACGGCCGCCCGTCCCCAAACGTGTTGAAGATGTAGCTCAGCGTGCCGCTCAGGATGCCCTCAATCTTGAGCACCTTGTCCCCCGTCTCCAGCAGGTGCTTCAGCGTGCCCATGACCGGCAGCCCCGCCCCCACAGTGCCCTCGTAGAAGAAGTGGATGTATCCCTCGCGCTGCATGCGCCGTACCGCCTGGTACTGCTCCAGGGGGCCGCTGCCGAGCTTCTTGTTGGGGGTGACCACGTGAATACCCTTGGGGGGAGAGGGGGGGGGGGGAGAGGGGGGGGGGGAGAGGGGGGGGGAGAGGGGGTAAAGCGGAAACGATTAACGAACCGTGTGATAAGGCATAATCACATGGTTTGCAACATGTGAGCCAGCCCCACCCGCCCAGCCCGAATTAGCCAAGCCAGTAGTACGTGTGGAGGGGGGGAGGTGGAGGTGGAGGTGGAGGGGGGTATGGGATACAGGGCTGAAAGACACATCCGAGACCCCACCCACCACCTTGTCACACGGTTCACCCTCTTCCCCTCACCCCTTTCCCAAACTCCTGACATGCCTATCCCCATTGTTTTGCCCTAACCTGTGGTTTCCTGTGGTAAGGTATGGTCTTTGACCCCCCTCCCCCCTTCCTCCCCTCCCCTCTCCTCCCCCCCTCCCCTCGCCCCTCCCCTCCCCTCCCCCCCTGTTCTTCTTTTCCCCCCTCCCCCCCCCTCGCCCCTCCCCCCCCCTCCCCCCCCCCCCCCTCCCCCCCACCTTCTCCATCCAGTTGAAGTACTTGCTGGAGGGCGCCTCGCTGGCGGTGCAGTCCACGATAACCCGGTTAGGGATGTAGTGGGAGGACAGGAAGGAGCCAAAGGCGTCCAGGTCGCAGGGAACAGACTGGGGGGGGAGGGGGAGGGGGGTGGGTTTAGAGAAGGGTGGGTTGGCTGTCGTGGGGCGGATTGGAGGTGGTATTGCGGCTGCAAAAGCTATAACGGGTATAGGGCCCCGAATCGGGCCATGTAAGAGACCACCGCCACCACCGCCACCCCCGTCCTTTGCTCCCCCCCCCCACCCGCGTTGCACCCCCCCCCCCCCCGCTGAAGCTTAACTGTCATACAGCTCCTCACGTTCCTCTACCCCCTCCCCCCCCTCACTGCATGAGTCGGGATATGGGATTGGGACTCGTTGTTTCACTTATTTAATCCCCCCCCACCTTCTCCTCCAGCTCCTGCTTCCAGTTCTCCAGGTCCACCCCCGTCTCGCGCAGGATCATCTTGCCGCTGCTCGCCACCCCCAGCACCCGCAAGTCGATGCCAAACTCCTTCTTCAGCTGCTGCCGCTGCTCCCGGATCTGAGCGATCAGCGTGCCGCCGATCAGCCCCGGTCCCACGATACCCACCCCGATGGGCACGTCGGAGAGGTAGAAGCGCGAGTGGACGGCACGGAGGGCGCGCTCGGAGTCGGACTGGGGGGGGGGGGGGGGAGGGGAGGAAGGAGGAAGGGGGGGAATGGGGGGAGGGGGTTAGGAGGGTGGGGGAGAAGGGGGTACACAATGTGTGACAATTGATTGATTGGTTGATAGTGTGGCAATCCTGGGTGACAAGCGGGAGGTGGGAAGGGGGGTTAGAGAGGATGGACCACACTATACCACACACCGTGATGTTACCCCCCGCATCCCTCCCATCCGGCCTTCCCCTCCCCCTCACCCCCACCCCATGGTGAAGCCTCGTCATCCAGTTCGTCAGTCTTCATTATTTTTGCCCCACCCCCCTCCCCCACCTCCCCCAACACCCCCCACCTGGTCAATCAGCACCGTGATGTTGTACTCGCTGCTTCCCTGCGCAATGGCCTTGATGTTCACATTCGCCTTGGCCAGCGCCCCCATCATGGTGGCCGCCACGCCCTTGCGCGCCACCATACCCTGCCCCACCGCCGCCAACACGCAGCAGGCGGGAATCACCTGCACCGCGCTCACACGTCCCGCCGCGATGCTGTCCGCGAATCGCTCCTCCAGCACGCGAGCCGCTGCTGGCCCGTCGCTGCCCTTCACCGCGAAGCAGATGGACTGCTCGGAGGATGCCTGGCTGATCATGATGACGTTGATGCCCGCGTCACGTACACAGGAGAAGATGCGGGAGGCAATGCCGGGAACACCCACCATGCCGGTGCCCTGGGGGGGAAGGGGGGTTGGAAGAAGGGAAGGGGAGGGTTAGTGGGAAAGGGCTGGTGCGAATGTCATAGAAGCGGTCGTAGAGACTGCCGAACACGTAACGCAGCCCGGAACATCCGGCCCCTCTTTCCAACCCAGCCCAACCCCAAGTAGCCGTATGCGGGTGTCCTCTCCTTTACCCTTCCCCCTCAAGCCCTCTCATACAATCCCCCACCACCACCACCACACCCTCCCCCCCCCACCTCCACATTGATCAGCGTGACGTTATCAATGGTTGCGAACCCCTTGATGGTCGCCTTGCCACCCCACACCTCCGCGTCGGAGGCGAAGTCGCTGATACGGGTGCCTGGGGGGGGGGGCAGGGGTTGGGGAGGGGGTTGGGGGGGGGGGGATCAGAGTCAGGAAGCTTGTTGGTGAAGGGAGGCAGCTTGTTGGGCGGCCCGCGGGGCTTTCCATGACGAAGATCACCATGCCCACCGCATTCCTACCAGCTACCACCACTCTCCACCTTCCTCTTTTACCCTCCCCCTCCCCTCCTCCTTCCAATCCATCCCCCTCCCCCATCCCTCTCCTCCCTCACCCGGCGCCTCCTGGTTAAAGAAGTTGCGAATGGTGATCGGGATCTTGTACTTCATGGCCGGCAGGGTGGTGCGCGGGTGCAGCACATTCGCCCCAAAGTAGCTCAGCTCCCAGGCCTCGTGATACGTCATGGAGGGCAGGCACACCGCCTCCGGCACCTTGCGCGGGTCGGCGGAATACACCCCATCCACGTCCGTCCAGATGGTGATGTGGCGGCTGCGTAGGAGCGCCCCCATGATGGTGGCGGAGAAGTCGGAGCCGTTGCGTTTGAGGGTGGTGGCAGTGCCCTCGGGGCTGCGCGCGATGAAGCCCGTGGCGATCACCAGCTGGGGGGGGGGAGGGAGGGAGGGAGGGAAGGGGAGGGAGGGAGGTAAAAAGGAGGAAAGGGAGGAAAAGACCACATAGCAGCAGATATTAGGAGGGGAGGGGGGGAGCTAAAGAGATTCCAGGGGGGGAGGGGGAGGGGGGAGCTAAAAAGGGAGGAAAGGACCACAATCCAGCAGGTCTCAGGAAACCACGGGTTAGAAGGCAAAGCAGTGGGGCAGCAGCAGGCGGTGGCCTCAGGCTGCCAGGAGGGGAGGGAGTTGGGTTAGCGGGCTCGAGTACCTCCCCCCCCTAGTACGCCCCCCCCCCTGTTGCTGCTGCCCGCATGCCCCCACCCCGCTGCCCTGTCCGCCCCCTGTCCCGCTGTCCGGAGGGCTCATCAGCCCCTCGGCCGCCGGCCTTCCCAGCTGCAGGGAGGAGGAGAGGGGTGCCCGCCGCAGGAGCCATGCCGCCATCCCTCCCTCGCCTCCTCCCTCCCTCCTGGGCAGAGTCCTCCCGCCGAGGCTGGCTTGACTAGCACGGGTTGAACAGCAAAGAGTCGACGCTGCATGCCCCAAAGGATAGAGCCCACCTGGTGCCCGCGTTCCTCTTCGTTTCCCCCCTCCCAGGCCCCACCTCCCCCCCCACCTTCTTCTTCCCCTGCGCTTCAAACCACGCATCCAGCCGTGCGTTGCTGTCCGCCTCCTGCAGGTCCACACTCGCCCCGTCGCTGGTGGGGCTCACCACCAGCACGTCGCGGGTGTCCAGGAACGCCACGTCAGCACCCAGCTGGGGGGTGGGAGGGAGGGAGGCAGGGTGGGGTGGTGGGGTGGTGGTGGTGGTGGGAGGGGGGAGGGGGAAAAGAGGGGGTTGAGTGCCCTGCACAGACTCCGACGGGACTTTCCCTCCACCACCAACACTGGTAGATGTGGGCGCGGTCGAGTAGGATGTTGCTGTTCCCCTGAACGGCCCTGGCAGCTGCTTCCCCTTCCCCCCCCCGAGCAGTAGCACCAGCAGACACCCCCTACCCACTGCTTTGCCTCTGTCGCTGGCCTTCTTAATGCACACCCTGCAAGCCCACCCCCCTTCAGCCCCCACCCCTCTCTCCCCTCTCTTCTAGTCGTTTCCTCTCTTCCTCCCCCCTTTCACCTCCCCCTTTCCCCCCTTTCACCCCTCCCCCACCTGCTTGCAGCACAGCGCGAACAGCCGGCCGCTCCACAGCTCCCCGTGCCCCACCACGAAGTCGCTGAAGGCGTCCGTGGACATGCCGGCTGGGGGGGGAGGTTGGGAGGGGAGGGGGGAGGGGGCAGGGGAGGGGGGGGGGGGGGGGAGAAATTCCAATGTGTGGTGTGATAGTGGAACATGCAGCTGACAAGCCCTGGGGGAGGAGGAAGAATGAGGCCGGGTTGCGACCACGATAGTGACAGGGAGGGAGGGCTAAACGACCCCTCTTCCACAATCCCCTGACCCTCGTCCTCATCGCACTGTATCCCCGCCATCGCCCTGCAGGGGGGTACCCGAGGCCCTGCTACCCCAGCCATGCTGCATCCCTCCAGCCTCCACATCCACCCTAGCAGCGCCCTTTCTGCAGCCCTTTGGGAAAGCCCTGGGCGCCCCTCTGCCCCCACCCTCAGGAAGATGGAACCTCTTCTGAGGCGGCACGCGGGCTCACCAATGCTCATGGCCTGAAGCATGGCCTTCAGGTTGGTGATGTCATCCATGAGCTCCGCCACGAACTGGGTCAGCTCCTTGGACTGCCCCAGCAGCTGCTTCGCGGTCTCCACGTGCTTCTCCTGCAGAGCTGCGAGGTCGACAAGGAAAGCCGCGTCCTGCTTGGAGGCCCTCTTAATCATGTTGAGGATGAGGTCGGTGACCTTGATGGGGCTGGTCGGGTGGTTGCCCATAGCGCTGACCACAACGCAAGTGGATGAATCCGGGCCAACACCAGCAACCATAAGCTCTGCTGCTGCGCGAATACGGTCGGCGCTCGCCATGCAAGTGCCACCGAATTTGTGGACCTGCCAGTGCGAGCCGCGAACGCCGGTTACTACATCAGCAGCGTTTGAAGGCGATGGAGCTGTGGTGCTAGCTGCCTGGACGGAAACAATTGGCTTGCGCACTGCTGCGGATAGGTTACGCTGCGGGATGGCCGCTGCGAGGTGCACAGGCTGCAGCAGGTGCACATTGTGGCTCGCCACACGCTGCGGATTGGGGCAAACAGCACGACGAGGGAGAGGGCATGTACCCTCAACGCGCGCCTGCTGCGCTAAACGCTGCGAAGCGCGCATTGTTTCGAGGACGGCGGCGGATCAATGCCGAGTGCCCCGCCTCTTGCAGGGGCACGTTATAGATACAGCTACACAGGTTGGGATGAAGCGAAACGTGGTAAAAGAGCACAGACTCCTTACATCGCGACATGCATTCCGCACGTACGACAGCCGTCCAACCCACAGAATTTTGCAGTCGCAAGCTTTCTCACCATTGTATTATAGTTACATATTTATGCTAGGCTAATGGGTTGCCTACCATTTACTCGCCTACGAACTGGGTTGATTAACTGCAAACAGCTTTATTTTGTTACACATGTTTAGCAATGGTGCACCGTTTAATAATGTTAGCAGGTTTACATGGACCAGGAGACGCTTTTTAATTAGAAACTTTGAGGTCTCCCCTTCCATCGTAGGACTGTTGCGTGAACCAAATATATAGACGACCTTCAGTGGATACTAGGCTCGTGACAAGCGGGGAGGGTTGATAGTCAACTCTGGAAACGGCAAAGCGGCGTGCGCTGTGGGTTGTCTCGTCGACTCATCAAGGAAGGAGGGCTTTGGGGCTTCCTGTATGCAGTCTACTCCGACTACGAAAAGTGCTGGGAGGACGAACAGTGGCGGAGAGAAGTTTAACTTGTGACTGACAGCTAAAGGGTTAGGACTTGCGGGGTTGCAGGCCCGCAGTCCTACCCTCCTTGCCTTTACTGCCCGCCTTGGCTCCAGGCACTCAACCTGGCATATCCAGGCTTTCCTGGACCATGGTAACACCTCTCCGCTCAGAACCAAGTTAGGATGCAGCAAATGCCTTTGGTGGCCGTGGGTGGATTTACTCATGCCCAACGGTTGCCGTGTCCTGAAACTGAAGAGCTATCAGCTTCCACGCATGGATCTCATCGAAAGTGCATGCGTTGTTTCCTGGGTTGTAAACAATCGACCTTGGCTTAGAATTGTAATGGGCATAGGGCCCATAATCATTCCTCATCCCTGCCGCGCGCATTTCATAAGTTGGTCCATACCTTTGCCTTGCTAAGCTCCTAGGCAGCAGTCTAGTAACCATGGCGAGCACTAAATATGACACGCGCAATTCACCATTCCTGGAACTGCAAACGCCCTTCACAGACGCAGAGGCGCTGCGAATGGTAATCCTGCTGCCTCTCATGATCCCGCGATTTCTCATTGCTGTATTAACTGTCAGCATTGTTGCGATTATAAACACCATCGTAGCCTGGAATTGGCCAGTCGACAAGCCGCTTAGCGTTAAGCGGCGAGCTTTGGTGCTATGGAGCAAGGAGCTCCTGATTGTTGTCCTCTGGATGCTCGGCTTCAAAATAACCGTCAAAGGCCGCGAAAACATTGCAAAAGCAGAGGAGCTTGGTTCAGTCGCCGTGTTCAACCACGTCAGTTATGTTGATGCGCCAGTCATGATGTGGCTTCTCGCACCATCCGGCGTTGGCAAATCCAGCGTTTCTAACATCCCAATCATCAAGCACGTTGTGCGCGCCTATCAGGCCGTTTTCTTCCATGAGCAAAGGCCGCCCAAGGATGGCGCCGCCGCTTCAGTTAAACCAGCTCCCAAACCAAAGAAGAACCCAGTGGCTTACATCGTGACCGGCAGCGTCACCGAGGTGCTGCAAAAGCGCGTTTCCGAGCCCTCGTACGGCAAGCCGGGCGGCTTCCCCATGATCTGCATGGCCCCCGAGGGCACCTGCGGCGACGGTCGCGGGCTGCTTGAGTTTCGAACGGGCGCCTTCGTGCTGGGTCGGCCGGTGCTGCCCATCTGCCTCAAGTACCGCATCAAAGGGCACAACCCCGCATGGACGCAGGTAGGGCGTGGCTCACTTGTTGCAAACCATGTGATGACGCCGTATCACACGGTTCGTAAGTCCTTTCCTCTTTACCCCTCCCGTATGAATCCCCTAAGTACCTCTCTTAACCCCCTTCCCCCTCACCGTCCCTCCCCCTCCCGCTACCCGCCTCCTGCCTCAGGTCTACTCCGAGGCCTGGCACTTCGTGCGCCTCATGTGCCAGTGGCGCAACGAGCTGGAGATCACCATCCTGCCGCCCGTCGTGCCCTCGCCCGAGCAGGCCGCCGACCCACGGGTCTTTGCCGACCACGTGCGATCGCTGATGGGTCGCACACTGGGTCTGCCGCTGCTGGAGCAGAGCCACGCGCACTTCCTGGCGCTCAAGAAGCTCAAGGTGGGCTTGTGTGTGGGGGGGGGATAAAAAGAAATTCCAAAGTGTGTGGGGTAAAAAAATATATATGATGAGACAAGTGTGTGGGGGGGGGAGGGCAAAGACCGTACCTAACCATAGGGGAGCCTCCGCACCTAGGTAACCCTGATCCCTCCACCCTCACTCCTCCTCTCCTCCATAGCTCACTTGGTGGCCCTCCCTGCGGGTGCCGCCTGGCGACCGCCTCCCGTCTCCTGCTCACACCTTCCCGCCCCTCCCCCCCCCGCTTCCCCCCATGAGTCGGGATTCGGGATTGGGATTGTGATGTTGCACTTGATTATAATTTTCCCCCCTCTTCCCCCCAGGTCATGGTTGACTGGAGCGGCACGTTCGTGCTTGCGCCCCCCGGAGTGGTGGACAAGGACGGCACCGTCGACCTGGCCAAACACGGCATGCTCAAGTAGTGGGGGGGAGCGGAGGAGAGGGCATGCTGGAGTTGTGGAGTGCAGCCCTGCGGTGCAGTGATGGCGTCAGGAGCTGCATGGGGGTAAAGAGGAAACAACTAACTGACCGTGTGATAAGGCATGGGGGGGCTCCTGGGGGACGTGCATGGCGGAGGAGGTGTGGGTAAAGAGGAAATAATTAACTGGCCGTGTGGGCAGATGTGGGTGGGCAGTTGGCCTTGAAGGCGAAGACACGGTCGTATGGCGAGTGGGGGGGATGCCTCCATGCGTTAAAAAGTATGGTTTGGGGTGTAGAGCAGGGGTGGGTGCTTGCTTCCATCACTCGCGAGGCGGTGGAGGGAGATGGGAAGCAGTGGCTGCCCCCTTTGCTGATGCTAGGATACGAGGGGGGGGGCTCTAGCTTGCGTTGTGCATTTTGTGATACCTCTTTTTCTTGACAACAAGGGTTCGTCCATTTGGGTCGTGGTGAATGTGCATCCCACCACGGGGGACAAGCAAGCTGTGTTCACTGCCGGGCACCGCCTGCCTGTTGTGTACTGCGTCCGTTGTGGAAAGGGAGCACGTCTCGATGACAGGTTGCGATGCCACAGTTACTTTATACCAGGGTGTTCTGGTGGTCGCAGCACACGGTCCTTTAAGGGGCCGTTCACCGCTTCAAAAAGGGGCAGCAAGGAAGAGTCCTAATTTGTCACACGAGTCCCAACCATTCCACCTTGCAGCGCTGCCTCTCCCCACCCCACCCCGCTCGCATCACCGTCACGAGCCACCACAAGGACATCATCACGTGTCGCAAGCGCACACACAGGAGGTGTGTTGGCAACACGACGGCAACCACCGTAGTACCGCCGCTGCCCTGCTGCTGTAGGTAGCCGTAACCCCCTACTCCGCACCACCACCACCACCTTCTTCCACCCACCACTCCCACGCCAGCTCCTCCCCACACATTATCAGTCACACCTCCTCAGCATCCCCCTGCCCCGTCGAGCCATTCAAAACCCCCGCACACACTACACGCTACCCGAGCAGCAGCAGCAGCAAAGCACACACGCACCCCTCCTCCCGAGTACATGGTGGAGCCCTGGCACAGCTTGGCAAGGGAGCTCTCCCGAACAGCACCCCCCCACTGTTGCATGCACATACATCCCAGCACGCTGTTGTACCCCAACCCCAACCTGCAGGACTTTGTTTGCTTGTCCGTCCGCCCCCCCCGCCCCAAAGGTCGCACAGGGTCAGGAAACATCCCAAGCCTTGTCACTCGGTTAAACCCCCCCCTGTAATCCCACACCCTTCCCTTCTCCTCTTCCCCAAGACCTCACCACAGCCAATCTCCCTCCCCCTCCTCCTCCCCCTCCTCCTCCCCCTCCTCATCCGCATCCCCACTACATTCTTCACACCCTCCCCGCCCCCTCCGCCGCCGCTGCCGCTCGGATCCGCGCCACCGCCCGCCACCCGATATCGGAGCGGTAGTAGGCGTCCGCCCACTCGATCTGCTTCACAGCCTGGGGGGTGGAGGGAGGGGGAGAGTTATACCAGAACCACAGGTTAGGGCAAAGCAATGGGGAAGGGGGAAGGAAGGAGACCCGCGTGAGGAGAAGACGCGGCGCTTGGCGCTGATGCAGTACAGAGATGCCCCATTGCCTTCAACAGAACAAAGCAGACCACCCACACTCTCACCCTTAAACCCCCCCAGCCCTTCCCCCACCTCGTACGCCTTCCTCTGCGCCTCCTCGACGTCCCGTCCCAGCGCCGTCACGTTGAGCACCCGCCCCCCCGCCGACACCAGCTCCCCCGAGGTGGGGCAGCGGCTGGTACCCGCGTGGAATACCTGGGTGGGGGGGAAGGAGGGGGGGAGGGGGGGAGGGGAGGGGAACGACATGGGTCAGGGCGGGAGGGGAGGGGGTCGGCACAATCCATGGTTGGGAGCGGCAGGGAGGGGGGGAGAAGAAAACCCAACGTGTTGTATGCGAATGGCAAACACGACGACAAGGGGAGAGGGTAAAAAAATATATATATGATGAGACACTGACGAAGCAACTGACGAGCTGTATGACAAGGCTTCACCATGGGGAGAGGGGGGGGTACCGCGGAGGAGCAGCGAGCCAGCCAGTGCGCGTGCTCCTCTCCCCTCACCCAATGACGATGCATCCCATTTCCCATAGCATGCCATAAAACAGCTGTCCGCAGGAACACATACCTACAATGCATATAGCATGCTGGCACCCAAGGGCAACACCCCCCACCCACCCCACCTTGGCCCCCGTAACCCGCTCCAGCCCCCGAATTGGGGTCCCCTTGCCGTACGCCCCCGGGTAGCCCCTCGCCGCCATCACCACCGTGAGGGCCGCCTCGGGCCGCCAGGCCAGTTGAACACTGCCCAGCTGACCTGTTGGGGGGGAGGGGGGCAGGGGTTGGAGGGGGGGAGGAAGGGAACGGGAGGGGGAGGGAAGGTGGTAGGGGGTGGAAAGGGGGCGGGAGGTGCGTGTCGCTACTCGCTAGGGAGCATGTGGGCTACAAGACATTGTAGCGGCAGGGGGGCCCAGGAGGACTCCCGTCACGAACCCACAGACGACCCTCATCGCTCGAAATACCCAAGCAAGCATCGCCTCCCTTTTCTATTACCCTTCCTGAACCTCCATACTGTCTCCCTGCCCCTCCTTCCCTCCCCCTCCGTTGCTGCACTGATCATCTACTCCCCCCCTCACCCTGTGTTGCCCGCAGCAGCGACTCCGTTAGGTCGCATGCGCCCTCGTCCAGCCGGGCCATCAGCCCCTGGCACTCGGGGTCGCCGAACCGAACATTGTGCTCAAGCAGCTTGGCCTTGGGGGGGGGAGAGGGGGGTTAGGAGGGGGAGGGGGGAGGAGGAGAACCACGCGTTGAATGATTGTGAGGGAAGAGGCAGAAGGGAAGAAAAGGTCGCAACCAAGCGTGCAACCCCCAGCGGTGGGGCCTACACACGCGGTCCGGTTTCCCTGCTCACCCCAAACCCCACCCCCTGCCGCCTCCCCCCCACATCCCCGACCTTTCCATCCTTGATCATGAGTCCTGCGAACAAAGTGCCCCGGAATGGCGCCCCCTCCGCCGCCATGCCCCGGGCGGTGCGGTAGATGATCTCATCCATCACCTGGGGGGGGGAGTGAGGTGGGGGGGCAGGTGGGGGGGAGAGTGGGGGGCGTGGGGGCAGGTGGGGAGGGGAGAGAAGTTTGGTGCTGCTAGAACAAATGAAGGTGGGGTGCTGGCAGAACCCTTGGGATAAAGGGCTGCATCTCCAGCAAAGCCTTCGAACCCCCACCCCCTCCCTCCTGCTCCTCCCCACCCCCCACCTCATCATATATATTTTTTACCCCCCACCTGTTTGTGTATGGTGTCGTTCATGGCGGGTGCAGGCGAGTATGCGCCCATGCCCCCCGTGTTGGGACCCGTGTCCCCGTCTCCCACCGCCTTGTGGTCTTGAGCGGATACCTGGGGGGGGAGGGGAGGGGGGGTGTTGGGGTAAACTGGGCCGCAAGGAAACACCGAGGGGAGGGCGGGGAGCGGGGAGAATGTGAGGCTGCCTGTCTTGTGCCTACTGTACTGCTGTCTACTGCTGCTTCCAGCTAGGGCGTATCAGCCGTGCCGAGGCCGCAACAATCCCCACACGTACTGACTTCAGGCTACTTCGTTTGTGGTTGCAAATCATGTGATGACGGCCAGTTAGTCGTTACCTCTCCCCACCCCTCAGCCCCGTTAACCCCACTCCCCCCCTCTCCCCTCTCCCTGCCCCCCCCCACCAGCGGCACCGCCTCCTCCCCGTCCACCAGCGCGAAGAACGACACCTCCTCGCCATCCAGGAACTCCTCCACAACCACCTCGTCACCTGGGGGGGCAGAGGGGAGGGAGAGGGGGGCAGAGGGGAGGGAGAGAGTGGAGGGAAGTGGTGAGGCTAGATGGGAGGAGAGCTTGGGGCAGACAGGCAGGCGGGCGGGAGGGTCGTTCACTCCCCGTGTTTCCCTCCCTCCCTGTCCCCTTATCACACGGTCAGTGAGTTGTGTCCTCTTTTTCCCTCCCCCCCTCCCCCTCCCCCCCCTCACCCGCTCCCCCAAACACCCGGTGCACCAGCATGTCGTCCACAGCCTGGAAGGCCTCCTCCTCGCTGCGAGCAACCACCACACCCTTGCCTTGGGGGGGGAGGGGGAGATAAATGATACCGGTAAGTGAAGCAACTGGAGTCAGATGTAGGGCTCCCCTCATCCCAAAGCGATAGAGGCGGAAGGAAGGAGGTGAGGGGGAACGGCGGTATGCATGCGGTGACATGCACACGAAACCCTCACCCCCTCCCCATGGTGAAGCCCCGTCAGCTCGTCATTTCCTCCTCCCTCTCCTCACTCCCACCCCCACCAACACCCCTCCCCCTCACCCGCCGCCAGCCCGCTCGCCTTCACCACAATGGGAGCCCCCAGCGACCGGATGAAGGACTTGGCGGCCCTCGGGTCGGTGAACTTCTCGTAGGCGGCTGTGGGGATGTCGTACTTGCGACACAGATCCTGCATGGGGGGTAGGGGTGTACGGCATAGCAGGAATGGGTATGTACGGCATATGGAGGAGGATTCCTGGAGTTGCTCCCTGCTGAGGCTTCTTCCTAGCTAGCCTTCCTCTCGCCGCAGTGGCAGCTCAGCCACCCCTACCCTGCACCCGTCTTCCTATCACATCGGTATGTTGACGCGCCCCTACTCTTCCCCACCTCCTCGCGGCCAGCTTCGTTACCCATCACCCCCACCCCTCTCCTCCCACCGCCCCCCTCCCCCCCCTACACACACACCTTCATGAACGCCTTGCTGCCCTCCAGCTGCGCCGCCTTGGCCCCCGGACCCCAGGTGGGAACACCAGCCGCCCCCAGGTCGTCCGCCAGCCCCGCCACCAGGGGCACCTCGGGGCCCACCAGCACCAGACCCACCCGCTTCTCGCGGCAGAACTGGACCACCTGTGCATGTGCGTGTGTGTGTTTGGGTGGGGTCGGGGGAGGGGGGAGGGAGGGGAGAGGGAGAGGGAGGGGAGGGGTCAGGTGACGTGTAGGCTCCAGCGCCAAGGGGTGTTGCATGAAGGCGTCATGGCTGCTCACTTCCTCCAGGGAGGGATGGAGAGAGAGAAAGAGAGAAGCGGACAGGGTGACATGCACACGCATGCAGACACCTCTCCACTGGAGCAACACCGTTCCCCACAAAGCGACGCACGCCACACCCCACTGCCCTGCTATTTCCCTTCTGCATCCTCCGCCTCTCCTCCTCCTCCCTTTCCGCCCTCCCCCCTCCGCTTTCCCACGCTTCCCGCGCCACCCCACCCACATCTGCGTGCTTGGTCACGTTGAGGCCGACATTGGTGACCTTCGGCTCCGTCTCCGTTCCGGGATTGCCCGGCGCGCAGTACAGGTGCTCGCACATCGGCGATTGCGATAGCTTCCAAGCTAGAGAATGCTCACGACCGCCCGAACCAACAACCAGCACGTTGACCTGTGCAAGCAGGGCGGATTCATGGCGTTGAATTGCATTTCGGGTGGTCCGGCGCAAACGCTGATTGATAGGAAGTCGCGTATGGAGTTACCTTGCCCGCAGCTGATGCTGATACGCGAAGGCTGCGGCGGCTTTGCCGTGATACGCCCCGGCCGCCGGCACATGGTGCACGGAGAGATTGCATTGTATTTAAGGCCTTAATATATAACCAAGTAGTTCGATTTGTATGCCTGAGGCTTCTTCGTTGGCCTAAAAGCTCGGGGCTTGAAAGACACAGCCAAAAGGGAAGCAAATGCAAGTCGATATTAGCCGTCTACGCGGCCTAGTTATGTAAATCCTGTAGTTTAATAATCACGTAAAACTTGTTACATGGAGAAAACCAAACACTCAAGGCGCATGACCAATCGGCTCCACAACAGCGGAACCACGGTCCCCCCATGGCATAATCACGCCAAAACAAGTTGTAACACACAGAAATAACCATATTACTTGCTTAGTAGTATTACTTGTACCCGGTTGTCTGCCCTCTGTAGAACCCTAAGGATGCACCCATCCATCCGCACCACATATTCAAGATCACCGCAATGGCCCAAATGCCAAATCTCTTGAATATCCTATTATTTCAACTATCTGGGTCTTCCGATAACCTTGCTGCAGCTCACAAGCGTTCGGAGGCTTCGGAGCATTCGTTTCGCACACCAGCCAGCCGGTCAGCATCATTCCAACCAGAGTCGTCTTCAACACGAGAAGTCACCACACAAAAGCCCACATCCTGTTATCCATGACGTCTCAGTAGTAACCCACGCCGCTCGCCAATGTCCACAGGCATCCATGTCCGCGTTGCAGGAAGACGCGCACCTTTCGCCCTCCTCCTTGCCGGCAGGAGAGCTGTTCGCTATCCGCCTTTACGACGACTGCTCCGGCGCCTGCTGACCACCACTACCTTCTCCTCCTCCCTTCTCACCTCGCGTACTGCTACCACCACCTTTATTTGCAACCCCCGCCGCCCCCGCTCCCACTGCTGCCCTCCTGAGTCCGAACCTGCCCCAGTCCATTCCGCACTTCAGGCTGAAGGGCCGCGGCTGGAACTGCCCCGCAAAAACCCAGTACTTCCACGCCTCGCGCGGCGTGAGGGGCGCCAGGTCGGGGTTGGCCTGGGGAGGGCGGGTGGGGAGAGGGGGAAGGGGGGGAGAGAAGATGGGGCGAAAGATGAGGGAGCGATAGGGGCGATAAGATGGGGCAAAAGAAGATAAGGGAGAGAAGGAATGGCGAGTGTTTCCGCGGCTCAGCGGCTCTAATCCCCCACCTGCAGGAAGTGGCCCGCATCGAAGCAGCGCTCCCCCAGCGCCACCGCCCGCAGCACCGCGGGTAGGCGGTAGGCGGGGCCGGCGGAGAAGTAGGCGTTACGAGACACGTGGGAGGTGGGGGGGGAGGGGGAGGTGGGGGAGGTGGGGGAGGAGGGGGAGGTGGGGGAGGAGGGGGTGGGGGAGGAGGAGCCGTTGAGCGGGGCTGTCCCTGCATCTGCCGCTGCATGCTGCACTGCTGCTGCTGATGATGATGATGGTACTGATGCCCCCTCCGCCTCTGCCACCGCCTCCTGCTGGACCCCAGTAATCCCCCCGTCGCGGCTCCCACCACCACCGCCGCCACCACCACCACCACCGCCGCCACCACCACCCCCGCCCTTCCCGTTGGCAGTGGTGGAGGCAGAGGAAGCTGCTGCTGCACCCTCCTCCTCCTCCGCTCCTGCTGCTGCCCCCTCCCGCTCCTCCTCCTCCTCCGCCTGGAGAGGAGGGACCCACCCCCCAGGCGGGTGCGGGTGGATGGGGGGGGGGGGTGGAGGGGTGGAGGGGTGGAGGGGGGGGCGCGCAGCTCTCCCTTGTCAGCTCCCTCTTCAGTCAACTTGTTGTCAACTTCGCGGCCAACAACCCTGCTGCCAACAAGCCTACCCAACAGGCAGCCGCCGCCGTACGGTTGCAGACACATCACCGCAGGCGGGCTGACGACCCCGACCCCGACCCCGCTGCAGCGCGCCAACATCATCTCCTCCCTCCCCATCCCCATCAGTAGTTCTCGCGGCTTAGTGCATCTAACCCCCGCCTCTCCCCCCCTCCCCTCCCCTCCCCCTCACCCGCATCCACTCCGAGTAGCGCGCCGCCACCTGCGGCACCCCGCCCGCCCCGCCCGCCACCTCCCACTCGTCCCACTGTCCCACCGGCACGAACAGCGCCTCGTACGGCGGCAGCGGCAGGCCGTCGTTGGCGAGGTCGTAGAAGGGCCACACGCTATGGGGGGGTGGGGTGGGAAGGAGAGGGGGGAGAGAGAGCGGTAAGGGGCAAAGAGGGTTGGTGGGAGAGGGGCAGGGGCAGGGGAATCAGGTGGTATCATACCTGAGCCCTCCGAGAGGGCGGCGGGAAGTCGGCAAGGGACGGGGGAATGGTGCACAAGCCGGTCATGTGGTCAGGGGCCACCAGGACAGCACATCTGATACTGTGCGCAGTGGCTCCTGCCCCTGTACCGCACCCTCACCCCACACACCCCGAGTAGCCCCTCCCTGCTCCCAGGCAGGCCCCCATGTAGCAACCAACCCCATGGTGCAGCCTCCTCGTCATACAGCTCGTCAGCTTCCTCTTTTCACCCCCCTGTCCCCCACCGCCCCCCCCACCTCCCGCCCCCACTCACCCCCGGTTGCAGCCCCAGTTGCCCGCCTCCCCCCAGTCTACCCCCGCCTGCCGTACCGCCCCCACCGCACCCAGCCGCCCCCCCGCCGCCAACACACCCCCCGACCAGCCTCTCAGCGCCCGCAGCGCCTCCAGCTCGCCCGCTCGGAAGGCCCCACCGCCGGCTGCCAGCACGGAGGCAGTGGGGTCGTAGCGGGAGAAGGAGGAGGAGGGGGTGGCGGCTGGGGTGGACGGAGGTGATGGGGTGGTGGAGGGAGAGGAGGCGGCTGCCTCATCCGCCTCCTCCTCCTCCGTACCAGCTGCTGCTGCAGCTGTACCCGCGGGCGGGCAGGCGGGCAGCTGCTGGGGGGGCAGGGCGAACAGCAGGGATATGGCGGCCTGGGGGGACGGGAGGCGGGAGGGGGGAAGGGGAGCGGGAGGGAGATGGGTACGACAGGGAGGCGGTGTACTGGGCATGCGGGGCACTTGGCTAAAGCATAGACAGCAGCATCCCTGGCAACTCCCCCTCTCGTCAGTCCCTCCCCCTAGCGCCCCGCCTAGCTACACCCCCTCCCTCACCTGGTTGGCGCACAGGGCGGTGAATTCCGGGAAGGGCGGCTGCAGGGGGGGAGGAGCTGAGGAGGAGGAGGAGGAGGAGAAGGCCCCAGGCGCCCCACCCGGGGGCTCCTCCTGCACGCAGCTCATCACACAGCCGATCAGCCCTGCCGCTGACCTCCGGCCCTGCTCCTGTCCTGGCCCCTGCTCCTGTTCTCGCCGCTGATCCCGGTCCGGGTCATCGTCCCGGGTGGGGGCCAGGTCGGCACACAGCGCCGCGTGCCAGGTCACCAGCGCCTGTGGAAATTAGACATGCGGGAGGTTTGAAAAATTGCCGGCGAGAGTCTGAGCGTTAGGGAATAGTCGAGCGGGACAGAGGAGCGCAGCATTTCGTACCCGCAGGCCGGGCGGGATGAAGGGGCCCCTGACCGCCGAGCTGAGCAGCACGACATTGTCAGCGGAGATGTCCCGGCCGATGCCATCTTGAAGGTACCAGCGCAACAGGCTGAGGCCGCCGCAGGACCGGTCGTGCGGTATGTAAAGAGCGTGCGATGGTAGCACGGGCAGCGCGGGGTCCTGCGGTTGAGGAAGCCTATCCGATAAGGGATCGGCAACAGCCATGGCCAAATGTCGTCCAGAGTACCGGTTACTCGTACCTGCTCGCGTCCCTCTTCAATCAGAATGTGGTACTGAGCAGTTGTATCCCGCCGGATTGCCTGGAAGGGGGCAAAGCTTGCCTTGCATGCCTAAGGCAATGAATGCAGAGACCGGACGCCCAGACCGTTTGCACACCTCGTAATAGAAAAACTGGAAGTTCTCCAGCTGAACTGCATCGGCGAAACTGAGGATGTAGACAACCAGCGTAGACTGAGATGGAATGAGCAGCTGTCTGTGCCATTCGTCGCGCGGTTCAGGTTGCAGGTCGGGTGCATTCGAAGCAGGATTATCTCTATTGCTGATAATGAAAAGCAGAGCTGCTACAAGCCCTATTATCAAGAGAGGGGCAACGACTCGGCCCAAAGCGCGCGACCCCGTCTTTACAGAAGAGCTGCGACGATACATATGACAGCATGACCCTTTAGTGAAGCTATTCGCGATCCCTAATTTAAGTTAGAGAAACTACAAGGGTCAATTAACTAATCCTATGACCGCCAAGCTGCCTTCCTGCCTTCGGAGTGAGCTCCAGGCCAACCATCCTGCTTCAAACACCCTGCAGCTAAGATACTAACTCTCCAAAACCCATAGCGTAGCAGTATTCCCGGAAGGAAAGAATATTAATCACCGCAACAAGCCATGCTCACATGTACGAAAAGTGCAACACCTCTCCCACTGCATCCCCATCGCTCCTGCCCCCGCGCTGTTATACTCCCCCACCGCTGCATCCCGGCTCCCATCACACCGCCCCCGCCCCAACAACACGCGCCGCTGCAGTCCCCGCCACCCCCGCCACCACCCCCACAGGTGCCGCCGTCGGCCCCCCCGGTCGCGCCGAAAACACCCCCAACAGCCCCCCTAGCTGCGGCGGCCTGTACAGCCCTCCCAGCCCCCCTCCTCCCATTCCCCCTCCCCCTCCTGCAGCCGTCAGCAGCGCCCGCGCCTCCGCCCCTTCCGGGCAGTACCCAGCCAGGATGTTGGGCCCTATCCAGTCCCGCAGCGCCTCCAGCGCCCCGGCTGCTGCCGCCTCGGCCAGCTGGTGTCCGCAACGCAGGTCGGCCAGGAGGGGTGGCAGCAGGGCACGTAGGTGGCGCTTGAAGCGGGGCTTGCCTGGGGGTGGGGGTGTCGGGGAGGTGGGGTGGGGGGAAAGTAAAAGAGACCAAGTTACAGCTCACGATACACAGCAACTACAATAACACCAAACACTCACTCACTCACATTCCCCTCCTAGCCCAGTTCTCCTGCCTCTCCCTAGCCTCTCCACCACTTACCCCAGCCCCCCCAGCCTCCCAACCCCCCTCCTAGCCAACCCCCCTCCTAGCCTCACCAATCGCCTTGCCGATGTGTGGCAGCGAGCGCCACACCGTCTCATGCAGGTTAAAGGCATGCTGGAAGGAGCGCAGGCCGCCCAGCTCAACAAGGGCTGGAGGGGGGAGAGGGGAGACGCGGGGGGAGGGTGGGGAGAGGGGAGGGTGGGGAGAGGGGTTGGAGGGTAATGTGCATGGGGACGTGTGGGATGAGGTGGAGGGCTGTAAGGAGGGCGGACGGGAAGGGGAGGGCAGCGCTGCGCAGGAGGGGAAGGGCAGCGCCGGCAGCTCCTCCCGGCAGCCCTCACACAGCTCCTCCCCCCCCACGCCAGGTGTGTTTGTTCATGTCGTCTATCATCCTGCCCCTCCATGTGCTCCCCCTCCCCCTCCCTCACCCCCCTCCCTCACCCTCCATGTGTGCCTCCGTCACCGCCTCCGGCGCCACCCCCGCCACCTCCCGCAGCAAGTGCACCGCCCCGTCCGACACCTCCCACGGCTCCTTGTCCCTTTTGGGGGGGTGGGGAAAAATTATAAATAAGTGCAACAACACAGTCCCAATCCCGAATCCCTAATCATGCTCATGCTCATGGGGGGAAGTGAGGGTTGGGAGTGGGGTTGAAAGGCAACAAGACCTGAGCTATGAACCCTATGATGGCTGCCCAGCCCAAGCCCTCCCATGCCTCCCCGCCATCCAACCCCCTACCCCGCCGTTGTCAAACCAACCCGCCGAAGAATCCACCCCACCTCCCATGGTGAAGCCTCGTCATAGAGCTCGTAAGCTTCCTGTCTTCCCTTCCCCAACACATTGGGTATCCTTCTTGCCCCCTTCCTCTTCCCCCTCCCCCCCCACCCCCCCCCCCACCTGCTGAACCCATGATCCATGCAGCCATCCGACCGAATCAGGTACGACGTTGAGAAGCGCGCCATCAAGCTGCCGCAGCTGAACATCTGCTGGTCGGAATGTACGGCGGGGTCGTTGTCCCGCGCCTTCCGCGCCGCCACCCCGAACTGGGTGGGGGTGGCGGTGGAGAGGTCGGAGTAGCGGTTGCTCTCGGCGGGCTGCTGTCGGGCGCGGAGGAGCATGTCGGAGAGGGCGGCCAGCAGGGTGGGCTGGACCTCGGGGCCGTAGGCGCGCAGGGCCTGTGATTGGGGGGGGGGGTAGGGGAGGAGGAGGGCAAGAGGAGGAGGGAGGGGGAGGGGTGAAGAGAGAGAGGGGAGGAGGAAGGAGAGTGGAATCGCCGGCATAATAATGCACGATACAACTTGGTGATGCACCGTAACTAGGGCGGCAAAACGGCTAGGAACGGCTTACACCACCTCCACCGCCCCAACCCCACCCGCCTCCCCCCTCCTCTTCCCCCCCTCCCACCTTCCCCAGTGCTGCCGCCTCTCCCCTCCCCCCTCTCCCCCCTCTGCCCCACCCCCCACCCCTCCCACCTTCCCCAGCGCTACCGCGCTGTTGGCCCGCACGGTGGGTATGTTGTCCGCCAGGTGCTCCAGCCACAGGCTCAGCATGTCGGGGGCCAGCGGGCGCATCTCGGAGGGGTAGGACAGCACAGCCCTGCATGGGGGGGGGAGTGGGGTGGGTGCATGGGGGGGTAGGGGAGGTGAGGATAGAGCGGCACAGGAGCAGCCTCCTCCACGCCATTACCCCCCTCTTACCCCCCCCAGCTTCGTCATACAGTTCGTCCGTTTCCTTGTTTTTACCCCCACCACCCCCTCCAGCCCGCCCCCCTTCCCACCTTCCCGCCGCAATGCAGGCCGCATCCCGCACCGGCCAGCTCATGTCCTTGAAGCACAGCACCAGGCTGCGGAACAGGGCGGGCACGTGGGGGGACACGGCGGAGCGGTCAACCTGTTTTTTGGGGGGGGGGAGGGGGGGAGGGGGGGAGGGGGAGGGGTAAGGAGGAGGGCAGTGGAGGAGGGGGAGAGGAGGGGCAAGGGAGTGGAGAAGGAAAACAAGGCGAAGGGGCCCCCATACGGCTGTATTTACCCTAGGGGCTGTACTTTTCACCCTCGCCCCCCTACCGCTCACGCCTCTCCTCAGATCCACAGGTCTAGCTGCCTTCTTTCCCCTTCCCCTCCCCTCCCCGCCCCCTACCCCCCTCCTCCCCACCTTCTCCATCAGCTCCGCAATGCACGCGCACGCCGCCTCCCGCACCGCATGGTTGTTCGCCCGCGCCTGCGCCACGTAGTGCCCCACCACCGCCCCCGCGTGCCGCGCCACCGCCGCCCGGCCACCGCACCCCATCACTCGGCGCCAGGTCTCCTGCGCGAACAGCCGCACCCCCTCGGCCACGTAGTACCTGGGGAGGGGGGGGTTGAGGTGGGGGTGAGGGGGGAGATAAAAGACAATAGCAGCAAACGGACGAGGAAACTGACGAGCTGTAGGACTGACGAGGGGGCGGTGGGTTGGTTGCTGCATGGGACCCGACGGTCCATGAGGGTAGGTTGGGGGAGTGAAGAAGAGGAAAGTGAGGCACAAAGAGGCACAAAGGCACAGTGGAGGGGATCCCCAACCCCCACCCTTCTTACAACCCTCCTCCACCCCATTTTTCGCAATCCTACAATCCAGCCTAATCCTGATTATGTATCCCTATTCTCCCCTCCCAAGAAAACACACACCCCCACCCCCACCTGTTGAGGCACATGGGCGGCAGCAGCACCGGCATCAGCGCCTCCCGCTCCTCGCCCTCGCCCAGCCACTCCAGCAGCGCGCGAGTGGACACGCAGGCCGCGTAGCGGACCTGGGGGAGGGGGAGGGGAAGGGAGGTGTGCGGGAAAGACATGCATAGTAGGAGTAAGCGGGGGCCCCAGGCGTTCGTCGGCCCCGCAACCCAGGCAGCACCGCACCACCTCCACCACCACCTCCACCGCCTCCACCCACTTCCCCCTGCACCCCCCAGCCCCAACCCCCCCACCCACCTGGCTCCAGTTGTCCCCCATGCCGTCAGCCAGCCGCTCCGCAACCTGGGGGGGGGTGGTGGAAAAATTATATACTAAATGCAAACAACTAGAGTCCCAGACCCATAACCCGACTCATGCAGTGAGGGGGGGTGGGGGAGGGGGAAGAGGAAGAAGAAAGCAGCTCAAAAAAGGAGTGAGTGAGGGCTACAGCGTTGATAGAACGACACCCCTCCACCCCCCTCACGCCCCCCAAACCCCCCCCCCCTACCTCGGGTGCAATGGCCGCCAGCTCCGGCCCCCGCAGCGCCTCACATACCGTACACATGGTCAGGTGACCCGTCTCGCGGACAAACCTGGGTGGGGGGAGGGGGGGTTAGGAGGTTGGGAGGTTGGGAGGAGGGGGGTGGTAATGTCATTGTTTTCGGGAGGAGGGGGGGGGGAGGCGGGAAAGGGAGGGGTGGGAGGAGGGTCAAGTAGAGGGACCGGCACCGACAGCCCCATGCAAGAACCCCCCCTCCCATGCGCTGACTGCATGATGAGTCACTGCGGGGCTTGGGACTGCGACTCGCGTTGCTTTACTGCTTATTTACCTTTTCCTTCCTCCCCTCTTTCCCCTCACCTGTTGGGGTGGTGCAGTGCCCGGTACAGCAGCCCCCGCACCTCCTCCCCCCGCAGCGGCCCGCGCAGCCCCTCCCCGCCCGCCCCCTCCACCAGCGCCTGCAGCGCCTTCATGCTGGTCTCCAGACACTTCCAGCCCTCCGTGCCGTGGCGCATCTCGCCCTGGCCTGGGCGGAACTTGCGGTAGGTGCTCTGGGGGGGTGGGGGAGGGACGGGAGGGAGGGGGGAAGGGAGGATGGGGGGGAGGGAGGTCAAATACCATACCGAACCACAGGAAACCACAGGTAGGGGGGAGGGAGGGGTAAAGGGAAAAAGCGAGGGGGGGACCAGGACCGATTGACGTACAGGCCACTCCACCCTGCATACCGGCTCTGCCAACCCTTCCAAGCCATCGCAAGGGGGAAGGGGACAGGCTCCTAGTCCTCACCTCCTCCCTCCTACCCTCGTTCAGCAACACCACCTCGCACCTGCAACAACGCAGTTACCAGGCTGCCGCCCGCGTCCCCTCCACCACCTCCACTGCTGCTGCTGCTGCTCCTCCCCAGCTCCCGCCCCCTCTCCCCCTCCTTGCCCTCTTTACCCTGCTCCTCCCCCTGCCCCTGCCCCTCCCCCTGCCGCTCCCCCCTGACAGGCGAGGAGGGCCGCTCCACGGGCGACCCCAGTGCGGGGGACTCCGTCACGAAGCGGGCCATGGGGGCGGTGGCCAGGCGCTGGCCGTCGGGGCCCTCAGCGGCACCGTCGTCCGCGTCTTCGGATCGGTCCTGAGGGGGGGTGGGGGGGAGGGGGTAATTTGGAGGAGGAGGGGGAGGGGAGGAGGAGGGGGGGTGGGGAAGGGGGAGGGGTGGGAGCGGTGTGCTAAAATAACTGTCCGCGAGTCGGAACGTACTGTAATTGCCGAAAGATGATGCCCCCAAGGAAGATGATTACCCAACATGGCAACACGCTCCCCATCGCATTCCCAGGTCCCCCCACTCCCACTAAGGCAACCCCCCACTCACGAAGTTCCGCCGGATGCTGTCCAGTACGGCAGGCAGGCACGCCTCAAACACACACACGCCCTGAAGCCGAGCCAGCGCCTGAGGAGAGGAGAGGGGAGGGGAGAGAGAGGGAGGGGAGAGGTGATGTGTATGGCACAGTAGCACCCTTCCGGCCTGCCCTCTTCCAGTCAGCAGCCCTCTTCCGCTCTGCACCTACCCAGGACCTACCCCGCAGCATGTCGTTATCCCTCCTCCCCCTCCCCCTTCCTCCTCCACCTTCCCCTCGTAATGACTTCTGGCTACTTCGGGCTGGGCGGGTCAGGCTGGCTCACATGATATGGCGCCTTATCACACGGTCAGTTACCGGTAGTCGTTTCCTCCTTCCCTTCCCTTCCCTTCCCTTCCCTTCCCTTCCCTTCCCTTCCCTTCCCTTCCCTTCCCTTCCCTTCCCTTCCCTTCCCTTCCCTTCCCTTCCCTTCCCTTCCCTTCCCTTCCCTTCCCTTCCCTTCCCTTCCCTTCCCTTCCCTTCCCTTCCCTTCCCTTCCCTTCCCTTCCCTTCCCTTCCCTTCCCTTCCCTTCCCTTCCCTTCCCTTCCCTTCCCTTCCCTTCCCTTCCCTTCCCTTCCCTTCCCTTCCCTTCCCTTCCCTTCCCTTCCCTTCCCTTCCCTTCCCTTCCCTTCCCTTCCCTTCCCTTCCTTCCCTTCCCTCCCCGCCCTCCTCCTCCTCCTCCCCCTCCTCCCTCCCCGCCCTCCTCCTCCTCCTCCCCCTCCTCCCTCCCCGCCCTCTTCCTCCCCCTCCTCCCTCCCCGCCCTCCTCCTCCTCCTCCCCCTCCTCCCTCCCCGCCCTCCTCCTCCTCCTCCCCCTCCTCCCTCCCCGCCCTCCTCCTCCTCCTCCCCCTCCTCCCTCCCCGCCCTCCTCCTCCTCCTCCCCCTCCTCCCTCCCCTCCCCGCCCCCACCTGCAAGCAGTCCCCCACCGCCAGCCGCACTCGAACCTGCGGACCGTATAGGGGGATAACATAGAGAAGTGCATCAACGGAGTCCCAATCCCGAATCCCGACTCATGCAGGCCGTATAGGGGGGGAAATTATATAAAAGTATACGGTAGGGGGGGAGGGGGAGGGGAAGGGATAAGCAGGGACCATGGGGTTTCGCGTGTGTTCGAGTCTCCTTCCTCCTTTTCCCCTCCCATCCCTTTATCCATATTCCCCTCTTCCACCCCCTCCCTCACCTCCCCATCCTCCAGCAGCCCCATGGCTGCCAGCCTCAACCGCTCCAGGTAGGACTCCTGGGGCTGGCAGGTGGACACGTAGGCCTGAGGGTGGGGTGGGGGGAGGGGGCAGGTGTACGGCAAGGAGAAGACAGGTGTACGGCTCGTAGCGAGGTGAGAAGAGGGAGAGGTAGGGCACGAGCTTAGGAGGGCTGGACTGGCGACACGCGCTGGACGCCAGGACAGAGGGACATCAGGGTGGCGCAGATGGATGGCGGATATGAGGGCGAGGAAGGACGAAGTCTGGGAGGTCTAGCAGGGCAAGAAGCTTGGTGAATAGGTACCTACCTTGGCGCCCATAAGCCCGCCTAGCTTCTTCTCCCATGGTTCTTGGGAGAGGAGTTCAGAAATGCCGGACTCGACAGCTGCGTCCTCCGTGCCTGTATACAGCCGATCAGCAGCCCAAACTCAGTAGAAAGTATTTATGTGTGCTTGAAGGTGTTTGCGAGTAGGTCTAAGCTAGCTTTGTAGGGCATTCGTTGCAGATCGCACCACTTAGCCCCTGAAGGAAGGCCACAAGGGCACGTAACCCCTTTTCACGCTGAAGGTGCTTTGGATCCCCTAAAAGCTCGAAGATGCTATCAAGCGATGGCGCGTCGAGCGCCATTTGGCGCCCGTGTTGCGTAAGGTAGGGAGTAAAGCCCTCTTCGTGATCAATCCAAGGGGTTATAGGTGCGTTTTCAGATGTTTTCAAGATGCCCACTAAGCGCAATAGGCAACTCTTGCAAGGTTGTTGTACATGAGTAGTACTCATGCTTGTGTAGGGCTAGTTGTGTTTCCGCACCGATAGTCGCCCTAGAGGCGTATACGCCTTGTATAGTCGTCTACAAGGTCATTAACGGTTCTTACCTAGACGAGCTTTGCGCAAAGTCTTTGACTTGTGTGACCTTCTTGCTCATGAGTCTTTACAACGGGCCGCCGCGGCCTGGAGCACGCGGTGGTCGCGATCAATTCTCTTGGGACAATGTAAAGGCGGATAAGGATCGAGAGTACTATTTGGGTCACTCCGTCAAGGCCCTTGCTGGACGTTGGCAAAAAGGTAGGTGCTATGTTGCAACACTTCTGCGCCTTTGTGCGCTGATCCACCTCTTCATCCTTTTATCAAGCATCGCTAGGCTTTACCAGACACTAAATTCCTCAACATTCCCCCTCAAATTCTTACCCCGTCCCGCATCACCCTCCAGGTCGCGACGTGTACTGGTATACCCGCGAGAAGTCGGGGCAGGACACCCTTCAGGACGAGATCCAGGCCGTCAAGCAGCGCGAGGAGGAGCTCATGCTCGAGGTGCGGCCCTGCCCACTAGCATCCGGTGCCCTACCATCCCTCCCTACGCCATACGCACCGCATGCCTCTCCTTCTCTCCATTCCTCAGCTTACAAACTCAAAACCATTCCCGAATTCCCATTGTTTCCTTCATCCATCCTCCTCTGCCCCGCCATCCCGCCGCCCTCTCCCAGGCCCTAGGTCTGAAGCCCAAGTCCGCAGCTGTCAAGCCCGCTCCCCAGCTGGACAAACACGAGCTGGACGAACTCATTCGCGGCAAGCCGCAGGAGGAGGGCGGCGGAATGGAGGGAGGCGGTGGTGGAGCGGAGGGAGGCGGGGGAGCAGGGGCGCAGGAGGCGGACAGGGTCAAGGGACTGGGCTTTGTGGCGGGGTGAGCGGGGAGGGGCGAGAGAGGGCCGAGAGGGAGGAGCAGAACAGAGGAGTGAAATTGGGGGTAGGAGGTAAGGGAGGAGGGGCGGAGTAAGGGGGGAAACGTCGTGTGGGAGGGGGCTACCCAGGGGCGTGCAGGGGCATGCCCCGCACCTTCGCACGTGCCCCCCACGTGCATGAGTCGGGATATGGGATTGGGACTTTAGTTGTTTGCATTTCTTATATAATTTCCCACCCTTACCCCAACCCCCGCTCATGTCGCCACCATACCTCCCCCCCCCCCCGTGTTCCTCCCTCCACCCCCAGCACCGCGGGCGCCACAGCGGAGGCGGTTCACGTCACTCTGCCGGGGCTGGGACCTGCACAGCAGCCACCTGCAGGGGGCCCGCGGGGGCAGCAGCAGGGGGCGGGTGGCAGGCTGCCTCCGCCGCCCCCACTGCCCCCCGGTATGCTGGGGGCGGCAGGGGGCGCGCTGGGGCCCGAGCAGCTGAAGCAGCTACGGAGGGCGGAGAAGCGAGCTAAGAAGGAGGCGAAGAAGGCAAAGAAGGAGGCCAAGAAGGAAGCGAAGCGGGAGGCTAAGCGGGCCAAGCGGGCGCGGGAGGCAGCCCAGCGGGGTGAGGGGGGTCGGCGGGAGGAGCAGGACGCGGACCGGAAACGCCGGCGGCACCGCTCCTCCTCGCCCTCCTCCTCCGGCTCTTCCTCCTCCTCCTCATCAGACAGCGAGGGGGAGGAGGAGAGGCACCGCCACCGCCGCAGCAGTGGTCACCGCCACCCCGTGGATGCCCGAGACGGCCCCCTCGCAGCAGCAGCCGGCAGCCGAGGGCAGCATCATGGGACCCGCGAGGAGGACGGGGAGCGGCGGCAGGAGCCCTACCAGCAGCGGGGGCAGCGGCAGGAGCACTCTCGGTACGAGTACGGAGGAAGAGGAGGGGTGGAGGAGGAGGAGGGGCATGAGGCGAGGAGGGGGCGCGGTGATCGGCGGGAGGAACGGCGGCGGGGGGCTGCACTTGATGGTGATGTTGATGGCAAGGGTCCGCGCCGCCGCACCCGGCATGACAGCCCCAGCCCCAGCCGCAGTCGCAGTCGCAGTCCTGAGGAGAGGCGGCGGGCGGGAGGCCGGCAGGCGGGGGAGAGGGAGGAGGAGGAGGGGCGGCGGTACGGCGGTGATGGTCGAGATGCGGCCCGTGGAGCCGGTGGTGGTGGTGGTGGTGGTGGTGGCGGCATGGGAGGCGGTGATGAGGGGGACGGGAGGGAGGGGCTCCGCCGGCGGGAGGAGGGGCGGCTAGATGCAGCGGAGTACGGACGCCGCCATGCGAGGGTTGGGAGCGGGGGTTGGGGTGAGGAGGGGCGGCTGGCGGCAGCGGGGGGTGAGGGACGCAGGAGGCGCAGTCCGGAGGGGGAGCAGCGGGGAGTGGGAGCTGGCAGCAGGCGGGTACGACATGACAGTCGGAGTCGGAGTCGGAGTCGCAGTCCTGGGGTGGCGGCGCGGCACCGCACCCGGCACGATAGCCCCAGCAGAAGCCGCAGCCCTGAGGCTCCCCGCCCCACCCGCCATCGCCATGACAGCCCCAGCCGTCGTCGCCAGGACAGCCGGAGCCGCAGTCCAGAGAGGGGGCAGCCGGAGCGGCGGCAGCAGCAGCAGCAGCCCGAGGCGAGGCGGCGATAGGGGGAAGTAGGGCTGGCTGTAGGGGGAGGTAGGCTGGCGGTTGGCTGGGTAGCTGGCGGTTGGTGGTGGATCAGTTACTTGTCTGCGTTGGCAGCCCGGTTAGCGGACGGAGGGCGGAGGGCTGATGGGGTGGGTGGTGGGAATTGGTGGGGTGGTGGGGTGATGGTGGACGCCGGGGTCATGGGTGTTTTGCTCCGCAGCTGAAGAGAGCGCGGATGAGCACTTTCAAGCTCTGCTTGTCCGGGACATGGAGGAGTTTGCCTGGCTCCCCTTGCAGGGCCGCTTCGAGATAGCTTTGAAGCCTGTTTTGTTTGCTGTATTGCAGAGGACCGGCACAAGAAAATTCTGTACTGTAAATATGACTATACGAGCCCGCTCTGGTTTCTCATTTCCTCATGTCAGGCGGTGTAGTCCGCACAGCTGGGTGTGTAGGCCGGTGTCAGGCGGCGGAAGCTGCTGAGTTGTCAGCCGCTGCCCCCCTCCTCCCTCCCGGGCATGAAGACCGCACGCAAATAGATGCATTTGCCACATTCATGCACGAAGAGGCATGGCTACATGCCAATAAGAGGGGATGCGTGCATGCGTGCCTTGGCTGCGGCCACGGGGTGCATGGAATCCGTTGGCCTTTCGAATTGTTAGAGCGCTGTCACAGTACCGCTTCCCGCACCACCTGCCGTACAGCCATTCATCACATTCCCCCCAATTCCCGGTGACATCCCGCCTCGGGCAAAGCCGAAGAGGCGACGGCAGGTCAAGATCCGCTCCTTGCATCCTGCAACCTAAAGGCCCACGATAAGTACGAGGGAACCTTCTATTTACTTATTAATCTCCAAACAGCGCTGTGGGAATGTGGGGATCCGTCCGTACGACAACATGCATGGCATCCTGCCGTACAGCTCAGCTACCTCCTCTACCTCCGCCAGCCCGCTACGCACGTGTATACACACCGAGAAGACAGCAGCTAGGCACGCGGAACACCTCGCAAGCACTATTAAGAAGATTAACATTATCAAGGACAGTCAAAGAAACAAATTTGTAACCGTCTGGGTTATCTCCGCTCGCCTTACTCTTAGCGGACTACTCTAGCGGAGCAGTTCTTATTATTTCCCAAGACCTGGGGAGGTCCGCGACGTCCAAGAATGATGTTCTGGGGAAACCCTGAATACGAGCATACGAGAGACGACTGAGACGCAAAGGCAGTAGTAAGGGGTGACAATCAGGGTCCGCGGGGGTTATGGGTTCAAGCAGGAAGCATGCAAACGGCCCGGCCTCCGAAACCACGTCTCTTAAGCTCATATGTCTGCTCACACCGCTAAAAAGATACCGCGTGCCGTCCGTACTAGTGCATGTGAAAGGTGTGTTAGTAAACAGCAGCAGCCATGCTCACATCACCTCCAACGACCTGTCACTTATCAACATGCACGCCACCGGACTGCTCTCCCTATTTGCCCATTGTCCATGCATGCTCGGTTTTAGCTGCCGTACTAGTCGGAAAGGGGTTAACGCGGCAATGGATAACAGCAAAGTCCGTCTAATCCAACCAAACACACACACACACACTTCACCTTCCGACATCCCAGTACGTTCCGCCTCGCGGCCAGTTTTCTTAACACGCGCTCCTAGCCAAAACGCAGCACTGCCCCCCCGCATCATCCCCACCACCACCACCATCCCTACCGCTTGCACCCCTCCGCCGCATCCTCACACCACACCCGGATGCTGTCATCCGCCGCCCCAGTCACCAGCGCACACGTCCCCCCTTCCCCTCCTCCTCCTCCTCCCCCTCCTCCCCCGCTCCCCCCGCCCTTTACCCCTCCCGCCCCCGGCACCCACGCCACGCTATACACAGGCCCCGCGTGCCCGTACAGCGTGGCAGCGCACTTGCGGGTGGTGAGGTCCCACACACGCACCGTCTCGTCTGTGGAAGCACTCGCCAGCCGAGTCGGCAGGTTGCCGCTTCGCCGCCGCTCTCCCTTCCCAGCACCGGCAGCACTCGCACCCGCACTAGCAGCAGCACCAGCACCTGCTGCAAAAGTAGCCGGAGCACTTCCGTTACCACTACTCCTAGCACCGCCACCGGTATTGTTGCTGCTGCTGCTGTTCCGTTCCGACTCCTTAGCAGCGCCTCCTCCTCCTCCACCCCCACCCCCACCCCCACCCCCACCACCAGCACCCCCCGCCCCCGCCGGTACCGGTGCAAACGCCACCCAATTCACATTCTGCGTGTGCCCCCGCAACACAGCCAGGCACTTCCCGCTCGAGTGCTGCCACAGCCTGACCGACATGTCACAACCCGCGGACGCAAGCATCCGCCCACACCGAGTGTAAGTCAGGTGGTTCACGTAGTGCTCGTGTCCATGCAACGTGCGCAGCAGCTTCCGCCCCGCTACGTCCCAAACCCGAATGGTGGTGTCCTGCGAAGCCGAGGAAACCGTACGGCCGCCGTCATGCGGGCTGTAAGCCACGCACGTCACATAGTTGCCATGCCCCCACAGCGTGGCACTGCAACTGCCGGAAACCGCATCCCACAGGCGTACATGGTTGTCCTCCGCGCCTGAAGCCAGCTGCCCCCCTCCCGCGGGGCTCCACGCAACGCTGCGAATGCGGTCCGTGTGCCCGGTCAGGGTGGCGGTACACGTCACCTTCACCTGCCGACCACCGCCGCCGCCGCCGGAGGCGGCGGCGGCTCCACCACCACCACCGTTACCACCATCACCACCACCGATGGCATTCGGACCCACGTTTAGCTGGCCGCTGTGCCCCGCGGCCTTCAAATCCACCTCCCACACCCGCAACGTAAGGTCATGCGAGGCGGATGCCAGTCGCGGCCAGCCGCTTCCCGCAGGCGCCCAAGCCACGCAGGTCACGCAGGCGGAGTGCCCCTCCAGGGTTGCCAACCACTGTACGGAAGCTGCGTCGTACAGCCGTACGGTTTTGTCTTCGGAGGCGGTAGCGAGGAGGGAACCGTCGGGACTGAGCGCGACGCATGTCACGTCTGCGGTGTGTGCTGGAGATGATGAAGTCGCGGCTGCAGTTCCCGTTGCCGTTGTCCCATCCAATCCTGCTGCTGCTGCTGTTGTGGTTGTTGCAGAGTTGTTAATGGCACCGGTGCTAACACAGTTGGCGGCTGCTGCATGTTGCGCCTCGCATGCCGCCACATCCCAGATCCGCAGCTCCTTGCCCTCGCTGCCCGAAGCTAGCGTGCGGCCGTCCGGGGAGAAGGCAGCCGCGGTGACCCACTCCGTTTGACGCAACAGAGCGGAGCAGCGGAAGCCCGAGGAGGAGGAGGAGGAGGAGGAGGAGAGGCTCCAGAGTCGCAATGTTTGGTCGGGGGAGACGGAGGCGAGGCGGCGGCCGTCGGGGCTCCAGCTGATGCAGCGGACCAGCTCGGTGTGGCCTGGGAGGGGTGGGTGCGTGGGGGTGTTAGGGTGGAGGGGGCGTTCGGGAGGAGGGGGTGGGTTATAAGACAGCTGCGGCAGCAGGGACGCGCTCCCTCAACCTTGTCCCCAAGCCTTGTATCCTCCATGCTTCCTTTCCAGCCGCCTCCCAGCCCATCGCAGCCCATCCCAGCCCTCCCCTCCCCACGCACCTGCCAGCGTGGCAATGCACTTGTTGCTGCGCGTGTCCCACAGCTTCACCACCTGAGGGTGCGGGTGAGCGGGTGAGGGTGTGTTTGACACGCACACCATGAGAGTACATGGGACACCACAACTCCCCCCTTCCCTCCCCTCCCGCTACCCCTTCCCACTGCCCGCTTGTCAGCTACATGTACCACTATCACAATACACATTGGAATTTCTTTTTTTTTTCCTTCCCCCCTCCCCTTCTCTCGCCTCCCCCCTCCCCGGCCCTCACCTTATCCCACCCGCAGCTCGCCAGCCGCCTGCCTCCCTCCACCGGACACCAAGCCACCCCCAACACATTGGCGCTGTGCCCAGCTAGCGTCGCCACCACCTTACTACTCCCCCCTCCACCTCCCCCACCTCCTCCTCCTCCGAGCCCCACCACCGCCCAAACCACCACGCAATGCCCCTGCGCCCCCGCCACCCGCTTCCCCGCCGGGCACCAAGCCACCCCCTGCAACCCCCCCTCCTTCCCGCCCTGCAACACCGCCGTACACACAAACCCACCGCTGCCTATTCCCTCCTCATCCTCCGCCCCCCTGCCGCCCCCTGCCCCCCCCCCTTCTCCGGCCCCAAACCCGGTGTGATGCGAGGCGTAGGGACTGCTGCTGGCAGTCTGAAGCGACGCATGCGAGTCAACCGTCCCCCCTCCACCTCCACCTCCTCCCCGCAGGCGCTGAAAGCTGGAGGCGACGTTTAGTGCTGCTCTTGAAGCACCCGGGGTGCCCGGCTGCCCTCCTCCTCCTCCTCCTCCTCCTCCTCCCACTCCCCCTCCTCCCACTCCTCCCGGCAGCCCCCCGACCCAGATGCGCAGTGTGTTGTCGGAGGAGCTGGTCACCAGCCTCAGCGGGGGAGCTCCCCGCAGCGGGGGGGAGAAGGACAGCCCCGTCACGCCGCCCGTGTGGCCCAGCAGCAGGCCGGTGCACTGACCCGTGGCAGCGTCCCACAGCCTGAGGGGGGGGGCAGGGGAGGGGGAAGAGGGGGAGGGGAGGGGTGGGAGATGGAAGGAGGAAGCGGGGGAAGGGGGGAGATGGGTGGGTTGCTGAGGGCAAAGGTAGGGGTAAAGCCAAGTTAGCCGCGGTAAGGGTCCCTGATCGATCCCACTGGCGCCACTGGTGACCGGCAATAATGCACACGGGTGCCCTGCCCTGCCCTGCCCTGCCCTGCCCTGCCCTGCCCTGCCCTGCCCTGCCCTGCCCTGCCCTGCCCTGCCCTGCCCTGCCCTGCCCTGCCCTGCCCTGCCCTGCCCTGCCCTGCCCTGCCCTGCCCTGCCCTGCCCTGCCCTGCCCTGCCCTGCCCTGCCCTGCCCTGCCCTGCCCTGCCCTGCCCTGCCCTGCCTGCCCTGCCCTGCCCTGCCCTGCCCTGCCCTGCCCTGCCCTGCCCTGCCCTGCCCTGCCCTGCCCTGCCCTGCCCTGCCCTGCCCTGCCCTGCCCTGCCCTGCCCTGCCCTGCCCTGCCCTGCCCTGCCCTGCCCTGCCCTGCCCTGCCCTGCCCTGCCCTGCCCTGCCCTGCCCTGCCCTGCCCTGCCCTGCCCTGCCCTGCCCTGCCCTGCCCTGCCCTGCCCTGCCCTGCCCTGCCCTGCCCTGCGGTTTCATACGGCTTGGTCGAGTTTGACCCCCCCCCCCCTCACCACCACCCCCCCGCACCTGCAAGTCATGTCGGAGCTGCCGCTTGCAATGAGGGTGCCGTCGGGGCTCATGGCGAGGCAGGTCACATCCGCGGTGTGACCCTGGGGGGGAGGGGAGGGAGGGAGGGAGGGCGGGCGGGCGGGAGGGAGGGAGGGCGGGAGGGAGGGAGGGAGTGGAAGCGTGTGAGCTATCGCCCATGATGATGGTGCGGGGGAAAGAGAAAGTACGAACTACGGGTGAGCTACGGTGGGGTAGTGTGCCCATCTGCCCCCCCCGTTATCATTACCACCACCACCACAACCCTGCCAACCCCCTCCCATCCTTCATGATCTCCTTCTTCTTATTCTTCTTTTCTTACTGCAACATGCTTAGCCCCTCTACCTCCTCATCCCCCCTCGCACCCCCAACCCCCCCTTCCCCCCGCACCTGCAGCACTGCCCCGCAGCTCCCCGTGCTGATGTCCCACACCCTCAGCTCGCACCCCCCGCCACTGCTCGACACCAGCTGCCGCCCATCCGGACTGAACAACACCGCCGTCACGCCGCCCGCATGTCCCTTCAACACCGCCAAGTCCGCAGGCCACACCTCATAGGGGGGCACCGACCCGCGGGTCATCCACCCGCCACCCGACTGCCTGCTCGCATTTAACGCCGCCTTGTACAGCTCGGTACGAGTGGGGCTCATGAGTGCCGTACCAACCACCGTTTCGAGAGTTGGGCTGGCTGCAATGTCATGCTGCTTGGCACGTAGCCAGCGTAGCACGTCGCGGGAAAGACGGGTTGCATGGGACATGAAGCCCAGGGCGCGGATTATGTGCGCTCCGAAACCTGCTGCGAAGGCGGCTTGTACGAATGCAAAACCCGCGAGCACGTCGTCTAGGAGTGGCGAGGCGGGGGGTCCGGCTGAGGCGAGGTGGGCGACGAGGTATTTGAGGCAGTAGGGGGAGGGGGAGGAGAGGCGGGTGGAGGCCAGGTAGCGACCCAGCATCAGGTGGCCCTGTTGGGGGGAGAGGGAGGGGAGGGGGGGAAGGGGAGGGAGGGAGATAAGGTTTGAACTTGTGCCTCTTAATGGACGCCGCAGGGCGCACCACATGCAGGTGGCAGACGGCGTGTGGGCCCCATACACCCACCCATGCGTGCATGCAGCAGACCCCACTAACCACCCACCCACCAATGGTGGAGCCTCGTCACATACAGCACATCACTTTCTTCCTCCTTACCCCCCACCCCAACCCCCACCCCCTGCCCTCCCACCCCCTGGACTCCCTACCCCCTGCCCTCACCTTGCACAGGTCAAGGGAGAAGCAGCTGCGGGGTTGCGCAGGGTTAGCAGCAGCAGCAGCCTCCGCAGCCCTCACCACCTCCCTGCCAGCACCTCCACCTCCTCCTCCTGTTCCTCCCCCATGGAAGCGAGAGAAGATGCTGCGCCCTCCGCCCCCGCTGGGAGTAGACGGACGCTGATCGTGTGTGTATTGCAACCCCGCACCCCCCGCAGGGGCGTGTGTGGCTGCCCCTCCACCAACCCCTTGTGCAGCCGCAGGAGCTGCCGATGATGAGGAGGCAGCAGCAGCAGCAGCGGCGCTCCCTGACCCGGTCGCCGCATCCAGCAACAACCAATCCGCCAGGCTCTTATGCAACGTAAACAGGTGATGCTCGTCCACGTAAAACAACACACCCCACCCGGGCAGTAGCCCCACCGCTCCACCAAGCCCCAGAGCAGCCACCAAGGACTGCGGCAAGGGCTCCTGCGCCGCCAACAGCACCTCCAGCAGCCGGCAGACCGCGGATCGCTCGGAGGATGAGTAGGTGTCGTACGCGCGACGAAACACTTTGCCGTACACTTCGTGTAGCGCGGCGAGATCCGGTGCATGGGGTTGGGGTTGGGAGGGGTAGTTGCCGGAAGCGGAGGCGAAGGCGGCGGCTGCGGCGGCGGTGTTTAGGATTTTGCGGAGGGAGGGATAGCCGCCCGTGACGAGGGCGAGGAGGCGGGTGGTGCCGCGGACGGGGGAGAAGGGGGAAGCGTGGGCAGTGCCGTTTGTGGTGGCGCGGGCGGGGGAGGAGGGACGAGCACGAGGGGTGGTGGGCGGGGTTGCTGCTGATGCCGCTGTGAATGCTGCAGCTGCTGTGGCAGCAATGGTGGGAGCAGCTGCAGGTGGGGCGGTTTCTGTAGCTCCTCCTCCTCCTGCGGCTGCTGCTGGCGCTGTATGTCCTCCTCCTCCTTCTCCTGCCGCAGGCCCCTCCGTAGCAGCAGCCCCATCCGCCTTGCCCTCCTCTCCTTCCTCCTTCTCCTCCTCCTCACCCTCTCCCAGGCATGCCTTCATCACCGTCAAATACACCAGCACGCCTCCTCCTCCTCCTCCACCTCCATTACCCCCACCCCCTTCCCCTCCCCCTCCTCCTCCTCCTCCTCGCACCAACTGAGAGGGCCGCAGGTATACCGCCCCGCCCTGCTCCCGAAACGTCCTGTCCAGGCATGCAACCACCCGCCCCCCCGCCGCGTCGGGCCGGGTGGTCAGAAAGAACCGCACACGCCGGGGGGGCAGCCGCTGCAGGTGGTGTGCTAGCAGCTGGAGGGCACGGTTCCCGCAGAGGACGGGGTAGCGGGGCTGGGATGAGGCGGGGGAGGCGGGGGATGAAGGAGAGGAGGAGGAGGAGGAGGTGGAGGAGGAAAGGGAGGGGGCTGGGTCGGCTTCGTCTAGCGCGTCGAGGATGATGAGCTGTGAGGGGAGTGGGGTGGCGGGGGGAGGGGGAGAGGGGGAGGGAAGGGAGGAAGGGTGGGTTGAGGGAAGACGAGGAAGAGGGCGCATACCAAGCAAAAGGCACAACAGCATTAAAACGCGGTATGGGTCTCTTAGGGTCGGAGTGCGACCCACCTCTTTCCTTCAGTCCCTCACGTCCCCACCAACCCCGCACTCCCTAGCCCTCCCCCGCACCCAACTCACCACCTGCTGCCCCCCCTCCTCCCCTGCCGCCTCCGCCGCCATCATCGGCCGCAGCAGCAGCTCCTCGAACGCCCGGCCCACCTGGTGGTGTGGTGGTTTCAGCAACGGTAAGGTAAGCCAAGTTTCCCACGTATGAGCGACCCGCTACCTCTACACCTCTACCAGGAACCTTATCACAGTCATCAAGCGGTACGTCGCTAGTTCATTATCCACCAAAGCATGTCACGTTCTGTCTGTCAAACGTTCCCGGGGCCCCCCCAACCCTCCTTATTTCTACCCCGCCCCCACCTCCCCCCCCACCTCCGTCCCCGCCCCACCTCCGTCATCTGCGCCACCGCCGCCACATCACACTCCAGCAGGCAGGCGCACACGGAGGGGAGCCTGGGGGGGGGTGGGGGGGTGGGGGGAGTGGGCGAAGGGCCAGGTGATGGAGGCATGGGAAGCCTGCATGGTGGGACATGGATACATGATTGGCTCCTCTGCCTGCCAGCCTCCTCCTCATCATCATCATCATCTGCCTGCCCTCCTCCTCTTCTCCACCTCCTCCTCTGCCCATCTGCCTGCCCACCTGGACGCCAGCTGGAATGCCAGGCTCTTCACGATGCGCACCGGCTCCAGCCGCCGCTGGTCGTTGTACTTTAGGAAGTGGTAGGCGGACACCACACCGCCAGAGGCAGAGGCAGCAGCAGTGGAGGCAGAGGCAGCAGAGGTGGGGGAGGAGATGGTGGTGGGGGTGGAGGTGGAGGCGGTGTTGGGATTAGCGGGGTTGGGGGTGGCGGCTGCGTCTTCCCCGGAAGCGGGAGAGGAGGTTGACGGAGGTGGTGGGGGTGGGGGTGTGAGGCGGCGGATGAGCTCAGCCGAGATGGTGCTCTTGCCCTCGCCCGCTCCTGGGGGGGGGAGAAGGGAAGGGGGGAGGATTGTTGAGGGAGGGAGGAGGGGTCGAGAGGGTCGGGGAGGTGGTACGGGGTGACATGCATGCATGCACGACAATAACAACAACCCTGCTTATTGGTATTGTGGGCTAGGTGCTGCTGCTGCTGCCCCGGCTCGCGCAGCCCTCTCTTCATCCCCACTCCCTGGCTACCCTCACCTCCCTCTCCTCCCCCCATCCCCCCCCCCATCCCCCTCACACTCACCCGACACCACACACAGCGCCCGACTGCCTCCCCCTCCTCCTCCTCCCGCCACTCCTCCCCCCTGCATCCACTCCTCCACCGGCCCCCACTGCCACTCCGTGTCCCGGCTCCGCTGCTGCAGCCGCCGCAGGTCCACTCGGTAGCTCAGCGGCTCCAGCAGCAGCTGCAGCTTCAGCTTGGAGTTGAAGGCGGCGGAGGAGCCGTGCTGCCGCCGAACCTGGAGGAGGGGGGAGGGGGGTAAGGGGAGGGTATGGGGCCGGGGTAAGGAGATCCGGTATACTACGGCCAGGGTCAGTGTTTCCGCGGCTCAGGTTACCTAATCCTCCCCCTCTCTTCCCCCCGTTTCCTGACCTCCCGCATGATCATCTCCTTGTCCGCCGCTCGGAAGCACTCCGCCCGCTCCACATCCAGGTCGCGGAACACCGCCGCCCGCTCCAGGGGCGCCAGCTGCATGTGCAGCCCGTCGGGGCCGTGGGCAGCAAGGGTGTGAGCCCACTCGAAGATGCACCAGGCGCGGGTGGAGGGGTTGCAACTGGGGGGGGGCGGGGAGGGAGGTGGGCGGGGAGGTGGGCGGGGAGGGTGGGTGGCGGGGTGGCGGGGGCGACTGGCCAGAAGAAGCGGCTTCACCATGAGGCACCTTGCTGCCCACTCCTGGAATGACTTCCGATGCCTTCCTACGGCCACGGTCAGTGTTTCCTTGCGGCTCACTTTACCTAATCCCCCTCCCCTTTCCTATGGTTCGGTATGGTCTTTTCCCCCTCCCCCCCTACCGCGCCTCGTCATCCAGTTCGTCAGTTTTCCTTATCTTTACCCCCTCCCTACCGTGTGAGGTCCATCACCACCAGGGTGCCCCCGCTGCACGCCGCCACCACATCCGCAAAGGCGGCAATGTCGTGGCGGTGTGGCGGCATGTCCTCGTGCTGGCATACCGCCAGCACGTCCAGCCACACGCGCGTGCACTCGTCGGCGGAGGACAGGAAGTCAAACACCTGGGGCGCAGGAGGAGCAGGAGGAGAGGGGAGAGAGGGGAGAAAAAGAAGAATTCCCAATGCGTTGAAGAAGAGGGAAGAGGGAGGGGAGAGAGACGGGGAAGGGGAGCGGGAGGGGAGAGGGACAGGGTGAGGGAAGAGGAAGGGGGCTGCTGGTTCCACTGCATGCACGCGATCTGGGTGGATGGGGTGGGGGGCTGGCTCCGTACTCGCCTGCCCCTTGCCCGGCGTGTACAGACGCCGCTGTGTCAACCCCGGGTCCCTCCCGCCTCTTCCCCCACCCCCGCCTATGGTTTGGTATGGTCTTTTACACCCCCCCCCCCACCTTGCGGAACAGCAGCTCGATGCTGTTGGACCAGGCGTGCGAAATGAAGTACTGAGGCACTCCAACATCCTCCCCCTCCCCGCCTGCTCCTCCTCCTCCTGCTCCCGCCCCTCCTGCTCCGGAACCACCTCCTGCGTGAGTCAGCAGCCCGGGTACTTCCACAAGCCTGCACTTCCCAGCCGCCGCAGTTATGGGTTTGACCCATTTGGAGCAGACGTCAGCGGTGGTGACGCTCGGGTAGCGCTTCTCGCCAAAGTGTTTTCGGAGGGCCTCGCGAACTTTGCGCAGTCCGCGAAGGGAGATGCCTTTGGTGACTGTGGCTAGATGGGGTGGCCAGGAGACTTGAGGAGCGTCTGGAAGAAAGGTAGGGATGGAGAAAGGTAGGGATGGAGAAAGAAAGGGAGGGAGAGCTTGGACTGGGGGTGGAAGAGGTCGCAAAGGAAGGGAGCGAAGGGTTGCCGACAATTCGAAGGGATGTTAGCCCTGGTCAACTTCCCACAAGGTCGTCGGCGGTTGGAGGTGCATATATGCATCACCGGAAAGCCCTTAGAAGACTCGTGAAATATATAGTTGGCCTGGAAGGCCGCGCCGTTGCTTGTATACAGCCTCTTCAACTTACCATCTAACACGAGTTTCTGCTTTCTTCCAGCTGGTATTGGCGACGGTGGTGCCGATATTGGTTCAGGTACCCAATTCTCAAGCTTGGGTAGCTTGTTATTAGCGAGAAGTTGGTCTGGCCCAGGTATAACCTTGATGTTGCCTGAGGCATCATCCTTTTCGTCCGGTGCTGGTGCGACCTGAACACTTCGTGACGTTGAACACCCTGCACCCATTCCTAAATAGACTTTCCGCTACTGTAAACCTTGTAGTTCCCAACAAAGCTCTGTCGCGTCTGTCATTATGACCTTGCTGTTTCGGCAAAACAAAGTAAACGTTCCGCAAAGTTAAGTTATGGCGTTCCCGATGGTAAAATTGGTTAGCCCTTGGGGCCCTTGCTACGGGAATGCTCCAAAAACCACGGCTGTCGTCTCCGTACAACTGGCAGACGAACCGTTTTGCTTCCGCAAACACCTTATCAAGTAACGTAAGCAGACATCTATATATAGTGTTAATGAACCAACATATTCCAATATTAACCGCTGACCATGGCGGACTGTTGCATTGGAGCTCAAAGCCCTGACTTTACGTGAACACGTTGCAGCAAGCATACCTGTCCTGACGCCCCGGTGTGGTACTTCATGGAGACACATACTGTGAAACCTAATCAAAGGGGTTGCAAACTGTGGCAACTGCTAGGTAACATAAGCGATCCCCTTATGAGATACCATAAAGGCTAAGCATGGTGCTGCCACGCCGCTTGTCCTCACGCCATGTGTAACGCCGGAACCTTAGCTGGGTTGGCGTGCGCTGTGCGGCACGCCGGTACACAGATGTGTCCTTTGCTTAATGGGACAGCCATTGAGGGATTCTTTTGAGGGTTGGCTTGGACTCGAAGCCAGTGCTAGAAGCATCGGTTCTAACAGGAGGAAATGCAAGGAGTGGCGCGAGGGTGCACAAGTGCAGGAGGACATGAACGTCGGCTGTGGGCACCCCATAGCACGGGTAGCCTCAAGGGGTAACCATGCAACGCGATGCCCTTGCACCGTTCCTGGCGCATCCGTCACATGCAAGCAGCAACGGTCTTGTCGTGTACGGGTAGCACATACGGCAGGTACAGGGTCCAGGCCGAAGGGTTGGGCTTACTGTTTACAGGTACGCCGCCGAACGCATAGCAATCAAGTGACTAGCGCTGAAAAATTGTTCCTGTGGTCCCTGATTCCCCTTCGTAGTAATAGGCCTCCGTGGCATCCTGGTGACCTGGTCTGCAGAGATCGGGAGCTCTGCACCACAACGATGTTTCTCAATACCGGCCCGTGGGTCCATATGCCTGAATAGCGTGCTCTAGGAGTGAGGAAAGACCGTCAGCCTTTCAAGATGGCAAGAAGCTCCGCAACAATCGGTAACTTGGTATGGCTGGGCGCGAGTTCACACACAGCGCTCGGATGGAAGAGGGCCCCATTGTAGGAGCATTAGAGCAACGTGCTCAGCCCGACCTAGGCTTGAAAAACCTTCCTGCCTAACCATAGGAATGAGACCAAGGTTTCAGAAAGAAAAGCGCCGACAACGCAGCGTGGTTATGCTCTCACTATCTCTAGGCATTACGGTATCCTCAGCAACCATTAAAAGGAAATATGAAATACCCTAAGCTATTTTGTCAGCAAAATGTCAAATACAAAGGGAAGCACTTGGCTAAAATAGCGACAGACTATTTGTACGGCAGTTTCGCCCTGCGTCCGGTCCCCTTTTGTGCCCACGCGCTCCCAAATAATCCTCTTTCAACCAGCGGCAAACTGTGTCGCACCCTGGGAAGGTGAGCCTGCTTCGGTTCGCGCACTTAGGCGCCCCTATGGGAAATGCGGCGGTGGAATACTTGCCATACCTTTCATACAACTTTTAATGAGTCTAACAGCATGCAGCTACTTAGCCAGCTTAGGCGCATTTCATGGTTTGGCCGTCGTCCGTTAGGGGCGGCTGCACTTGCGTTAGCCAGACTTCCGCAGCTGGTGTAGCCTCTGGGTCTAGAGAGTTATGGGGTATAATCTGGTGTCTTGGAGCTCAGTAGCAAGCACCGATTGCGGAGAGTCAGCTCCTTGCCGCTGCGGCGCGATGTGGCGTGTCACCGCGAATACTGGAACTCCGACCTTGCTAGCACACTCTGAGCCAGGTTCGTATGTACGTATGTCCGCAGGGCCAGCAAAAATGGTGCAGCCTCTTAAGAAGGTCAAGATTGTGAAGAAGCGCACTAAGCACTTCGACCGGCACCAAAGCGACCGGAAGGACTCGATCAAGTCCTCATGGCGCAAGCCCAAGGGTATCGATAACCGCGTGCGCCGCAGGTACGGGGGTGCCAGGGGAACTTGGGGGTTAGGGATGGGAAGGATCGGGATGGAACTAATACCTCCCCGTGCGGATGCACTATTCGTGTCCACAGCTATTGTACCACACCACGATTACCACTGGTTGCTCAGCATGTCATGGCAAAGCCGTGTGTGGGATTCTCCCCGGATCACTCCTGGGTTCACTCCCCCTCCTCTGACTGGCCTCGCTGCCTGGTTCTTGTTCCCCGCTGCATGCAGGTTCAAGGGCGCCCTGCCGATGCCCAACATCGGCTACGGGTCGAACAAGAAGACCCGCCACATGCTCCCCAACGGCTTCCTGAAGTACACCGTCAACAACGTGCAGGACCTGGAGCTGCTCATGATGCACAACAGGTGGGGGAGCGGGCTGGGCAAAAGGGGTTGCGGCAGCGCAGGGGTCGGTAAGGAAGAGGAAGCCAGCTAGGGGCAGGAGGCAGCAAATCAGAAATTGTTGGTAGAGAACATACGGGGTTCAGGCTCGTGGGTAACGACAACAGCTCTGGGCTATGTCGGCAGCCCACAGCTGGATACCACCTTGAAATCTGGGTCGCAAGTGGCGTGTGCTGTCGAGCGAATATATGCTTCTGAAGCCATGTCGGCATTCAACCCCCGCTCTCCTTTTCTTCCCCTATTGCTACCACAGGCGCTTCTGCGCCGAGATTGCGCACAACGTGGCCGTGCTCAAGCGCAAGGCCATTGTCGAGCGCGCTGCCCAGCTGAACATCCGCGTCATCAACGGCAGCGCCCGCCTGCGCAGCCAGGAGGACGAGTAAGCGGCTGCTGCTGGATTGGGTGCGGAGCGCTGCGGCTGCTGCTGCTGAGGACGAGGTGGTGGGGCTGCTGCTGCGGCCCTGCAGGCGGCGGCTCTCCAGCGGCCTTGAAGCAGCAGCAGTTCGCCGCATTCGCTGGCATGTAACTTTCGAGTGGAACCCATGTATCCGTCCCAGTTTCTACATCTAAGGCGTCAGTTGCTGCTCATGGCGAATGTACTTAAAGTCAGCTGCTAGGTCTGGACCATGTAAATCTGTCCATGAAACCCTACCCGATCCTCTCAGTACTCAAGTTTCGCACAGTGCCATCAGTCGCGAATGTCTTAGCCCCGCATTCCCAGCGTTAGCAAGCCAGTTGTCTGCCCGGGGCCCCCTTTCCTGCATTCCTTTCAACTCGTTAGGGTGAACTGGCATGCGTAGCCTATAGAAGAGACTTTACCCTAACACATGAAAGGGGAGCATTCGCTACATAGCTGCGACGTGGACTTGCGGTGCCACGGAATGGTGAGTTGACGTGTGGGGTCTCATGTGTATGGCCTGCGACGTCAGCCCCCCAGGTAAAGGAAGAACACGCACGCTAAGGTTTTATAGCCCCGAAGTTTGGAAGCCTGCATGCACAAACCCAAATTGATATGTTGTATGGGCTTGGTCCTTCAGGCAGTGTGACGTCGTCATAGGCATGGGGCAGGGAGGTACGCTGGAGGTAGGGGCTCTTCCGCGAAAGTTGGCGGGACTCAGACTGTTAACACGTAGATCTAATCTCCATATGGAGAGCCCATATACATACTATTATGGTAGGTATGGGTGGTATGACAAAATGTGAGCTGAAAGCATGCTCCAGAGTATCGTACGGTGGTTCTTGTAAGCAATCGAATGGGTTCTTTTTATCCCTCTTTCAAAGAACCTTCTTCATGTTAAGTACACACATAACCAGCAAACTATATTGAAGTATACCCAGCTGCTTTCTGATGCGACGAGCGTGAGCAACCACCATCCATTGCAAGCGACGATACTCTGTAGACCACGAAGATGTTAACCACGCAATCTCTTAGGCGAACAAATTATGAGTCTGATATGACTCAACCGCAAATACCGCCCGCGGGCATCACCTCTGTTTTCGATGGGGGTGCGAAAGACGCGGTCACTTGGGAACGTGGACAACGACCTGTAACACCTGAAACCATTAAGAAATATAGGCAGAGCGTGGTTCATGAGCCGGGAAAAATCATCCGGCACCCAGGAGTTGCAGAGGACCCAATTCCTCCAGGGCCGTATGGAGTGAAGACAGCGGCCCCACCAGGACAAAATGTCACCGAGGTGATAAAAAACTACCCGGATTCCGAGCTAGCGCGATGGAAGCTGGAGCAAGCTGAGAACATTTACGCAAGGTACGTCGAACCTAACCTCCCTGGCTAGCATCCATGTTGCCAACGCTGTGCTGGCCTTAGGACACGCTATCATCCATTCTTCCATTCGGCCCTGCAGCTCGCAACGGGAACCTCTAGGGCGTGGCTACGTCCGGGGTCACAGAATCCCTGGGGCCCTTGGAACCGAGCGGCCCTTTGGGATTGCGTATGACTCGCGGGTAAGCTATGGGGTGAGGGATGGAGCGTGTTCTCTCCTGGGAGGTATCGTTGAAACCGCTGTGGCGCATGCGCCTTCTAGCTCATGCGTTGGGGCGCACCAGGCCGCACACTAGGCTGTGGCACACGCACGCCTCGCCCCAATCTTCACCCCCCATGCCCCCCCTGCTCATACACACACGCACGCACGCACACAGGGCAAGGAGCTGGCCCGCCAGGCCGCCACCGTCATCTTCCCCACCGACCGCCCCGCCGAGGAGGACCCCGCCACCCGCTCGCAGTACGTGCGCAGCCACGGAGACTACCTGCCAGGTGAGGCCGCTGGCCGCCGCTGCTGCTGCCGCTGCCCACCAGCTGGCTGCCACCGGTACCTGACGACACGTCGGGCTTGCTGGGGGCCATTTCAAAAAGATCGCCATGGGAGGGTTGCGACCTTGCGACCGGGCAGCAGCATGTCGCTGAGTCGTTGCACGTTGCATAGCATCTTGCATGAGCGCATGGCTCCAGCAGAGCCCTACTGGTGAGATGCGATCTGTGCCCTATCTCGCGGGGCTGCCCTCCCTGCCACCTTCTACCTTCCCCCTACCGGCACCCGCACGCACTGACCCACATCTCCCTCCCTCCCTGCCTCCCTCCCCGCTGCCCCTCTCCCTTCCCTCTCTCCCCCCAGGCGAGCAGCGGCGGCGCAACTACGACTGGGGCACTGCGGGGGTGGACCCGGTGTCGCACCGCTTCGGTGCGGTGGACAAGGACCCGGAGCGGGAGGGCGTGCGGCGGGCGCTGCAGACCACACTGGATCCAGCGCTGCAGGTGGGTTTGGCGGTGCGGGGAGGGGGGAAAATAAATGGAAATGGAGCAACGGAGCCCCAATCCGCGGGGCGGGGGGCGGGAAGGGGTAAAAGAAGAAGAAGGGGCCAAGCAGGGGAGGAGACGGCGCTGCACGTTCGGGCGGGGAGGACAGGGAGCGGGGGGCAGAGGCCATGGCAGGAAAGCCCTAGCTAGGCGCTGATGATAGCGATGATGGTGGTGGTGGAGGTGGTGGTGGTGGTGGTGATGGGATGCAGGATGTCCGGGGACGGCACATGGGGCCATGTGGGTCGCGCCATTGAGCGCCCCCCCTTGTACCCATGCATGCATGACCAACAAATAAGGGGTCATGGTTGCCCCTCAGTATGCAACGGCATGAATTCCCTCACCCGTGCGCTGCACTCGCTCCGTCCATTACCGGGCCTCAACATGGCCGCTTCGCTCTCTCGCATCCCACCCACCCCACCCCACCCCATGGTAAAGCCTCGTTATACAGCTTGTCAGTCTCTTCTTTTTACCCCACCCAACCCGCCCGTGCTCCCCTCCGGTCCCCCCTCCCAGCCCCCCAAGATCCTCCCCAAGCTGCACGAGGACTACAAGGCCACCTCCTCCGACTACCTGGGGCGACCCAAGCAGCTGGGCACCGGCGACCGACCCAGCCTGGCGCCCGGCCACACCTTTGGGGTGCCCTCCATGCGCAAGGGGCGGGAACCGGGTGAGGAGGCGCGGAGGCGTGGGGCGAGGAGGGCGTCTCTAGTGACACTGACAGACAGCAGCACCGGTAGTTTGTTACGCAGAGTTATACCGCCCTGCCCTGTTCCTGTTCTCCCTTAAAACCCCCCCTCCGGGCAGCCTGAGGCCGCCTCCTGTCCCCACTGCTTTGCACCAGGGATTGTCAGCAACTTGTATCATTATCACACCACACTTTGGAATTTCTTTTTTGCCCCCACTTCTTTGCATCCTGACCTGTAGTTTCCTATGATCTACTGGTATGTGGTCTTTGACGCCCCTCCTGGGCCCTCCCCTCTTCTCGCCTGCAGGTGTGGGCGAGCTGATGACGGGATACTACGGTCGTGGGGAGCAGGACCCGGACGCGGACCTGGGCAAGAGCCTGCGGGAGGGCTTCAGGTGGGGGGGGAGGGATGGAAGACCCTGCCGGTCAGCTGGTGCCTGATTCCAGCGCCCTCTTCCTCCTTGCCGTCCCTGCCGTCCCTGCCCCTACCCACTACTCCGCTTCACCTTCTTCCACCCCTATCACTTCACCCATCACGCCTAAATTCCCGCCCTTATTACACCCCCCCTTCCCTCCAACCCACATCATCTTTCCCGCCCCTTTTACTATCCCCCCCAACGCCAACGCAGGAACAAGACCAAGTCCGGCGACGAGACCCGCGTGTTCGGCGTGCCCACCATCCGCACCGACATGGTCCGCCTGCCCAAGCTGCGCTCCGTGGCCGACCCGCAGAACTACGGCAACGAGCCGGACGCGGGGCAGGTGCTGCGGCCGCCGCTGGCTGCGGACCTGGGCATCTCGGATGAGCAGTTCGTGGCGCTACGGTGAGGAGGAGGAGGTGGAGGTGGTGGTGGTGGTGGTGGTGGTGGTGGTGGACGGAGGAGGGGAGGGTGAATTGGAGTGGGGTGGGGGACATGGGTTGGGTCCGGGATCCGGGTTGGGGGAGCTGCATGGTCACCCAACTTCCTTGTGATACGTACCGGTATCTTTTCCACCCGCAGCTTAACATGCTGGTCTTACGTATCTTCTGCTTCCCCTGCTCCCCCCGCCCGCGCCCACAGTCCCAAAGAGGAGATCCGGCAGCTGGTGGACGACGCCGGCGTCAACATGTCGGAGGAGGAGTTCGACGCCGCATGGGCGCTGGCGGCGGATGCGGATGGCGCGGGCATCGCGGCCGCAGCTGCCACCACCAGCGACGGCAAGCCACGAGCATGCATTGACACCTTCTTCCGCGCGCGACACCACCTGCTCGCGCAGACGTTGCAGATTGCGCCGCCCTTTTAGAGAAGAGGCTGCTGCTGGCACTGCTGAGCTGCAGGGGAAGAGGCGTTTACGTGTGTGGCAGTGGTTGTTAGTTTGATTGAGCGTGGGATGTAGCAGTAAGGTGTAAGAGATAGTATTTGAGGCACATAGGTTTGCAGGTGGGCTACAGGACTATGTGTGAAAAGGTGGTTTAAGCTGTATACGGCAGTGAAGAGGGCTGCGATGCACTGAAGTGGGTTTCTTTCGTCGAGGATGTGGGTATATGTGTTTTGGATGACCCTCTGTGGCGTCTGCCATTGCGCAGTATAGCCGTTTCGTGGTCAGGTCGGCTCGTGACCCGCGGGTCCTCTAGTACATAGTTATGTATGGCACGTCGCCGAATTCAGGCAACAACTTCGTGGATTATGGTCTGTACCAATCCTACCAAAAGGGTTCTGATATACGTACAATAGTTTCGCAGGGGACTTCAGGAACGTCCATGTGTGGATATCCGGGTCTATTCGACAATTAAAAATGGTCTACGTATGGTGGCAGGTCGTGCCTTACAACTGTCGCTCTTGGGCGGCTTGAAAGCCCCTGTAAATATAAGGAGGGTATTCGACAACGTATCATGCAGGCTGTTGTAATCGTCAACGGCATGATGGAGGAATGCCGAGGACAGTGACGGAGCACGTGCAGAATGCCACGCTCGCCTATCCTTGTGATTACTCCTACTCTTACAGCGCATACATAGCACCATGGGGTAGGAATAACGACTAACGGGACGTGAGCGAAGGAAGCTACAAGCGTCCAGCTTATGATGGCGCACGAAGGCAAGGTGTTGCACTGCCTTCAAAGCTTACTTTTTTTGCACCGCTGGACATGCTATTTGCGGGTTTTAAACATTCTTCCGTTAAGCCAGGTCACTAGATGCTTAAGCTCAAGAGAGCATGGCATGTTACCAAGTTCAATGCGAGAAACTATAGGTGGCAAACAGGTAAGACTACGACTTGCTATCAATCCGATACTAAAAGAAGACAACAGTATACTTGCCTCTTTAGCGCCAAAGGTATAGAATTTGGTGAGGTCGTACTACCACAGGGCCCATTCCGCCGACAAGGAAAGGGCTCCCAACACCAGCGTTCCTTCTCTCTTGGGCATCTACGTTGTCCGAAGGCAGCAAAAATGCCGTCCAACAAGTCGTTCAAGATTAAGCAGAAGCTGGCGAAGAAGGCCAAGCAGAACCGGCCTATTCCCCACTGGATCCGCTTCCGCACGGACAACACCATCCGCTACAACGCTAAGCGGCGGCACTGGCGCCGCACCAAGCTGGGCCTGTAAACTGGTGGCTGTTGACCCAGCTGGCGATGATGGCAGCCCGCTTGTCGGGCCGAGCTTTGTAAGGACACGATGATGAATATATCGGCTCTTCTCTGTCTCATAATAATGCACAGCACTTTAGAACAGGCGAACTCGGCAGCGGGCACCTAAATTGACGGCTGCGGCGGCTTAAGCAGCAGCGATGGCTAGGAGTTACCGCTTTGGAGGCTCAATAAATAGTATGCAGTAGATTTAGCCTGGAGGTCTCAACTGGCGATCTCAGCTTATGGGGGTTCGCAATGCTATTCAGGGCTGACTTCGAGGTCAGCTAGAGTCGGGTACATTGCACACATGGCACCCTTCTGGCGATCTGGGGCAGAAGGGGAGGAGCTATAAGATTACTGGGTCTGGGTTGGCCCGTACCAGTGCTGAGGTGCCTTACCCACACGAACAAGCAGCAACAACCGTTCAGCAGTGGCAGCAGACTGCGGGTGTATACTTCAGGGGGTAACTGCACCATAGTGGGGTACCTGTGATTACTGACGCTGCCCATCCCAAGGCCTGTTGGGGAAGACCAAGATAGCGATAGGCAGTTTACAGCAGTCACCTCCATGGCAGCATCCATATCAGTTATACGTAGTGATCTTAAAGCTTCTTTACTAGGGATATACCGTAGCATATACCATTGCAGCACGCCGGGCCAAACAAGGGGGGGAGTAAACCCACGCACGTTGCTGCTGTCACCCAACAAGGCACATAGAATGCAGCATGTTCGTCTTCAGCCCAAACACAGCTTCCTTTCCGTCCTTAGGCATCCCTCCATGGAAGCCAGGAACTCAGCCCCTCCGCACCCCTCGAATTACAGCAAGGGCCCACATGTGCAGCTGCAAGCCCTCCTCAAGACTCCTTAACAATACCTGCCCCCGCACTGCCGTACAGCCCTACTCCTTACCGGCGCTCCATGCCACGCCAGCCGCCGCCTGTGCCTGCGCATACCTTAATACCGCCCCCCGTCCCCATGATGACGCCTTATCACACAGTAGGTTGATTGTTTCCTCTTTATCCACATCACAATGCGCCCCATCATGCATGCCAGAGACACCTCCTCCTCCTCCTCTGCCACAGCCCCAGGCCAGAGATCCCTCAGCGCAGACGCCCTAGCTTCACCTCCACCCACCCTCCTCCTCCCACCAGCCCTCCCTTCCCTCCTCACTCTCCTCGCCTCCCTACAAGCCCTTCATTCCCCCGCCGCCTCCTCCTCCCTCCTCTTCTCCCTCCTCCCTCCCCTCTTAAAGGGAATCCTTTTCTTCGCCCCCTCTCAAAGGTAGCGCCGCACCAGCTCGTCCCTCAGCTCCATCATCACGCGCACCTGCGGGGGGAGGGGCGGTGGTGGTGGTGGAGGAGGAGGAAGAGGGGTGACATGTGAGGACACCAACCATCAGGACTAGACATGGCAAGAGGCGAGGAGTGGGCATGCTGAGCCGGCCGGGGGGGGACCGGGGGGCTTCCGTGAGCGCGTATAAGCAGCAGCAGCAGCAGCAGCAGCGGGAAAGTGCCGAGGCCAGGTATAAGAAGCCAGGGCGCCCAAGCACGCAGAGTTACGGATCTATTCCCCCTGTCCCTGTCAGTGTTTCCGCGGCCCTGCTTGTGCCTACTCCTCCTGCCCCCACCTTGCGAGGCAGCACCGCCGCCTCGGGGGTGTTCATGTTCTTGGCGGCGCCGTCCTTCATCAGGTTGTAGGCGCGGAGGGTGTTGTCCAGCAACAGGAACAGGCGCTGCGGGGGGGTGGGTAGAATAAACCAAACCACAAAGTTAGGGCAAAACAATGGGTATTGTTGGGGGAGGGTCGCGCGGGTCGTAAAGCGGCAGTTGGGGGTATCGGAATGTTTGGGGGTATCGGCATGTTTATCAGTAAACCTAAAAAGCGAGAAAGTTAACAAATCCATGCACCCCACCTTAACCCCCCCTCCACCTTACCCCCCCCCCGCCCCCCCCCACACACACCTGTGGAGTGGAGTACAGGTAGTCGTGTGTGTCAGTGGCGCGAGTGGGCCCCGGGGTGACTGCCTTGTCCAGCAGGTTGCGTCGCTCGGTGGGGTCGGAGACGGAGAGGATGTACTCGATGATTCGCTTCTCCGCGGGTTGCTGCCGGTCGAAGTGGTCGCGAGCCTGGGGGGGGAGGGGGGAGGAGCGGGGGAAGGAGGGGGCGGTAAAGAGGGGGGGAGGAGCGGGGGAAGGAGGGGGCGGTAAAGAGGGGGGGAGGAGCGGGGTAAGAAGAATACCCCCGAGGGGAAGGAGGAGCGGGGGAGATTAGAGTTCGGTAACTGAGCCGCGAGGGGTACTAAAGAGGCAGGAAGGGAAGAAGGGGCAGGCGGGAGGGGGGGGAGGAAATAAAGCACCAAACCTCAGGTCGCGGCACAACTCCTTCCTTACACCCCCTCTCTCCCCTCCCTCCTCCCCTCCCTCCCTCCCTCCTCCTCCCCTCCCTCCTTCCCTGCCCTCCCCCTACCGTGCGGTACAGCTTGTACGCCACCCATTTGGCCTCCTCCTTGCTCATGTTGGTGTCCCGAGCGGCGCCGTACGCCTTGGCGCTGATCTGCAGGAAGGCGGGGTCGATCTTACCCGCGGCTGCCAGGTCCGCCATGCGCGCATCCAGCTCCTCCACACTGCTGATCTGTTAAGAACAGGGGGGGAGGGCAGGGGGGGGGGGGGGTTGAAGTGGCAGGCGGGGTTTTGGCGGGTGCAGGAATGGGGAGTCATGTGTACAGAGGGTTGATGGTTGCAAGGGAACCTCCTGAGCTTGGGGTTGTGAAACGGGTGAGGTGGACGGGTGAGGTTGGGCGAGGTGGGTGGTGGAGGTGGCAGGGGGGGAGTGGCACTCAACAAACAATAGCGGAAGCAGGAGCGCCCCTCTCCCACCGCCAGTGGTCAGTGGTCAGTGTTTCCGCGGCTCAGTTATCTAATCCCACCGCCAGTTGGGCTCCACTCTTCTATCCTATGTGGGTTTCACTTCTCCCCCTCCCCCCTCCCCCTCCCTCCCTCCCCCCCACCGAGCTGAGAAGGTCGCGGTACACCGCTGCCGCCGCCTCCAGCTTCTCCGTGTCCGCCGCCACCGCATCGTGGTTGGCCACCAGCGCCAGCAGCCGGGTGTTGACCAGCAGCAGCTGCTCCAGCCGCTCGGGGGTGTCCTGGGGGGGGGAGGGGAGGGGAGGGGAGGGGCGGTTAGGTAGGCTGAGCTGCGAGGGAAGGGGAACAAGAGGGGTCGGATGCTTGCCAGGGCGGAATCGGGCTTCACTCCCTCTAGTTTCGTACCCACACCGCCTCTCCCCACCGCCCCCGCCCCCCCCCGCCCCGCCCCGCCCCGCCCCGTCCCGCACCTTTGCCGCCACAATGAGGCACTTCATGTGCTCGAAGAAGGGCTTCTGCATGTCCCCCCGGTACGCCGCCACCAGCGCCTCCCACTCCTCCTCCGCCGCCTCCGCCAGCTTGAGTAGCACTCGGTTGTAGCGGGACACTTCCTCGTTAGCCTGGGGGAGCGGCGAGGTGAGGGGGAGGGGGAGAGGGGGGGGGGAGAGGTGAGGGGGGGGGAGAGGGGGTAGAAACTAAATGAGAAGTGCAGCAACTGGACTCCCGTTCCCGTATATCCCGGGGGGGGGGAGACGTGGGGGATGGTGTGAGGTATGTCATGAAGGGGCCCGAGGGAGGAGCTGCACACCGCTGCTGCACCCCCGCTGCTCCCGCCTGCCAGCCCCCACACGCCCGCCAGCCAGCCAGCGACGGCTGACGGTTGCGCGCCGCCCCCTCCGTATTGGCTTGGGCGGGTCGGGCTGGCTCACATGTTGCAAACAAACCATGATATGATGCCTTATCACACGGTGCGTTAGTCGTTTCCTCTCTACCTCCCCTCCTCCCTCCCTTCCCTCCCCTGCCTCCCCTCCCCCTCACGTTCTGCAGCGCCCTGAACAGTTTCCGCAGCGCCATCTTCTTGTCAACATTGGCCTCCCCGTCAGCCAGCTCCTTGATCCTGCGGGGGGAAGGAGGGGGGCGGGGGGAAGGGGTACCAGGGGGGAAAATTAGGATAGCCATGCCTGGAGGGGAGGTGAACGGGGAAAAAGGGTGACGTTTATGCTTTCACACGCCATGTGCAGGGCCAAGCGCAGAGGGGGAAGTATGACATGGCATGGCATGACATGCTGCCCGGGCCCCCGGCCATGCACTTATTACGTAATCCCCCCCCCGGGCCATGCAGCCAAAAACACACCCACCAGCCGCCCACGCTCGCACCCCCCTCCCCGCGCCACTCCCCCCCTACCTGTCAAACACCCCCCCCGCATGCTGCTCCCACTGCTTGCTAAACACAATCAGCTTCTTCCAGTCCTCGCGGGGCCGCGTCTGGAAGATGTCGATGAGGCGGTCGTAGATGGCCTGGTACTGCGCCCGACTGAGCTGCGCCTCGGCACGCGGGGACACGAGCTGAGGGGTGGGGGGGGAGGGGGGAAGGGGGGGGGAGGGGGGTGAGGAGGCGCACCTGCGGTACTCAGGCAGCTGCGGTGCGCAGAGCGCTCTGGAGCAAACACTAAACCCTAAACCCTAAACCCCTACCCTGCCCTCCCCTCCACATGACATCAACCCCGCCACCATCCATTCAATACCCCAGCCCTACAGCTCCGGAGCCGCCCTACTGTTCCGGGAGGGGGGTGCACGGCATCAAGGTACGACACCGCGACCAGCCCCACCCCCACACCCGCAAGTGGGCCATCACGGGCACCAGCGCGGAGCCACCCCCCCCCCCAGTAGGTTACCAGTAGGTTACCAGTAGGCTGCCCTCACCTCGTCAGTAGACACACCGCCAGTGGTGGGAGCCGAGGAGGAGGAGGAGGAGGTGCTGCCGGAGGGGGGTGATGGCGAGGAGGAGGAGGGTGCTGCTGCTGCTGCTGCTGCTGCTGCTGCTGAGGAGGAGGAGGAGGAGGAGGAGGAGGAGGCGGCAGCAACACACCGCCTGCTGCTGCCTGGGACACCGCCACTGCGTTGTTGCCGTACTGCCAAGGGGGAGAAGAACGGCAGTGCAGGAGAGACCGTTGCAGGAGAGGCAGTTGCAGAAGAGGCAGTACAAGGAGAAGCAGTTGAGGGAGAGGTATGAACAGGTATGAACAGGGGGGGGCTCACAATGAGGGAGGGCATACCTGAGGAGAGCGGCCAAGCCGAGGAAGACGACGACGACGCCCCCTGGGTCCGGGGACTAACGCCAGAAGTCTTGCTGCAAGACGCTGACGTCGACGCTACGGCAGCGCAGTCGCTGATAATAGCCCCGGTAAAACAAGCTGCTGCATTCCCGCTGGGGGCGGTGGAATGAAGCCGAGCTGGTGCAATTTGTGTTCCGATGCTCCGTGGGCCGGCGGCTTGTCCTCTCGACCGCATGCAGCAACGGCGACCTGCCTGGCGAAATAGAGACTCCATAATTAAAGGGTACTAATGGACTCCGAGATGGTCACAAGCTCGCAATTGCGTAACAGGCTTATTTGGGGTCGAGAATACGGTAGGGCTTAAACGATTGTATTTGACGACAATTGTAAATGGTAACAGTTACTTTGGCTACTGTTTAAGCAATTCGCGTAAGTGAAGTAGAAGAACGCCTCATAGGTCTTTCATCTACCCGGGGACCAGTACAGTTGGTCTTGGGATCGGCCGTTCGGCCCTTTGTCAGCGACTTTTCTGTATGATCTATGCAATCGCTTCTAAGAACGATTAAATTAGGCTTAAATCAGACGCGTTGTAGCCAACAAACAAACCTCCTACGACGGCCATGGCATCAACTACGTTGCGCTGCCATACGGGCGCGAGCGTGAGCCCAAGATGTGTTAGCCAGAATGCGATTTGGGTGCCGCTACATAGCACGTCGCGGTCGCACCAGCTGTCGGCGTCCTCGATTACCGCGTTTCGGGCGGCAGTTCCTCGCCTGGTTGATCCAGCGCAGCGCCGGCCAGTAAGCGTTGTAAAAGCAGCTCAGGAGCTGTCAGATGTTATGGAGCTGACGCCAGAGAATGTGGAGAAGGTCCTGGACGAGGTGCGACCCAGTCTGCAACGACTGATTGGGAATCGCGGCCCTAGTATCATACCAAGTCATGTTGCTGCAGGTTCGGCCCTACCTCATGGCCGATGGTGGTGATGTAGAATTCCTGGAGATTGATGGTTTGGTCGTCAAGCTTAAGTTGCAGGGCGCATGCGGTTCCTGCCCCAGCTCCACAACGACCATGACCATGGGCATCAAACGCCGGCTCATGGAGAGGATTCCGGTGCGTTTCTTTTCCCCCCATGAGACATGTTCGCGACGTTTTATAGGAGGGGCTGGGCTCCTTACCAGGGCGGAAGGATGGGTTGGGTACTTAGTTCCCTCCGCTGCCTCCACTCTTTGCCGAAGTACGCATCAACGCATGGCCTAGCCCAGCGCTGTCTCCCCTTCCTCTCCATGCCCCCACTCACCGGTAGCCAACCGCCTCTCAGCCTCAGCCGTACACAGTCACACTCCGCCCCATCACACCTTCCCTAGTCCTCCCTGCCTGGCACCAACACCCACGTGGGATGGACCCCATTATCACCCTACTACATCCAAAAGCGCAGCAGCCCCTACTGCTTCTCATCAGATCAAAACCTCAAACCTATCCCTCCTCGCCTCACTCACCTCCGTAGCGCCCCTCCCACCACGAATCGCCACCACGGCATTCAACCTCCTTACCAGCCAACCTCTTTACCAGCCTGCCTTGCACCAATGCCACCGAACTCCTTCCCTTCCCCCTCCCCCATGGCCCCCGCCTGCCTCCCCCCCACCATGCAGGAGATCCTGGACGTGGAGCAGGTCACCGAGGAGAGCCAGGGACTTGAGCTCACCCCAGACAACGTGGACTCCGTACTCAACGAGATCCGGCCGTACCTGGTTGGGACTGGCGGCGGCGGGTTGGAGCTGGTGGGCATTGAGGGGGTGATTGTCAAGATCCGGATCACGGGTCCGGCGGCGAATGTGATGACGGTGAGGGTTGCGGTGACTCAGAAGCTGAGGGAGAAGATACCAGGCATTGCAGCGGTGCAGCTGGTGTAAGGGGGTGGGGTGGGATTACCGGTAGGTAAGGTCTAAGGTGTAGTGGGGGAGGATTAGACAACATGAGCCTCGGAAACACTGACCCTGACCGTAGAATGCAGGTTGTGGGGGATGGGAGGGGAGCAGGGGCGGGTTGGGTGCTGTGGGGTGGAAAGAGGAAGCTGACGAGCTGTATGACGAGGCTTCGTCCATGGGTTGTGGGGGTGGTTTTGACGGAAGGAGGAGGGATGGGATTTCGCAGGGCTGCTGGCGGTGGGTGTGATGGGCCCTGGGGCTGGGCGCAGGAGTTGCGATGCCGGGGTTGTGCATGCATGCATGTTGGGGTTGAGGGGCCATAGTTGGCTATAGCGTCAGGAGCTGCATGCAGCAGGGTACACGTTTTGTGTTGGATTTGGGTTTGATAGGCGGATCGGGCCAGGGACTAGGCGGGCAGACGTTGTTAAATACCGGTATACCGTTGTGTTGGCGCCAACATTGACACATGACGGCCGCATTGGTGGTTGCCGGCTGCTCTAGACGAGTGTTTGGGATGTTGTGTTGTGTGCAGTGCGCTGTTGTACCATAGGAGGGCGGAAAGCGAGTGCATGAGGTGTGTTGAGCGACGGGGCATGCGACCATGACGCGGTAGGGTAGGGTTTTAGGGGGTGTGTGTTTGCTGTGCAGTGCAGCGTGTCGGAGAGGGTTGGGAGTGAGATGGATGGCAGATGGGCTGTTGGCATGCTGGCGTTGCTTCACGAGGAATGGAGCTCCTCAACCTAGCGCGACTATTTTTGAGTACTTTGTCTCGGGTTGTGCTGGGTGGTGTGACGCAACCAAGGGTTGTATTTATGGCTGTTAATCATGAAGGGGGTACCTCTGCTTCTGCGAGGTTGCTGTTTCTGAAAGGAAGCTGGAACCGCTGGACGCATGACCACGCGCTGAGGTGTGTTCATTGGAACGTCGATGATACGTTACAGGAGGATGCTCAGGAGGACATCCGAGCAAACACACACGCGATGGAGGTATCACACGCACCTGACCACCAAACACTACAGCGCAGCACGGCCACCAACCCCATCAACGCATGCACTGTTTACTGCCTCCATTCGAATAAGTTAAGAGCCTCGAGCGTGCCGCACCGACGCCATGTACAGCAAACCTGATTCACTGTCCCCCATTGGGCAAGACAACCCTGACGTCGCTTGTCCTGTCCCATTACGAGGCCATCGGACTCGTCTCCCAAAACCCCAACCCTCTCTGTGCAAAACAATCCTATAGGGCACTTTGCAAACCCAAACCACTGGCGAAATCCCCAACCCCTATGCACAACAATCCTGTCATAATCGCTGAACCTCTGCAGCGACCCACCAGCAATCCCGGCATCCAGATGCCCTGCTGCTGCTGCTCCTCTGCCATCCAGGACAGCCGCTGCCTCGTCCCTCCCTCCCTCCCTCCCTCCCTGCCGCTGACCACCGTGTCCTGTGAGCAGCCCCACCGCCGCTGCTGCTGCCACTCTGCCACCCTCCTCACCCTGCTCACCACACCACCACCACCACCCTCCCTGCTGTGCTCCACTGCCACTGTACTGCTCCATGCCGCCCTGGCCGCCAAGATACCGGTAGAGTAGACAGCTGCTGCGTCTTTCGACCTCCACGGTTATTCCCTCCGGGTTGTTACCGCATACCGAAGAGCTCCAGAGGGCTGCGCTGCGTAGAGCACCTAAGGAGCAAGTAGCAAGCAGGCTGTGCCTTAATGCCCAGAGGGGAGCAGCAGCAGTTCATTAGCTGCGGGTGTCCATCTACACACCCATCTACACACCCGCATCTAGAACAGCAGGTCATCCTCCTGGTAGTTGAGGAGGTTGGAGGAGGCGGGCGGCTGCACGCCGTTGGGGTTGGGGCCGTTGAAGGGCGGCAGCTGCAGGTCACTCGCGGAGGAGGAGGAGGCGCCGTTGGCAGCAGCGGCCTCGGCTTCCTGCGGGTGGGGGGGCGGGAGGGCGAGTAAAGGGTAGGGCAGGTGTGGCGGGTTTTTGAGGTTGGGAAGCGGGCAATTGGTGACAGCCATACCCTCGTAGCTCGTGCCCGCTGCTGCCTTGAGGTGAAGGAACTGCCTTCCCAACCCCCACACCTGACGCCCAGCAACGCCCCAACATGCCGAAAGCCAACCCAACAACCCACTCAACACAACACCCGCACACAACAACACCGCCCAACGCGCACCTCTGCCGCCGCCTGCGCCGTCCGCTTCTGCTTGTTCTTCTGCACCTTCTTTAACCGGAAGAACTCCTCGCGCTCCAACTCGTCGAGCTCGGCTGTGGGTGGCGGTGGGCGAGGAGGAGAGGGAGAGGGAGGGGCAGCGTGGGAAGGCATCCTCCTCTCATCTTTCCTGGTCATGTTCTCTCTTCATCCCAGCCCACCAGCCGCAGGGTGGCAACCCCTCCCCCCCCTTCCCGCGCTGAGCCCGGTGCCCGCAGCCCCACCCTTGCCCAACCCTCCAGCGCAGATGAACGGCTCTTCCACTCTCCCAGCTTCACTACCCATTCCATTTCCCCAACTGCAGCAGCTCCCAACCCCCAGCTCGACCGTTGCCTCGTCAGTTTCCTCAATTTTTACACCCCCCCCAATTCGGCGCTTTCTTCCCCTTTAGCCCCACAGCCCCCACTCCCCTCCCCCAACTCCACGGCCCCCTTCTCCTACCCTTGATGTATGAGATGGTGTTCTCCAGCTTGGGCTTCACCACGTTCTCCAGCGCGTTCACTCGGCGGTTGGTCACCTTGAGCGCCTCGTCGAGGGTCATGAAGGCGGTCTGGGTGGGGGCAGGGGAGGGGAGGGGAGGGAGGGGGAAGAGGATGGGGCAGGGGAGGGAGAGGATGGGGCAGGGGAGAGGTGGGTACGGTACCACACTTGAGAGAAGCTCATACACGGTAGTGAGCAGGCTCATTCCAGCCCCCACCCGCCCGGTGCATGCTGGCGACGATCGCGCAAGCCGTGAAGTGCCCCTTAGTGCTGACTCCCCCGCATGCTCACGGCGAACACCGGGCGCCCCCCCCACCCTGCCCGCTGCACCACACCTGCAGGTTGGCCAGCTGCACCAGCAGCTCCACCGCGCTGAGGTAGGCCTTGCGGCAGCTCTGCAGCTGCTGCCCGCCGCGACCCAGACCTGAAAACAGAAGGCAGGAGCAGAATGGCGTCGGTAGGAGGAATGAATTAAAGGGTTAGGACAACCTGGAGTCGCATGTGGTCATTCCCCAGCATCATGCCCGCCATCCTCCGCCACACACGCACCTGTGAGGTCCATCTTGGTCTCCCCAGGCAGCACAAAGGACTCGAAGCGGGGGATCTTCACACCCGCCACGTTGTCCAGGTCGCCGCGAACCTTAACCACAGCCGTGTCTACATTGTCCATGATGGTGTGCTTGACGTTCTCACCAGCCGCGTACTGAGCTTCCGTGTACGCGAAGAACGAGCCCTTCATAGTAGATCCCAAGTTCTCCTTGGCATCGATAATCTCCTTGAGCAGCTGCCTAAAGCGCATGGTCAGCGCGTCTGCCTTCTTCTTTAGCAGAGCGTGACCTTTAGTAGCACCTACAAGGCGAGCCTTCATCACCGTCAAAACGGTGACGGTAGGCACCACCGGAAGCCTATTTTGCGTGGACATCTTGGCGCAAGTTCCACAAAATCAGCAAAGTATCTGGGACCCTATTTCCTCCTTCAGCTGCACCTAGGCAACCTAATAACCAACTTCCATACTGGGTCAGCCAACTACTCGCGAAACGGACGCTAGATTGCTGCAAGGCTTTTCATGCCGTACGACGGTGCTCTCGTCCTGCAAGCAATTTAAGCGATCGACTCAGTATAGTACACTTGATCGTCATAATCGCCGCGTTGCACTGTCTCCCACCTGCCTGACTCTCAACTGTTCGGGCATGTGGCTTTGCTTTGCAACTGTGTAGTGTATAAGCCGTATGGAACACCTTACCAGAGCAGTTCTGAAATACATATATGCCGTAAGACGAAGATGCTGAACACTTTTTTCACAAATGTCTAGCAACCAAGCTGCTCAGGATTCCCATGTCTCAAGGGTTTCGCGGGCGGGCAACCGCGAGCGGGTTATGGCTTGCAGAGGGAGTAATTTAGGCCCTTACATGGCCAGAGATTGATGGAGGTAACCCCGGGCCAGGGGAAAAGTTCCCTGCGGGCCGCTCACATCCTCTAGGGTTACGCAGGCACCTCCGCTTGGATGCCTCCACAGGAAAGCACTGTCATCAGTTCTGCACGTGACCTCGCGCGAGGGCAAACACGGCCTCCTCGCACGGAACAGCACTTGGCATGTCAACGAGTTACAACTCTGGCATCTCCCGTGACACGTCCCGCCCTTTTACGTTGCCGTCCTGACCCCAGTCCTAGTCTGCGGTACCATACGCTAATCATTACACCCGCTCGCCGCCTCACATCATATGCCACATCAGCCCATCAGAGCATGCCAATCACACAGCCAGCTACCTAGCCCCTAGTAGCCCTACAGCCCACTTGCACCTGTCCCCCCAAACCTCACATGCTTTAGCCCCTTTGAGTAAGGTACCCTGAGGCCCTCGACCTCCAGGACCCCCTTTCCTGCCCTGTCATGCCGTACTTGCTCTAATGGTTTATGCCGTACTTGCTTTTGCAGCTTATGCCGTACTCGCACTGGCTAGGATGCGCTCCACCACCGCCGCCTCTAGCAGCTGCGGCTCCACACAGCGCTCCGTGGCTGGGGAGGGGGAGGGGGGAAGGGGGGTCAAAAACCACATACCGAACCATAGGAAACCACAGGTTGGGGCAAAACAATGGGGATAGGAGCGGTAGGGGGGGGGAGAAGGAGACCCAATGGGGAGAGGGGGAAACAAGGGTGGGGTTGATGCCACCAAGGTTGGGAGGGGGTGAGGGGGAAGGGATGGGGAAGAAGGGGACCCGACGTGTTGGATGGGCAATGCCAAACTACTGGTAGGTGACAAGCTCCTGGCACGCATGGAGCCGAGCTACTAGGCGGATAACACGCAGGCGGCAAACTAAGTGACAGGCTGTTGGTGCTTGGAGCCGAGCTATTAGGCAGGATATCAGTGATACCATATCATATCACGCAGGTGGACTGTGTCGCTTCACTACCTAGCTGCCTAAAGCTTAAACAACCCAGACCAGAGAGCGCGTGTGAGGCGGCGGAAGGGAAAGCAGTACTGTGGGGGTCACTTCCACAACGCGGCTGAGCAGGCATGTCCCCAAGGGCTATTAGCACCCCCACCCCCTCACCCGACAGCACCACATCCTCCAGCAGCTGCTCCACCACCGCCGCCCCCTCGCCCCGCCCGCCCCCGCCCCGCAGCAGCAGCAGCCGCCGCAGCGGCGGACGCAGGAAGGCCACATCCAACTGCAGCTGCTGCAGACCCGCGCGACCCAGCGTCTGACAGCAGGGTGGGAGGGGAGGAGTGGTAGAGGAGGTGGAGGACTGGCAGGCGCGCAAGGAGTTCGGGAGCCGCCTGGCGGCTATCCTATAACCGCTGGCAGCGCACTGTAACCGCTTTGCACCTTGCACCTTCGTTAAGCGGAGCGCCGCCGACCCAGATCACTGTGTCTCGCCCCTCCCTCTCCTAGCTTCCTTCCATCCCTCTCCATTCATCCCTCTCCCCCCCCCTCCCTGCCTCCCCTCACCTCCAGCCGTATGCTCTCCAGCAGGCTCTTCAGCGCCACCCCCGCCACCCCCGCCAGGATGTCACCCGCGGACAGCGACACGGAGCCGGTCATGTGGACCTGCGCGGGGGGGGGGGCGTGGGAGGGGTAGGGGGTAGGGGGGGGGGGTTGAAAGAGGAAACTGACGAGCTGTATGACGAAGCTTCACCATGGGGAGGGGGGTGGGGTGGGTTGAGGGTGGGATAACCGAAACCAACATGGGGTTGCAAGGGGGCCCTGTTACGGCGGGCGCATGGGCAGCCTGCCGTACACATCCTGCCCTCGTCCCCAAACACACACACCACACGCCCCCTACCTTTTCCCGGAACAGCTTAGCCACGTTGCGCTCCACGGCTCCCGAGTCACCGCCGCCAAAGGCGCTGCTGCTGCCGTACAGCCCGCCTCCCATGCCGCCCGCACCCCCGCCGGCCCCCTCCCGCGGGTCGTCGCCTGGAACGGCAGCAGCGGGCAACCAAAGGTCAGCGAGGGGTCAAAGGCCATACCATACCATAGGAAACCACAGCGGGGGCGGTCGTCACTCAGAGCGGGGCGCCTCAGCGACCATAACGCTCCTTCTCCTATAAGGGTATACCCCGTACCTCTCCTCTCCTCCCCTCCAAGCCCCGCTCTTACCCTTCCTGCCCGCCTCCATCCCTCCCTGCACCGCCCCCCTGCCGCCCCCCGTCGGCTCGTCCAGCAGCCCCGCCGCCTCCGCCTCCACCCGCGCCAACCGCTCCAGCAGCAGCGAGCACACGGGGCGGGGGCCGCGCGGCTCCTTGCAGGCCAGCCAGCTGACAGAGGCGGTGGACCTGGCAGGAAGGGGGGGCGGTGAGAGGGGGGGTAAATGAGGCCAAGTTGGTGACGACACCGGCCCTCATTCGTGGTTTCCTATGCTTTGGTCTGTCCTCTACCCACCTGCGCACCATGACGCTCAGCTGGCGCCCGTGCGCCTCCACGTAGCTGAGCACCATGGCGGAGGAGGCGGCGGACAGGCGCCGCGCGACCTGGGGGGGGGGGCAAAGTTGGGGGGGAGGCATGTGGAGAAGAAGAGGTTGAGGAGGTGAGGATTAGGACGGCACCGTAGCAGACAGACAGGCACAGCGAGCCCCGCGATCGTACGGCAATGGGTTCTTCTAGTGCCCTTACTCCCCATGCTGCCCCATGCCACCTCATGCTGCCTTATGCACAGCGCGCCCGCCCGCCAACCGCCCAACCAACCACCCGCCCACCCACCCGCCTCCCCCTCACCTCTCCCGGCACGAACGCAGGCGGCAGGTCGCCCCCCGGTCCGCCCCCCGCCGGCCCCTCGCCTGCCGCGCTGGTGAAGGAGGCCGCCAGCGTCTCCATGACCCACGGGACCATCTCCTGCTCCAGGAACTTGCACAGCTTGGCAAGCACCAGTACCAGGCCTGGGGGGGGGAGGGGTGGGGGGGGGGGTGCATGGGGTTGGGGGGGGTGTGAGTGTGGGGGGTGAAAGACCATACCGAACCATAGGAAGACACAAGGGGTGGGTGGGTGGAGGGGGGGTGAAAGACCATACCAAACCGTAGGGAGCGGGGGTCAGGAAGGATGCAGGCACGGTACAAGGTCGCAGCTCAGGACAGGGGTGCGAGGGGCGGCATGGCATTCACACACACGGAAGCACACACGAGGAGGACAGATAACGGTCTCCGCCCCCCCCTCAGCCCCTCACTTGTGGTCTCCTATGGTTTGGTATGGTCTTTGACGCCCCTCAGCCCTCTCCGCCCCCCCCTCAGCCCTTTCCGCCTCACCTGGTTTGACCAGCTCCTGGCCTCCCGCCCCCGCCGCCCCTCCCGCGCCCAGCGGCGGCGGTGCCATCAGGTCCGGCGCCCCTCCTAGTCCCGCCCCTCCTGCACCCCCGCCCCCGCTGGGCGCCTTGAGCGCCTCCCGCATTAGGTCGCAGCCGTCGTACCTGACAGCAGGGGGGAGAGGGGGGGAAGAAGAAGAATACCCAATGTGTTTGTTGAGCAGGGGGGAAGGGAGGGGGAGTGTCGTACACAACCCGGCAGCATGCACCGGGATGGATAGAGCTTGAAGGTGCTCTTGCACCGGGAGGGGACCGACCAGTCAGATCACCCCCAGTGGCAGCACTAGTGCTTTGGTGCTAAGAAAGCTCGCCGTCAGAGAGGGCGAGAGAGGATGGCGCATGCCCCAGTCTGTAGTAGATCGATAGCGGTACCCGCAGCAGCCGTACAGCAGTTGCACCACCCGCAGCAGCCGTACAGCAGTTGCACCACCCGCAGCAGCCGTACAGCAGTTGCACCACCCGCAGCAGCCGTACAGCAGTTGCACCACCCGCAGCAGCCGTACAGCAGTTGCACCACCCGCAGCAGCCGTACAGCAGTTGCACCACCCGCCTCACATACGATTGGTATTCTCTTCTGCCTCCTGGGCCCCCCTACCCCCCCCCCCCCAACCCCCCCTCACCTCATGCCCGCCAGCTCCAGCGCCGCCAGCAGCAGCCCCCCGAAGAAGCCCTGCAGCCCGCCCTGCACCACCTCCACCCACTGCACCCGCCAGGAGGAAAGCAGCCGGGAGCCGCCCGCGGACTCGTAGCCGCGGAGACCCTGGGGGGAGGGAGGGGGGGAGAGGAGGGGGGGGGCGGTCAGAGACCATACCGAACCACAGGTAGGGTTTAACCCCCCTTCCCCCCAAAATACACACACAGACCGACGTCACAGTACGTTCCAACATCTTTCCATCCCCTCCCCTCCCACCCCCCACCCACCTGCAGCAACGCCGCCAGCCCCCGCTGCAGCAACTCCACCATGTAGACACTCCCCGCCCGCAGCACCCCCCCTCCCACCCCCCCTCCCGCCCCGCCTCCCACCCCTCCAACCCCCGCCCCTCCAGCCCCCATGCCCCCATGCACCCCCTCGCCCCCGCCCACCCCCCCACCCGGCCCCATGAGGCCCCCCGACTCCGCTGCCAGTGCGGTGCGGACTGCTACTGCGGCGTCGATGACTCGCTGCTTGAGGGCCGCGAAGGAGAGGGTGACGTGCTGTTGTACGGCAGCCTGTGGGGGGGTGGGGGGTGGGGTGCGTGTGTGTGTTTTGTACGGCAGGGGGGAGGGAGAGGGAAATGGGTACGGGGGTTGGGGGGGGGGAGGAAAGGGAGGGAGGTCCAAGAGCGCGCGTACGTGTAAAAGGGAATAGAGCAAGGTAGAGCAGAAACGAGGCGGACGGAGCAAGCAGGGAAGAAGGGATGCAGCAGCCACTCCACCACCATCATCCCTTCTCCCCTCGCCCGCTCCCCCGCCGCCTCCAAGCCCGCGACATGTATCCCTATTACCCCCCCCCCGCCTCGCCACTCCCCTCCCACTGCCCCCCCCCACCTGCACCACCTCCATGGCCCGCTCCCTCAGCTGCAGCTCAGGCAGGTGCGGCGCCAGCAGCCCCACATCGGTGGACACGGTGGATAGGGCCTGAAGGGGGGGAGGGGTGGGGGAGTAAATGATAAGGAGAGAGGGAAGGGAAGCGGGGATTGACAGGGATACACACTCCGCATTAGGCTGTGGATAGTAGGAGTGCGTATATCTCTGACCCACCCCATCCCCACCCCACCTGCGCAATGGCCTCCGCCCCCCAGTCGCTGCCCAGCTGCTGAAGCGCCGGGGAGCTAACCGACAGGGCGGCAGCCACCCCCGCCACTCCTCCTCCTCCTCCACCTCCCCCCGCAGCAGCAGCCGCTGCGGTCTCCGCACGCGCTTCCCGCAGCAGCGAGCCGCGAAGCACGCCTGCCTTGGCGGCGTCGCTGACCACACGTCTGCGGGGGGGGGGGATTAATAGACCCAACCGAAGGAAACCAGGAAGGAGGGCAGGATGTTGGGGGAAGGAGGCGGCAGGGTGGGGGGAGGTGCGGGGATGGCACGGGGTACGGATGTGCGTGCTGCCGTACCCCACTCCACTTCGCTTCACTGCGTCTACCTCGGGATGGGCCGGCCACCATAATTTGCACCACATGGTGAAACCTTTTTATACACCTTGTTAGTTTCCTCGTCCGTCCCTTTATCAATTGTACCCCACCACCAAGCAATTTCCGGTAACCTACGGTCAGGGTCGGTGTTTCCGCGGCTCAGTTTACCTAATCCCCTCCTGGGCTAAGTTTATCTCCCTCCCCTTCCCCCCCCCTTCCTTCCCCCCCTCCCTCCTACCGCACGATTGCAAAGTACTCGGCGAACAGCTCCCGAGACAGCGCCACCAGCGGCTTGCGCCGGGAGGCGGCGGCCTGGGGGGGGGGGTCAAGGAGGGGGGTTAATAGGGATACATATTCGGCTTTAGGCTGGATTTTAGGATTGCGCATAGTCAGGCTTGTTGGGTTGTCAAGGAGTGGGGTGAGGGGGGGGGGGGAGGGGAAACAAGAGCCCTCAGGAAACCCCAGGCCAGGGCAAAGAAACGGGGAAGTGGGGAAACGGCTAAAAAGGGGAAACGGTTAAATGTGAAAGTGCAGCAATGGGGGAGGTGGTATGCGTATTGCGGGAGGGGAAATACACACACGCAGCCGCAGTCAGGCCCGGTGCTGTACGACACCCCCCCCACCCCCACTGACCCACCTCCGGACTGTCCTCTGCGCCCTCGGGGAGGAAGAAGCGGATCACGTTGACCACCGTCTCCTGCAAAGCCAAAGCAAACGGGAGCGGGGCCGACAGTTCAGTACGTTCCTACTCGCTACGTTCCTTCTCGCGGTCAGTTTTCTGTCTCGCGGCCAACACATACATAAGAGGCCAGTTTTCTATACATACAAAAGGCACGAAACAATTGGCACGAAACGTGCAAACAGGCGCGTGCGGGAAACTCGAATGTTTCCGCATCACATGCAAACCCCAGCGACATCACACAACTCCTCGGCGGCTGGCGAGCTTGGAAACGTCCCCAACTCTTTGTTGGTTCGGTTCGCATCAACACAATTCGCAAAAACCCTCGGTCACTGCTCCTCGTACCTCCCCACCCCCGCCCCCTCCCCGCCCCCTCCCCCACCTGCACCCCGTTGATGAACTTTTCATCGAGCGCGCGCACAAAGGCCCGCAGCTGCGGAGGGGTGGAGCCGGACCAGCCCCAGGACTCGGGAGCGGAGATCTGATGAAGGGGAGGGGAGGGGAGGAGGAGGAGAGGGAAGCGGGCCAGGGAGGGAGGGGGTTAGGCAGCGGCAGACACGTGCAGGCGCAGGGGGCAGCAGCAGCGACATGCGCTGGATAGGGTACCGCTCCAACGGACAACCCTGCACCCCAAAAGTGGTGCAACTGGCAGCACCGCCACCCCTCCCAGGTGCCATGGACATGCCCCCTCCCCACTCGGTCGGGGTATCCTCGCGGCTCAGTTTACCTGGTCACCACCACCACCCCAACTAACCCAACTATCCAGCCTAATGCGGATTCTGTTTCCAAATTACCCCCCAAACGACCCCGGAGGACTGCCTGTCTGCCTGCCCCTGGGGCCCGTCGGCCTCGTGGCTCGCTTCAGGGAGTCGCCCCCCCCCCCCCCACACCTTGTGGCTTCCTAAGGTATGGTATGGTCTTTGACACCCCTCCCCCCCTCACCTGCGTCTTGGGCGGCGGCGGCACCTGCACCGGCTGCTGCTGCTGCCCCCCTGCCGCTCCCGCTCCCGCTGCTGCTGCTGCCATAGCATCCGCCACCAGCGCCGCCTCCGACAGCACCCGCCGGATGCGGGCGACGCGGCCGGACAGGTACTTGTCCTGATGGGGAGGAGAAGAAGGAGAAGGAGGAGGAGGGTGGGTTGGGGGGGGGGTCAAAGACGATACCGTACCATAGGAGGTGTGTGTGGGGGGGAGGCAGGGGAGGGGCAAAGGGAGAAGAGGAGTGAAGCGCGCGAGTGACGCTAGCGTGTCGAGGCTTGGACTACCAACCCACAGCAGCAGCTCCCGAGCAGCCACTCTTTCCTTCCCCGCCCCCTCCCTCCTTCCCCCCCGCCCCCTCCCCCTCCCTCCTCCCCCCCCCCTTCGCCTGTGATTTCCTACAATTCATTCTTTGCTCTTTTGACTCCCCGCCCCTCCCACCCCTCGCCTCCTTCCCCGCCCCCCCTCACCTGCAGCGTATCATCCGGCTCGCCCAGCTTCCTCAGCAGCAGCACGCACTGCTCCGCGTCGTCCTTCCGCTCCGTCAGCCGCTTCTTCAGCAGCTGGCTGATCTCCTGCGCCACGAAGTCGCTCTCCAGCGCGATCACCTTGAAGGTACCGCGCCCGCCGTACTTGTGCAGCAGCGGCTGCGCCTCCGCGTACAGCCCCACCGCGGTGTCCAGCGCGTCCTCCTCCAGAGCGGCGCGCATCTTGCGGGGCAGCTCGAAGACAGTCTGTAGGGGGTGTGGGGGGTGGGGCAGGGGGGGGATGCAGGGGAGGCGGGAGGGGGAGAGAAGCAGGGATGGGAGGGAGAGGCGGTGTGGGGAGGGAGAGGAGCAGGGGTCCCCGAGAATGGGAGGGAGAGGCGGTGTGGGGAGGGAGAGGAGCAGGGGTCCCGGGGGCGCACCTGCAGCTTCCGCAGCAGGCGCTGCACCTTGTACAGCTGCTCCATGCTCTCCCGCCGTTGCTGCAGTTTGTTGCTCACGGAGAGAGATTTCTCAGCTACCACGCCTGTGGGGAAGCCGTAAGGGATGGAGGGCCGTGCTTAGGTTTGGGCAAGGGTCCGGAAGCGAGGGCCGTTACTGGCAGGGGCGCTGTTGGGGGAGGCGCATTTCGGGGCGCTATGTGGGCATGGGGCGTGGAGGCGTTGCCCCCTAAGGGCACATATCAACCAACCAACCCTTGGAAAAAGACAGCCACCCAGGTGTGCTATGAGTGTTCATGTACTTGTCATCACCCTGCATTCCCTTCCCTCGTACTTGCTGTCTGCTGGAGTCGGGTCATTTCGCTTTCCATGGCGTCAATACTTGACTTCATCGTCCGGATGGTATCCGTTGCCGCGATGAACTTGTTGTAGTTCTCATACACGAGCTGCTGCATGTCCGAGTCAATGTTCTTAATCTCACGGGCCATGTTGCGGTGCTCGACCATGAGCTTCTCCAGAGAGAATATGCGCAAGATGTCATTTGTGTGCTGATCTGCGTTGAACGTTGGCGTATCAATTGCAGCAAGTCCTCCAGCATAAGCGGCTGCTGGTCCACGGCCTGCAGTTGCATGCTGAGCAGCGACGCCTGCCTGCGCAGACGCCCCTGCCCCTGTCGCTGGCCCATCCCCATAATAGCTGGATAGCAAAGCTTTAACGCGCTCTGATCGCTTGGCGTAGTCTTCACTACTCTCCATCGTGTCGCTGCAAGTCCTAATTCGTCCTTTACATCGGCATTTAGGTTAACTTAGCTAACGCTAATGTGAAAGGAGCGTGTGTGCTCTGGTCGCCAGAACAGATGTATCCAGTAATAAGCCACACTATACGCCAAACTTATCTGGTATACATAAGCGGACGGTGCATGCCGAGAGGTAGGCACATACGTTGTATTGACAGGAAGAATGCAATTGCAATAAACAAGGTTAGTAAAAAGGTGGACGAAACTGTCATCATGGTTCCAGTAACTGCCGTACCTGACATATGTGCCGATGTCTTCTTCAAGAGCACTGCATACGACCAAGCCTGCAAGTGTTCCTGCTTCTCAACTACATATTACCGTGAGCTGGATCAGCTGAAAACCCTCAGCTTGAGCCCAGGAGACTGCTTAAAATGGCAATCCTATAGTACAACAGGCACTCCGTGGTGAACAGAGATCCGCGTACACAGCAAAACTGACACGGGGCAAAAGCCGCCGTGAACAGCCGTCAAAGACTACCCCCAGCTCCCTCAACCCATTGCTCCACAATCACTCATCGCCCCTCTCGAGGCTTGTTACCTCCACGACATACAGTAGTGGCGCCCCCAAGATAAGGGCAAGACCCAGGAACTCCCCTGCTGCTTCAAACCCTGCTGCAGGCCGTGGTCCCAGGTCTCATCAGGGTCTCCTTGCTGCTGCAGGCAGACAAGTCTCACATGCAAAAATTGCAAAAATTGCCAGGTCCTGCTGAGATTCGAACTCAGGTTAGCAGATTCAAAGTATGCTGTCCTAACCGCTAGACCACAGGACCAGTTCCCTTGATGACTAATCAGCCAAGCGCCTTTACATATCCATGCTTATTGCGCCCACCTGGACTTCTGTGGATTATGGTGCCAGGAGCCTGGACAGCATGCGTGTTTCGCACGGACACGAAGTGGGCAGAATGGAATGGGCCCTCAGCATCTCAGGCCGCTCACCATGGGCACCATTCACTCAGATAGTTGGTCATCCAAGTTAGGTAGCCGTCCCATTTAGATGCACCTATCTGACGGTTCTTGCACGTGTACTACAACTGCTGCCAGCCTGGAGCAAGTATAGTTGGTAACGGGGACGCTGTCAGAAAGATTCCGTCCTTCCATGATGAGGCATGCACTTGCGCATGGGGACAGGTAGGCAGATGCAGACTGCCATGCAGGCTGCCAATTGCTTTGCCCAGGCGACCGCATCGTGACCTTGATACTGTGATAATGGGGTTGTGGCTTTGGATTTGGAGTGGCGTGCATATATGCAAGGCTGTGAGCACAAAAAACGAACTAAGGAGGTCATTTGTATTGAAGAAAATGTCATGTGTCACCGCCGGGACTCGAACCCGGGTCGCGTGGGTGAAAGCCACGTATCCTAACCGCCTAGACTACGGTGACACTATTACGTTTCGATGACAATTGTGATCACATGAGCGCATATATAGTAAAATCAGCACAAAAGGCCGCACTATTAAGAGGCCGTTTATACACATGCCATAGCGCCGCTTCCTTGCCGCGGTTCCCGTTCCCTTGTCCAGTTGGTTCCCGTTTTGGTTCATGATGGTCTTGATTCCCCTGCCACCTACAACACCCTCGCCCCTGCCACCTCCCTACTGACTGATGGCCTGTATAACAGGGCCCAACAGCCTTTTTTGGCTGGATAAACGGCTGTGCAGCAGCTGCACCAAATTGTAGGTGGCAGTGGCGAGGGTATTGTAGGTGGCAGGGGCGAGGGTAATGAACGAAGTGGCAGGGGCGAGGGTATTGTGGGCAGCAGGGGCGAGGGTATTGTAGTGGCAGGGGGAAGGATATTGTAGTGGCAAGGGGGAGGATATTGAGGTGGCAGGGGGGAGGATATTGAGGTGGCAGGGGGAGGATATTGTAGTGGCAGGGCGACCACGGTAAGGCAGCAAGCCCAAGCTCTAGATAGCGAGGGCTATCCCCAATTGACTAGCGTTGACTACAAGAGGCTAGCCGCGACTGGACACAAAAACAACGAAGTTCCCCGGAAGAAAGCCACGCAACGATAAAACAACAAGGAAGGCAACTCTCAAAACGCCATCCGACCACCAAGGCTCAATGTACGACAACTCATGCACTCGCTTCTACGGGTCCTCAAACTAGATATTTAGCTACGCCAAAATTATAATTTTGATGCCTGCTGTAGTGGCTCGTGACATAACCACCCTATACCATTACACGGTAACACCTAAACTCCCTCTCCAACCAATTAACTAGTCATGCCGGGAGAACTCGGAGAAGCCAACTGAAGAAGGGGGAATAAAACAACTGGGCCCCTGACGCGCTACCCGTGCCCTCTTACGCACTCAGCTAACCTGCTAACACGCATTATTACTGCTGGCACGGCAACGGACCCAATCTGCGTGGCCTGCTCCTATCCAAGGCCCACGCAGAGACAACCCCCCGTTTCCCTATCCCTTATCACATCTGCTCTACCACCGCCCGCCTGACCGCCACTGACTTGTGAATGTACACATCTACGGCCCGAGACTTCCACCGCCCGTGCTCCTTAATGGCCTCTACGCTCACTCCTGCATTAGCCGCCGCTGTGGCGCCACCCCAGCGTAAGTTGTGGGCAGCGATCCGGCTAGTGTCAATATCTAGGTCTCGCTGCATCCGCTGTAGCTCGGCCACCAGCTCCCGCAACCGTCGCGTGAAATCCCCCGCCGGCCACCAAGCGCCCCGGCCCCCAGACCCCTTGACGATCAGGGGGGCGTTGGCGCTCGCCGCATCGTCTGCCGGCCCGGCTAGCTGCCGCCGGACGATCCGAGCAATGGGGACCCCGGCCGCTCATCGTTGTGTCCGCCAAGTAGACCGACGCGCCCGCTTCTGAGGTGGCAGGGGCGAGGCTTCTAAGGTGGTAGGGGCGAGGCTTCTGAGGTGGCAGGGGCGAGGCTTCTAAGGTGGTAGGGGCGAGGCTTCTGAGGTGGCAGGGGCGAGGCTTCTAAGGTGGCAGGGGCGAGGCTTCTGAGGTGGCAGGGGTGAGGGTACTCAGGTGGCAGGGGCGAAGCATCTGAGGCGGCAGGGGCGAGGCTTCTGAGGTGGCAGAGGCGAGGGTATTGAGGTGGCAGGGGGAAGGATATTAAATTGGCAGGGGGGAGGATATTGTAGTGGCAGGGGGGAGGGTATTGAGGTGGCAGAGGCAAGGGTATTGAGGTGGCAGGGGGAAGGGTATTTAGGTGGCAGGGGGAAGGATATTGAAGTGGCAGGGGGGGGATATTGTAGTGGCAGGGGGGAGAGTATTGTAGGTGGCAGGGGGGAGGATATTGTAGTGGCAGGGGGGAGGATATTGTAGTGGCAGGGGGAAGGATATAGTAGTGGCAGGAGGGAGGGTATTATAGGTGGCAGGGGGGGGATATTGAGGTGGCAGGGGGAAGGATATTGAAGTGGCAGGGGGGAGGATATATATTGTAGTGGCAGGGGGGAGAGTATGGTAGGTGGCAGGGGGGAGGATATTGTAGCGGCAGGGGGAAGGTATTGTAGGTGGCAGGGGGGAGGATATTGTAATGGCCGGGGGGAGGATATTGTAGTGGCAGTTGGGAGGGTATTGAAGTGGCAGGGGGGAGAGTATTGTAGGTGGCAGGGGCGAGGGTATTGTAGGTGGCAGGGGGGAGGATATTGTAGTGGCAGGGGGAAGGATATAGTAGTGGCAGGAGGGAGGATATTGTAGTGGCAGGGGCGAGGGTATTGAGGTGGCAGGGGGGAGAGTATTGTAGGTGGCAGGGGCGGGGGAGGGGATTGATATGGCAGGTGGGACGGAGAGTATTGTAGGTGGCAGGGGCGAGGGTATTGAAGTGGCAGGGGGAAGGATATTGAAGTGGCAGGGGGGAGGATATTGAAGTGGCAGGGGGGAGGATATTGAAGTGGCAGGGGGGAGGATACTGAAGTGGCAGGGGGGAGGATATTGTAGGTGGCAGGGGGAAGGGTATTGTAGGTGGCAGGGGGGAGGATATTGTAGTGGCAGGGGGGAGGATATTGTAGTGGCAGGAGGAGGATATTGTAGTGGCAGGGGCGAGGGTATTGAGGTGGCAGGGGGAAGAGTATTGTAGGTGGCAGGGGGGAGGGTATTGATGTGGCAGGTGGGACGGAGAGTATTGTAGGTGGCAGGGGCGAGGGTATAGAGGTGGCAGGGGGAAGGATATTGAAGTGGCAGGGGGGAGGATATTGAATTAGCAGGGGGGAGGGTATAATAGGTGGCACGGGGGAGGATATTGAGGTGGCAGGGGGAAGGATATTGAAGTGGCAGGGGGGAGGATATTGTAGTGGCAGGGGGGAGAGTATGGTAGGTGGCAGGGGGGAGGGTATTGTAGTGGCAGGGGGAAGGTATTGTTGGTGGCAGGGGAAAGGATATTGTAGTGGCCGGGGGGAGGATATTGTAGTGGCAGTTGGGAGGGTATTGAAGTGGCAGGGGGGAGAGTATTGTAGGTGGCAGAGGCAAGGGTATTGAGGTGGCAGGGGGAAGGATATTGAAGTGGCAGGGGGGAGGATATTGAATTGCCAGGGGGAAGGGGTATTATAGGTGGCAGGGGGGGGATATTGAGGTGGCAGGGGGAAGGATATTGAAGTGGCAGGGGGGAGGATATATATTGTAGTGGCAGGGGGGAGAGTATGGTAGGTGGCAGGGGGGAGGATATTGTAGTGGCAGGGGGGAGGATATTGTAGTGGCCGGGGGGAGGATACTGTAGTGGCAGTTGGGAGGGTATTGAAGTGGCAGGGGGGAGAGTATTGTAGGTGGCAGGGGCGAGGGTATTGTAGGTGGCAGGGGGGAGGATATTGTAGTGGCAAGGGGGCAGGGTATTGAGGTGGGAGGGGGGGAGCATTGTAGGTGGCAGGGGCGAGGGTATTGAAGTGGCAGGGGGAATGAAGGATATTGAAGTGGCAGGGGGGAGGACATTTTAGTGGCAGGAAGGAGGATATTGGAGTGGCAGGGGGGGGGTATTGAAGTTGCAGGGGGGAGGATTTTGTAGTGGCAGGGGGGAGGACATTGAAGTGGCAGGGGGGAGAGTATTGTAGGTGGCGGGGGAGAGGATATTGTAGTGGCAGGGGGGAGAGTATTTAGGTGGCAGGGGCGAGGATATTGAGGTGGCAGGGGGAAGGGTATTGAGGTGGCAGGGGGAAGGGTATTTAGGTGGCAGGGGGGAGGATATTGTAGTGGCAGGGGGGAGGAT